TGTGCATAATAGAACAAAAACTCGGTGTGTCGTTTATAATAAGAACGCGTCGTTTATAATAAGAACTATATAAATATAGGCTCTTCCGCGTACTATCATGGTGGAGTTCGCAATAAAATCAACAAGGACATTATTGTAGCTATTGTTAGTATTGATTATTAGATGATGCTGCTTTATACGAAAATAAGTTATATGGAATGAAGGAAGGTATGCGAGAGTGGATAATAAAGGGTTTATTTCTCTTGTTTATGAGAGGATTTTTCTAGATATTACATTGATCTATGTAGTTATATGTTTTCTAATCTTGAGATGAAAATAGGTGTCCATCACTGCGAGTATTTCAACCTAGACTTAAAACTATTATTGTTTGTCAATTGAACTCCTTTGCACAGATTCAATCAGTGGATACAACAGATGTTGCAGTAAAGCTTTAAGGTATGTTATCTGCAGATATAATTATACTTCTGATATACAACAATACTCCATCACAGAGGAACCAATAAGATTTGGTAATCATATATATTCCTAGGATCACGGAGATGGAGAGTGTTGTAATGAGTGTAGTGAACCACATTTATACACTGGCTATACATCAACTATAATATGCATGATTTTAACATGAATGACTCATACGGATAATTACACGGCTATCAGCTAAACACTGCATAGTGAATGGAAAAAGCTATTCATTATAAAATACGCCGACTTGTATTATATAGACAGGACGATGCACCTATCGACAGGTAGCATAAATATTACCATAATGGCTTACGACGGCTTCTGATTAACATATCGACTGAAGAAGAGTCTTAATACGTCCTTGATTTGTCATTTTTATATATAGCTCACTCATCATCTGCTTTCATCGATATCATTGCCCTACTAGCTAAAAATTTGAAAAGTTTTGTTTTATTGTTTTACTCAAGGAATATAACACAATCTCAAAGATACTTATCACTTATCCCCTTTTGCTTTTTCCATTAACAAAGCTTCCCTTTATCTCAATGATTCGCGAGTAATATCAAAACTTTGATGTAGTCAACAATATAGGAACATCTATTGTTTAGATGACAGAAAGAAAACAACGCTTTCAGCGCTCTACACAGATATTGGATATGAAATATATACAGTAAGCGAAAGAGAAAAAGAAGAGTTTGCAGCTTCAAGTTCTACGCAGTTTTAGTGATTTCTATGAAGTAGACCAGTAAAAGCATAGCTCAGACCTAACAGCTATAAGCAGCTGCACAATATGAGCGAGGCTGACATACATTTACCTAAAACTGCTCCTTGTGTTTTCGAGGTAACAACAGTCGCGTTGAAAGAAAGACAGTAGATATAAGCAATGCAGAGAGGAACTAAGGCTCATGAAATATAAGCTACCCAAAAAATAAGTGCTTGAAGCAGGTATATTACTTCTTGTCTATTGCTGAATGCAGCAGTTAAACTTAACCTCCTAGAAGGATTTGGTGTAGCTGTCCGGGACGAAGAATCTGCTCCCATTATTTGAGTATGCAAACATCGGGTTATCCAAGACTGGCAAGGATGCCATATAGATTAACACTAGCTCTTTGCTCTAACGTATGTATGATAGCTCCACATATTGACATATACTGCATTTCCGTTAGAACACAATGATGATATAGTATTTATAGCAGCATGGATGTTGAAGCTCCTCATAATCCTCCTCTTTCTTCCCATCATGTTTCTCTTCCTTCAAAATGAATCCAGCGTTTATTATGTAGTGTAGTAACAAGCTACTAATTTTTGATATTTTTGTTGTTAAGACAATTGCAATTAGGAGAACAGCATCGATAATGTCTATACAAGGATCTTGCTTTGATTGTGTCGTTTATGTGAAGTGATTATTCATTAAGTACACTACACGGTTTTTGTCTAAAACGTATATTATATCTGGAGCACATGAGGGTAATCATCTACAATAAATTTCAATCCTTGAAAGTAAACATAGCAGTTTCATGTTGTACTTCTTATTATTCTTTAGAGTGAGTAGACGTTAGAGGATGTAGAGGTATAGTATATTAATCAATATAAATGAAAGGTCAAAAAAGCCGTTGATCCACTACATAGAGTACTTGTTTGATACGATCGACGAAGATGTAAAGTAAAATAATAAAACGTTAGATGGGCAAAAGTGCATATGACTTTAACAACTTAGTGTGTTCGAAAGCTATATAAGCTATAAATTAAAGTCCAATCTGCGACTTGTGGGTTTATCGGTGGAAGAGCCTCAAGAGGGAACAGCATCATTCGCTTTTCACGAAAAAGTATTTCAAAATTCATATTCTCATTCAACTGGGAGGCAACTGCTTCCTTTAATACACTATTGAGGAGTATAACATACCGAGCAAGTAATAAAAAATCGTAAATGTAATCATATAGATTATCGAAAAATAATTTGTCGAGCTCGCTGCTACAACAACTGATGTAAAAGGGCGGGTACTTTACTTTTCTTGTTGTCTGTTAACTCAATCTATGGAAGATCTATGACAATTACCAGCACTTTGTTATATATTAGTATCAGAGGAAAAGAGAAGTAAGGTAAGTTGACAAGAAGAATGGTTGTCCTCAGCTTTGGTATAATTGATAAAACCTGATAATAGGTTTCATAATTATGATCGTTCTTTTCCTCAGTTTATAAGTCAAGGAAATGACATCCAGAAGTAGACAAAAGTGAAGAAGAAGCATAGGGGTGAAGGATTTAACAATATGAATTATCGAGTCATTTAAAACCATTATGGTATAGTTATCCAAGCTTGACAACAGTGAGGTACAGCTTCTTCGCACTTCCCATATACTGTAAACGCCAAACATCTCTAAATCGTCCTCTAACTACAGATCAATCTTAAGCTCATAATGACATCCCTTTCTACTATCATTTACCGACTCCCAATTATATAAAAGATAAACACCAGGAACCTTTATTGACGTACCTTCAGCGAAAATCGCAAAGCTTCTTATTGATTTCCTTACTATATTGTGTAGATTGACTAGTGTAGATACTTGAAAATATACGATTTCTGTTGTCAAAACTGATGAAGCTGTGATAAGCTGTGTAATTCACTTGGTTGATAAAGGCAGCAATTGTGGAGGCAATTCATAAGTAGTGTTTTGTACGAAATGTTATTTGTGTGGCTGGGCTTGGTTTCGTTATTCATCAAGAAAAATTACGTCAGAGGAATTTTTAGTCAGTCACAAGCATTGAGAACAACCACTGTACCTTTGTATTTGACAATTGCTCACCTACAACAATGACCTCTGCATCTAACAGCCTTGGGTACCTTGTCCGTGTCTTTCCCACCTACCCGACCGAAGTAGTTACAGAGACGTTTGACAACCAGCAACAACTTGACGAGTGGGTTACTGAAAACCCCAAGCAGCATGCCAACTTCATCACCAACAACAAGTACATCTCCGTACCCAAGGCTTCAGATGCACGCCGAAACAATGCCGGCCGTCCTCGGACAGTTGAACGTAGTATCACTTTTTTCTGTGATCACTCAAGAGAAACATCGGTTCCAGCTGTCCCTGCTCTGCCTATAGACTCAAATGAACCTGCTCTTATAAAAAAACGTCGACTTGCAAAACCTTCCATTAAAGTAAACTGCCGTGCTCGATATTGTATTCTATACTTGGTCTCAAGCAAATTTTAAATCTGTATATCACTGGCAACATCAGCACCATGACCCTACCGAGATAACCAATGCTACTCGCTCACAAGTCCCCCCTGAATCACGTAAATGGATTGAAAAACGTGTCAATAACAAGTTGGAGTGGGACTAAATTCAGGAACATCTGCGTTTGACTAGTAAACAACTTCAAGATGTAAGTATCATGTATACATGTAAAGCAAACTTTGATATCAACTTGTAGAGATGCTAACCGGTGGTATTAGCTCGAGGAAGGCGAAGGACCGTTCCCGGAAGCCTTACGTGTGAAGCAGCATCATGTCATGAATATCATCGCCAACCAACAGTCAAGATTAGCAAGAAAAGAACCAATGGATAAAAAAGTGTAGTCAAGTGGCTTCTTTATTTGAAATATCAAGGTTGTCAGACGTTGGAATATATCACGGAGTCTACTTTTGCTGTTGCATGGATATCACCACGGCAAGCTTTGGTAAGAAAAGACATATACTTAAATATAATGCAATGTTCGTATATTAAGAAACGTATGTGCTCTATAGCTGCTCAAGAAATCAAATGAGACCTGTATTGATGCCACACACAAGACTTGCAAATCTATTATCAATGGTCGGGCTGATGCGTATCTGTTCTCTATCGTTGCTAAGCATACAGTTACTGGACAAGGTTACCCTCTTGCTTTTATGATCACAGATAAAGAAGATAGTGAAAAGCTGCAAGTATGGTTTCGATGGCTCCGGGACAGAATGGAATACACACCAACAAGGATCATGATCGATTGCAGTCCAGTTGAAATTAACAGCATCCGAGAAGTTTATGGTCATCAAGTTCAAGTTTTTCTGTGTCATTGGTACATCAAAAGAGCATGGGAAAAGAACATTAAGTCCAAGGTACCTTTTAGTTAGCCACATCATCATATATTCAATATTAAAATTCTTTTTTTTAATGTTGGGTTATAGATCAAAACTACTCTGACAACAGCGGATACGAAGAAAAAAAGATATGAAGCTCGTTCTGCCCTTAGTGCTTTGATGAATTGCAAAACCGTCGTTGAATTTGTGCATGCTTGGGATGAATTTGGTAAAAAATGGCGAGATACATACGAGCATTTTGAATTTTATGGCTATGTGCTGGACTATTGTATCCTAAGCATCATCTTTGGTGCAAGGTTTGGAAAGAGGTACGTTTAAGACTCGTTTTAGCTTTATTTTGCGCTTCAATGTTATTTACGGTTGTATATTTAGAATTCGTCCTTCCATACAAATAATCTGATCGAAAGCTGGCATTCCAAACTTAAACGCAAATATCTTCCATACAGTCGCAATCATCGTGCTGATCGTGTAATCTATGTGTTGACGCAGTTGGTCGAAAATGACTATCGTGCTCAAGTCCTGCGTGTTTTGGCTGGCGTTGAAGAAATAACAGCGACTAGAGAAGCTCAACAAAGGAAAAAAGAAGCTTGCAGAAAATCACCAGATGAAGCTGACCAGACGATAGCTATTTATGATGACCTTGTATGTATTATTTCTGTATTTGTGCATTTACTTTTACAATCGCTGATCGTACCGTGGCTATAGGTTACCTGTCAATCTTTTACCAGTTCTGCATTGTATACTCCAAAGTTTAAAGAAAGCGATAGCAATGGCGTTATTGATTCTTGTAGTTGTGAAGACGCCCGTTGCCAGATTGGGAGCGCCATCGAGAACAGTATACTGCTGTTGTTGTACCAACTACCGACAAACTGGGACGAACACGGCACATTGAAAAGATGGTGCGCACTGAGCATTTGGTTGGATCAAGATGACTCTGTCGATCACCACCAAAACAAACGACAACGATCATCTGCGTTTGTTGTTTTCTCAGATGATATGGAGGATAACAGCTATGATGTGGAAGTGGACGGGCAAGATCTGGATGAAGTCGAATGCGTATCGCACTCGCATAAAGAGAAGCTAGAGAAGCTTAAAAAAACTGGGAAAACGTCCTCGAACCATTAGCAAATGAGTATATCAAATGCTATGATAGTGCCAGTCCACCCAGTTTCGCAGCAGAAGAGCCAGACCGCGCCCCATGCCCACGCGAGAAAGAAAAATAGCAGAGAGAAGTGCTTTGGGTCTATCTTACTGGTACTTTGATCTAAATTATTAAAGCAAATGCGTAAGATTGTTGACTTCTCATCATTTTTTTCATTAACTATTTTCTCTATCTTTTTAAGGTATAAAAAAGTTTAAGTTACGCTTTATCGATGCGACGAGTCCAGGCAGTTACGCTTATGAGGCACCATATGTTTCGCGCATCGCCAATGTTCCCGCAGACGGCATACCACATCAAGCTCCTCGAATTTTATGAGGAGCTGTTTATGACAGGCCTTCTTGCAAACGAAGCATTCGCCAAAGCATGCGCTAAATTGGACATGTACAAGGTACATGTGCTTCTTTTCTTCATTTTTCAGGACCATGAAATTAGACAATAAGCTCATGCTTCACCTATTCGTAATCTTGGCTTTGGTAGAATGTCGAACGACTTCGAATCACTTCTGCAAATGTTTTTTTTGCGTATCTCGAGGTGCTCACAAAAGCAGAGGAGTTATCCGTTGCAGAGCACCAGCACACCATCCAGGCTTACAATGATGACGCTTGCCCGGCATGTCCCAAGGTCGGCTATACCATCTGCGATTTTATACATTACATAATTATAATAGAAGTCATATCTAAGCAAACATGCTGGCCTGTTGAACTGGATATGAGACTAACCTTCTTGTTATTTGCATTATCAAGGTTGGAATGATCATCGCACTAGATGGAAACTTTCAACTGCGTAGACGGATGGCAAACAGCGATGATTGCAAGTTGCATGAATAAACTACTTTTTTTTAGTGCAGATGCCAAGTCAGCACTTATGCCAAACCCAACGATGCATCTTCGAAAGATCACAAGTATGACTCCAAGTTTCAAAATGCAGATGAGTCATACGTAACCTGAGCAATCCGACAGTGCTACGAGTCCGGAGTGCTTGGGTGCGTATGTCGTCACAATCTGCCATTGAAGTTTACCAACATTGTTCAGTCTGGTGAAAAGTAAGTTTATAACCGGTGATAGTATTCTTGAAAAAAGTATCGCAATGGTAATCTTATACATTCAAATTTAAAAGGCACACAAGCCCCCCTATCTGTCATCGATGTGCTCATGAAAAAACATGGCACCAGAGTTCTCAAAATTATGTATGACATTGATTGCCATTCTGAGCCGGCAATTAAGGTAAGACCGCGAAAAAATAGATAGGCTTTGTTTCGAGATATCTACCGACCAACTTGTGCCAGTATAGTGTATAATTATTATTCTGTAATGAGCATTTCATAACTATCAATGATATTATTCTAGGAGAACTTTCCGGGTTGGGTGGGAATGTTGCTGTTGGCGTCTTCCACGCCTATGCCCATTCTATGGACTGTCAGGTGCAATACAATCCCAGATTGAATGAAGGGTTTGGCCTGACAGACGGTGAAGGAATGGAACGACTCTGGTTGTATCTATCTGGATTCGCAACAATCACCAGGAATATGTGTATAAAACGAAGGATGCTCACGTTGATTCATGCTATACAGCATTTTAAGAACGAGCACCTTCTTTTCCTTGCGTAAGTGTGGAAAATTTTGATTAAAGTATATTTTCATGATAGACATCTGCTCATCAAAAGTACTGATTGGTCTATAGCGCAACTACTTGTGCAACGAAAAAAGCGAGCAATTTCCATGCAAGAAAAAGCCGGTAAATTTCTGAGTACGGAGTGTCCTTGGCTGACTGATGAACAGCTGAAACAGCAATGGCAGTCGTACTGTAACATCATCCAACAAAAGCTGAAGCCTGCTGACCAAGTGAGCCCAGATGCTTGCAAGGTCAAGTACATCGAGGAGCTCATGGTTTTATATGCCATTGATGCTGGGTGAGTTAATGATGATGTGATTAGATGGATAGTCTTACGGAAGATAGATCCTAGTATGAAGGGACACTGCGCATTCTTCTATTAGCTCCGGCTTTGATCACTTTGGTCTAATTGCTCTTATCAACATAATCATGTTCTATTCTTTTTCAGTGCATATAAGGGCAGAATCACCAGACGAATCGCCGAAGCTAATGTGTTGCACTGGGAACGCCAACTCGTAGAGATGAACATTCTCACAGTTGGAGAACGATGGAAGGAAAACGATATGCCATTCAAAAAAGCCATGAAGTTGAAGTGGTCAAATGACTACAAAATAAACAGGCTGAAACTGCATTCCCTTGTGGCTGGTCGTGCGCTTTTGCAGACGCAGTTGCACAGAAACGGGAAGAAAGGTAAGTGTTTCGGTTTATATCCTATTGTAGAAAATCTTTTCATTTGCAGCAGATTCCTACATCAGCAGTAAGTATTCCTTTGTTTTCAAACCCTATCATTGCCATTGTTATCTGATGTATAATGCTGTTAAGTGCACCATTTGAGTAAACGTATATGAAGGAACAGGATTTTTGTGAGGCTATGGGAATGTGCGATCATAGGGTGTGTAATAGGTCGTTAAGGCGTTACATTTTGCTGCTTTTTTTCGGGTTTTTTAACATATCATGGTTATCTTTTGGATCTTATAGCTTGCTATTGCTTCTATATGATGTTTGCTACATATGTATAGCTAACAAACATGTAGTTCAGAGTAGTATTGCTATGATACTTAGCTTGGAGATATCAATTGTCGTCTCAAACAATGTAACCTGCCAAAAAAATGTCGGGGACTCGCTGCAAATGATAAAGTAAACGTCGGCGATGAACCTCGTATTAATATAAGGTGTTTATAGGGCACAAACTTGCTAAAAAGCTCGAGGACGCAGTTAAAAATATCAAGAAAAAAGCGTTACCTCTGATAAAAAACTTAAACGAACTTTCCCTTCTAATCAATGAAGGAGAAATCGAACTGCTTGTCCCCGCATTTGTTCAAACATACGATGTTCTGATCAACTTGCGGAATACGTTTTGGCAAGAAGAAGGCTCGGATGTTCCTTTCCTGGTACTTAGGGAGTATCACAACAAGAAACGTGCAATAGAAGAACTGTGCATGCTTGAAGTAAAGAGTCCTAGTAAATCGATCACCAGGTAGGTATCCGTTTTAATATTACTTTTTGTTTTACAACTAGGCTGAGGCAAGACGACTTGTTGCATACATTACTGCAAAGGTTTCCACGTTTAAAAGAATGATGGATGATTCCAATGGTCGTTTGGGCTGCAAAGTGATTTTGAAATGGCAGCTCCACTTCTATGAAGCGATCGAAAAAGCAGCTCGCAAACAGCATCTTTTGCGTGATCTTTTTGATGCCAATGATGCCAGCTCGTCCAATACAACACCTGATACTCAGGATGAAAATGTATTGGATGAGGACTATGATGAAGAGCTCCATTTCAACGCGCCATCATACGAAGAGATCGAGCTCTCTGCCAATGACACGAAGAAGAAGAAGAGTTTACTCTTTTTTAGGATGAAAATTAGTCGACAGCACTGTTCTCCTTTTACTACATCATATCTCTTAAATCAAAACCTACATCAAGTTATCACTATTACGTCCACTTACACTTTACAGACAATACTACAAAACTTCTTTTTATATTTGCTAGAGTTAACATTGATGCTTTTTATATTTAGCTATGGCGAAAAATGACGTCTGTTTATTTTACTTGGAAATCGTAGAAACATGTATGGCTAAATTTCAGGCCCCAGAAGAGATTCAACACAGAAAAGGTGGCGTGTACATGCTGTGACCTTATTTTCCATAAATCCAAATACCGAGTACTGCATTGGCTAATGACTTTGTACGAGTGAAGTCATGATACGTGCTCAAATTATATCACCCCAGCTATTTCAAGAAAAAGGATTTCTTATATTGCTTTGTTCTTATAAATTTTGTGTGGTGAATACTAACGTATATAAAGCAGGTGCGTACACTAGCCAGAAGATGATGGATAGAGCGCTCCGAGTCAGTGCGGCGGCTTAAATTAGTGGAGGGTGCAGAGGCAGTCACCGCCTCGGGCCTCGAGGAACTCCTGCCTGTGCAAATTTTATTAATGCTTTCCCCTTGCTGGAGCATACAACGTAGTTGCCACGGGTGATTCTATAGTGGACTTGCCTGGATTAAATAATGAGACAAACAAGAATGATATTTCTACTTTTGCATGCTGGCGAAAAAGGTAAGGGGTCAGCCTGTGCTTTTTGCTTAAAAACGGCTCGTTTCCACAAAACTTTTTCTCTGGTCAAATTTTATGTTTCTACCCAAGTGTATAGAGGACGACGAGACGAACACAATAAAACCAGTTACATCATCATACTCAATCGTTTTGGTCTCCAAAAAGACACTTTTGTCAATGGTTTTTTTAAACCGCTCATTTCGTAAAACACTCCTTCCTTCTACTTGCGTAGGGTTAGCAGGTTTGCATTTCCATATTTTGAAATAAAAAAAACTGTACCAGCTTCTTGGTTTTATACCAGCACCACAGAGCGAGCAATGACATTAACTGCTGTCAGTATTATAGTCAATGTAACAACAAAACTATCTCTTATTCAATCGACAAACATAAATTTATCATATGTCGCGCATATATTTTATAAAATCGTGTAACATTGATAGTGTTAAACGTAGTGAGACCACTTGATTATATCTAACTCCACTTTAACTTAACCAATATCGAAATGACAGCCGCAAAACGATTTTTAAAGTCATTGTTGGTACTTATCTAACGGTGTCTACTGATATAAAATTTATTGTAAGCAGTACGAATCGATATGAGCAGGAAAGTGATAAAATAGATGTATAACTAAACAGAATCTATTACTATTATTAGTACTGCAGTTGACATATTTCGCTATTAGTAGCAAAAAATAAAGTAAAGAATATCGTACAACATATGAATATCAAGATGTTTTCACTTTTACAGTATTTGCTGCATCCACATGTTTTCTATAATTTTTTTCGTTGATATAGCACACTATAATCACTCAAAATCTGTATGAATGAAATAATAAAACCTGTGATCCAAGATCAGTTCTTCATGCTATATATCTGCTTGTAGCTTGGGGCAGTTAGTTTTGTAGGGAGAAGATCTTCTGCACTTATTTGCACCGGTGTAATATATAGGTAGAAGATCTTCTTCACGTGTATAGAATATTGCTCTGTTTCTGGTAGAGCAATGTGCAGCTCAAAAGCTGTGCGGTCAAAGCCAAAGTGCGCTAAGGTAATGCATTCGCCATTTCTATGTCAATCCTTGTGCACGCATTGTTGGAATTGTGAAAGTGTAATGTTTGTGTAGCACTGGGATCTCTTATGTCTTGCTTAAATTGTGTATATGTCGTGAAAAGTACTGCACGAGCCTCTTGATACCATTGATATATCATCAGCTGTTCTGCCATAAGAACACGCAATGAATCATAAACATGCACAATTAGTTTCCATTTAGTTCAGCGGATGTACTGCAATTGTGAGAAATGATTTACTTTGTCATTGTTATCGGGTTGCTTGTGGCAATATGAGGTTATACTTCGCATTGTGTTTATGGTCAATGTATCAATGAGCTTGTTATTATCAATACTAAAAGCGACCTCAAAGTATGCTTGTGCAAAGCAGTAAGTGATATCCTATACTTACCCCATAGTCCTTCCTTTCTTATTTGCACTCATATCATACTTACTGCAATGTTTCTTGTTATCCAATTCCAACTTTCCAACCCATTTTGAGCAAGGTTCCAGTAATCCATCAATCAGCGATCCTTTTGGGTCGTTTCCAACGTGTCTCCCATATATCGTACAGCAACTAGTAGTATGAAAGGTTCGATAAGTGTTTAGATTATTTCGATACTAATCTAATGCTTCCAGTTTCTAAAGCTTTTGCCAAAGCATGCTTTTGATCGCGTTTCAACTCCTTGGTTGGTTCTTTGAACTCGACTCCATCAGGAAGTGGTAGTACCAGTTCGACATAACGATCCTCGCCCTTCCGCAGAGCATTCCATGGGACGCTGGTGGTGATTTTACCAAACTCTGGAGCCACTGCATCTAATAATATTGCTTGGAATCATTATTATTTTAATGAAGCACAGGAAACACTTACTATACAAGGCTTTCACTTCGGTTTGGATGAATTCCACCATTCTGTCATTTGGTCCTGTGAAGTCGATGTTATAATTAGCATTTCTGTATATATGCGCTCATAATGAATGAGGAGGTACCTTTATTACGTCGTCGTTTGTTGTTAGGACCACAATCCTGGCGAGCTCTTCCGTCCTCAATATCATTTGCACGATTGTAAATGTACTGAAAATAATCTGCTTACTCATAATAAGTACGTTATTAATGCGATCACTTATTGCGACTTACCAGTACTTTTGGAACGTGACTTGACAAACAAATCGAACTTTTCCTGAAGTCCCGCGTACTTGGGACCTTCATTGAAAGCTTGGCAAAGGTCCCAGAATTGCACTCCCAGTTCTGTATGCTCTTTATTAAACGCGACCAGTCTTGAAAAAATAAATAATAATTGATAAAGAGTATACCTGTGCCAATTGATCTCCCCGTATCCAAACGGCGGGCTTGATTGCCTAGAACCTTTGGATATCCGAAGCAGACAAAACCTTCAATACCAGTTACTTTCTGGATATAGCTCAGCTGCCTGTTGATAGCTTTATGAGCTTCTTCGGCGTAGTTTAGCCGAAGCTGCTGGCTTTTTTGAGTCATAGCTTTTGGCGCTATGTAGCCTTCAAAGCCTGCTTCAAGATTATGTTCCGTAGCCAATTGTTGGAACATGGGACGTTCATCCCTGCGCGCTTGGTACTCAGCGCCGTAGCGTACGTTGCGCTGCTGGATCGTTTCTTCTATAAGAAGAGTTGTATTGAAAAGTTAGTTTGACATTACCAAGAATGATAATCAATATAATAGTGTTAATATTCATATCGACAGTGACCTTCAGTAGCTCCATCTTGACGGAGCCGATCCTCCTCTTGCTTACGCATCGAAACGAAAAGGTTCCATGAGCTTATCGCCTTGGTGGTGACGACAAGCGGTGCAAGATTGTTCTCACACCTCTTCTCCACCTCGCGCAGAGAGAATCCAAGCTCGTTTGCTAAAGCCACCTTTCTTGCTTCATGTTCAGCCATGAGCTCGGCGCATCGTGCTTCAAGCTCAAGCAAGCGAGCCTGCTCTGCTGAATCCTCCTCTGTTGGGGTACGCGAAGGTTCCTCATGCAGTTCTTGTGGATGTTGGTCAACGTCCACGTCCGTGTTGTTCAACAACACCATCTCGCCAGTTTCCGAGATTCCGTTGATCTCGGCAAAACGAAACTGATTAGTTTCACCACGTGTTGTGGAATGAGTATGAGAGAGAGTAGAGAATTGGGTGTCCATAATGACGAGTAGGAAGAAAAGAGTAGTGGTGGAAAACTCGATAGGCTACGCGGCCTCTGTAACCTTTATTTCATCCCGAAATACCATTTTGGGCATTCAGTTACAGGATCCTGGCACATCCGGTGGATTCCGGTGGTTCTTAAAACCGATTTCTGAAAAATTTTGGCGTATTAGGAACTGTAACCGGGTGAAAATTAGCTGGCCCTGACCATTTCTCTTTGTTGCCAAGGATGGACCGTTTCTTGTTCTTTAGTAGCAGCAGCTGCAGCAGCTAGATGTTGTGGCGTATAATAGACAGTTCTCTCAATGGAGCTCTTTTTCTATTTTATATCGTTTAGAGACAAAGAAGCGCTTGGCTGCCTGTGTCATGAATACAGGGCAGACAGCAGCAACTCGAGAGCTGTGTTACATTTCAAGTTGATTAACTATTTTTAGACGTTAAGAAAAAAACAGCACACGTTGTTTAATTTACCTCGAACCTATACTCTCTGTTCTTAGCAACTAATTATTACTGCCCGCCCACCCGAGCCCGCCTTCAGCTCTGGACAATTCTTTCTTTCTTTCTTTCTTTCTTTATTAGGTCCCTCTCTCTTCCTCTCTCTTTCTTTTGTTTCTCCATCCATCTACAACACCCCCCCATTCCTTTTCTTCCCTCTCTGCTATTGGTACCGGCAACAACAACAAAAAATGAAGGTCCAACTACTCATTGCTCTTGTCATTGCATTCCTTGCTGTCTTTACTACAGCTGATTCCCTTCAAGACGAAATCGACAAGGCCAGAAAGAAGTTCTGCGGTGGTAACTACCATTCACTTTCTTTTGCGACAACGAAACAATTCACGGTGAATGGGATTATTCGAACACGGAAAACTTACCAATCACGCGCGTATGTGTGTATGTGTGCTCTCTTGTTTCGACCCTGTTTTTCTTTAGGTATCAAGGTCAGCAAGCCGAGCTCTGGCCAAGTGTTCAGTAACCCAAAGAAAGTCAAGGTCACCGTCAGTAAGTAAATCACCTTATCTTATAAACAGACATCACGAATGACGTACTCACCGTCTGAATAAATGAACAGAGCGTACTCCCAATGCTTTGGCCAAGGTGGTCAACGCTGTCGATGTAAATATCTTTTTTCATCTGAACGTGTAGTGTAGTGTAGTGTAGTGCATGTAGTAATTTTTGTCACCATTAACAACGAATTTTGTATATATGATAGCTCTACATGGTCAGCTCGAACGGCACTGCCAAGTACTTGGGTACTCCCTGGAAGGGTTCCTACTCTCTCAAGACCTCTGCTACAATGACGTAAGAAAGAGAGACAGACAAAGGATCATCGTATGATACATGAATACATATAACTTACACTTCACAAATTTATACAGTGTTGACTTGACCAAGGCACAGGGTGCAAAGTTCCCCTCCCAGTATGAAGTTCGGTAAGTCATTGTATAAAAGTAGAACATGATGGCAAAAAGCTCACTAGAAAACTGTCAAAACAACAAAACTATAGTGTCTGGGTTCGCAACAAGGATGCTGGTAAGTACCCAGGATGTAAGCTTTGCCCAGTATAGATTAGTTTGCTAACATCGTTATTGTTAATGCGCACAGGCCCTGACTGCACTTTGATGTCCAAGGTAAACAGACTTTAAAAATTAGCCCTGGATCCCCAATTATTTGTACTGACCTCCCACACACACATTAGACTTTCAAGGTCAAGTCCTCATCCCACGCCAACGCTGCCGAAGACGAAGAAATCAACAACATGGACGCCAAAATCGACAAGGGCTGCTTTGGCCTGGACATCACCAAGCCTGCCATTGGCGAACATGTCTCTGGTTACTTCCCTGTCCAGCTCGTCCGTGATGGTGCTTCCCCCGTCGACAGCTTGACCAAGGTCGAACTCTTCAAGGTCGACATCAACGATCGTCAACCTATCAAGGTCCAAGACTCCTGGGAGGGTGATGTGCTTCTCTACAACTCGTTCACCGTCAAGGATGCTCTCAAGACTGCTGCTTCGAAAGAGGATGACAAGGAGTATGCTTATTTCTACAAGTTGTCTGGTGTCACACAACATGAAGACAAATGCGACTTTTATTCGCATCCTTTCTACATTGATGCTTAAACAAAAGCCAGCATCGTCTCGTTTTCCCTCCCCATACTATACTCTTCTTCCGCCCCACCTCTGTCACTTGTCTGTGTGCTTCTTTAAAAAAAAAGAAATAACCTTGTAATAATATTATAACCAAAACCATGTTTCATTATTGTCTTTTTTCCAAAACAAGTGCTTGCTGCTAACTTCAACTAGTCCCAAATCAATTGACCCTTTTCATTCAAACCTGCTGTGGCCGTAGGTGTTTTGGACGATGTTCCTTTCTGTCCTTTTTTGCCCCATGGTGTGTTCTTGCCAGCACCGGTACTATAAAACTCGTTTATCTTTCGTCGTTCCAGTTCCTTCTGATGCCGTCTTAACCGCTCTGCTTGTAATGCATCTGCTGCAGCTTTGGCTTCTTTGCGTTTGGCAGCTTTGGCCTGGTTCTCGCGTTGTTTCTTTGACGCTACTTCTTGCGTCCGTGGTGCAGAGTAGACTAGATAATACCGTCATTTAGTGCTTACTCTCAACTGCCAAGTGAGTGGTAGCAATTAGGAGCCTTTTCTTTTCTTCTTACTTGGCTTTTTACTTGAATCAATTGACTCCCATCCATCCTCGTATGGTACTGGCTCCCACTCTTCTTCTTCTGGCTCCGTAGTGATTCGCATGACGCGCGAGTATCTTGCTGTTAAATCCATATGTTTGTCTACTTCTCTTGATGGCTCATTTGCCTTGTCAGCGGCAGCAGTAGCAGCAGCAGCGAATGACTCCTTTTTCTCCTTGCTAGTACCATCGCTCTTTGTCGATGCCTTAGTTGTGAGCTCGTTACTTGCTTCTGGCGCTCTGTCCATAAGAGGCGATGTCTGTGCATCAAGACTTGGTGTAGATTGTTTTCCTAAAGATGGCGATCGCTTGGAATCCTTTTGTTGCGAATGCGAGGTATCGGTGGTTGCCGTAGTTGTTGTAGTTATGGGTAAAGATTGTTTGTCTGTCGTTGTCGTCTTGCTGCTGTTGCTGTCTAATGACGCTTTTCCTTTGCCTTTCTTCTTTTTGGACTTTTTGGACTTTTTAGTGGTCGAGGTGGTTGTTGCGCGGTTACTGTTGTCATGATTGTCGTCATCAAGTGCATTCGATCGATAAAAGTAAATGAGTAAAACAGGTAAGAAAAGAACGCATAAAAGACCCAGCTCTTGGTACATCTTTTTTGCTGTATGTGTGAAGAAAGAGGGAGTCTGGCAATGAATAAAGATCAAGTTTGATATATGGAACAAAATGATTGGATATCCGCACTATTGATCTTAATCCCGAGATGGTTGCTGCGGTAAGCAGAGATATGGCATTAATGTTTGTATATAGTACACGGTTATTGGTTTTTTTTATAAGGGCAAGAAAAAGGTATGTCTGTGTATGTTGTTAGAGGACTAGATCGTGTGCGTGGCGTGTTATGTGTAAGGTTTAAAGAGCCATAGTAAAGGAGGTTGCTGGCAGGGGTAAAGAGAAGAGAGCAGGAAAGAAAATAAAACGAGAATATGAAAAAGTGTATACGTTAAATAAAGAGAAAAAGGGAGCACGGCAAAAGTTATAAAGTATCGGAATCGGCCTTGGCTTTGTACAATCCATGCTTGTATATGTAGTCGATCACCGGGTTGGGTGATAAGTATTTGATGGACATGCCGCGTTTTACAAACAGTCTAGTAGAATCATCGTGGGTGAATATCATACACAGCGTAAGAAAAGGGTTGCTCTGACTTACCGAACTTTGGTGGAGCTGATATCGTTATGTATCAGTTGCTTGATGACAGTGACATTCATCTAATTTATCGTCATAATGATAATTTGTAAGCAAAAGACAGAGAAACATATATCCCGGTCAGAATTTAGTAGCTTACTCTATGCTGGTAAAGAATGTCATGTGAAAGCAGGAATCCATACACATCTGTTCCGGTTCTCTCTGTATACATCAGCCTGGTTAGTTAGACGGCTCGCTCTTTCAATGGATCTATCCGTCTATATAGTCAATGCAAGAAAGATCCTTACCAATTATGACACAACCATAGTGACCAACGATATGATGCAACTAACGGTAACAATGCCTTAGAGTCGGACACAATCATCCTACTACTCCTACAACTCCTAGTATCATCATAGCGACAGCAACATTACTTACATCCTTAGGAGCCCAGACTTTGGGATGGCCAAAAGACGCAATCAAGTCACCGCCTGCCAAAAGCATAATCTTGATTTTGCGTTGTTCGCCTATTATTGATTTCAACATGTTAGTCAGTATACATGATCTGCTATTTCACGGTGATCGCTTTAAGAGGGGAAACCAGCTTACCACTCTTGGTACGAATGCCATCGCCGGCCACGTTCAGCTCATGGTCAAAATGATCCAGCACAACAGCTGTTCGTTGATACGACCCCTGTCGTGGTTCCCAAGAGTCTACCATTAACCAGTCCGAGGTGGATTCTACAGCCAGTGTACACATTTCTACGCGATGTGAAGCTTTGGCCAGTCCTTCCTTCATATACGCATCAGATACCGGAGAATAGTAACCTGCCAGCAGCTCGTATTCGTTCCGTTCCTTGAAATGATCCTGCGCCATTTCTAATAATAACTGATGATGAGTCATACATTTTTCCCTTCTTCACTCTATACACACTACTTTACCAAACATGCGCAGGTGAAGATAGGTGATGGGTGAAAAAGAACCACAGGCAACTAATACAAGAGGTGTTTTGCTGTCGTCTAAGGTAATACAAATATATGTCAGAAACACGCAAAGACAAAGGGGATATATCGTTTTCCGTACCTGCCATGGTATCGGGTAAATAGTGCCGAGGGAATTTGTAATCGCCTTCAAACCCATTGTTGCCTGAATCAGTTGCTGCTGCTGCTGCTACTGGCTCTGGATCGTTTGCATTCTGTTGTTGGCTCATGATATATAGTTTCCTCGCGTTGTTGTTGTTGCTAATTGAAAGGCTATAGTCCCTTTAAACGAGCTAATGTCTGTTTTACTAGCCAAACAAAAGTAAGACAAATGCGGGGAGACAATAAAAAAAAAGGTACGCGAAAAGGAAAGAGTAAGAAAGTGAGGGAAGGTTTTTATGTGTATAAGCCCTGATGTTCTTTGTAAAGATCAAGATTGTGGGATATTCGAACAGCGCTCTATCAGCTCTCTCTCTTTATTACTAACACATATACAAAATTATTATGAGCAACAACGACGACAACGACAAGGTGGTACCGTCAGGCGAGCTTGTTCTTCATTTAAACGAAATTACACGCGATCCAAAGGCTAATGTCGGTCGATCTGTACGAGTCAAAGGCTTGTAAGAAATACTTTGATTTTCGCTTGACTACTACGCGATCCATCGGTTTGTTGATCGCATTTTTCGTGTTTGTGTTTTCTGTTGTGGACATATTCTTAAAACTCTCCCGAATTACTATTTCCATTGTTGCCCTGAAAATATACACAGTTTAAAAGAATTCCAACCTGCAAATAATCGAGCCGTCTTGGAATATGAAGATGCAGAATTACATTTGAACACGGATATCATTGATCCGTTTCCGTTTGCGCTCGGCAGATTGATTGAATGTATTGGAGAGCTTGATCTCGACAATGATGATAATGAGGTGTGATACTCTGTTTATGCGAAACGGTCTTATAGTACCAAGGGCAAACTAATCTTACACCTTGTTAACATAGGAACAGCAGCAAAATCAAGCAGTATTAGTCCTTCGACCACGCATTGCGCGTGATATCGATACGCTGGATATGAAATTGTTTGAAAAGGCAGGCCAATATAAACGCCAATATCTAGAAAAATTCAAGTCTACCAGCACCCCTTCTCCTTCTCGACAATTACATGAAACTAGGTGATTAGCCATAGCATTCTTATTCAAAATATACCAACACTTGCATCTTTCGTTTAGAAAAACACATGACCGGATGATGCTGGATGATACTGGATGAGATTGTGTACAAATGTTACGTTTTACTTGTCGGTATAGCAATGAAAATTTAGGCATCACTCTTGAATCTCTACCCCAAACTATATTGATACTCCGGTATACTCTCCCCTCTCGCCCCTTTAACATTCGCACATAGTCGGCTTTCTGTTTTTCTTCTTTGCATTCGAGATCAAATGGCACAAAGTAAGTTATTTTCTCATTGTCTGTAAAGTGGGGATAATCAAATAGCTTTTCTGTGTGCGAGTGAATTGTGAATAAGAAAAAGAAAGAAAATCTTGAGAGACATGGTGGTCAATAGCCTATTATTTTTTTTGAGCTTCTTTCTCCTACTACTTGCCGAAAGAGATTGAATTGATACTGAGGAGCACCAATGTCATGCATTGTCCATTCAAAACTTTGAAGTTTATTTTTTATTCATCCAACAATAATTCTCAAATTGTTCATGTATTCTCATTTATTTACGCACACTTTGAAATTGGGGGAGGGTTATTTTGGAATGCTTATGTATACGAACTTTTCAGAAACTGACTATTGACTTTTATATTTTCGCTTCTAGTACCACGCAACTTCCGTCTGCTCGAAGAGCTAGAGAAAGGTGAAAAGGGTATTGGCGACGGTACCTGCAGTTATGGTTTAGCGGATGACGATTTGCTCATGTATAACTGGCATGCCACTATTCTCGGTCCTCCTCACGTAAGTCACTCCTCTATAAAACCAACAGAACAAGGAATATTTGGAAAAGGAGGGTCGAGGCTGATTGTTGTTACTGTTTTCTAACTCGAACCTTTCTTCTTCTTTTGACAAACAGTCTGTTCATGAGAATCGTATTTACAGTTTAAAGATTTATTGCGGCGAATCGTACCCTGACGATCCGCCAACAGTACAATTCGTATCGCGGATCAATTTACCTAGTGTGAACCCTCAGAATGGCAAGGTAAGCTGTCGTTTTGTTCTTTTATCAGGAGACATGTGGAAGGAAAAAAAGATGTTTGTGTGTATGGATTCACATGAAAATTTTTTGACATCAAATCTTTATACTACTTTTACGCACACCAGGTCGAGCCAAGCCGTTTGCCTTGCTTGGCACATTGGAGACGCGCATACTCCTTGGAAACTGTGTTGACCGAACTGAGAAGGTAAAAGAAGAAGAGGTTGCTTGATTGACGAGATGGGCCGTGTATGAGTCATGATGACTATCCAAATACTTAGACATGTATTTTGTTTGTATATGTAGAGAGATGGCTACGATCGGTAGAAAGTTGCCTCAGCCTGCCGAAGGAATGACATTCTAAGTTGAGAATAGAGAAAGAAGAGATGGAAAAAGAAAAATTAAAGAAAGATGACATTTCACATTTACGCAACACACATACACAAAACATATCTTCCTCTGTTGCACCCACCCCTCCAATTTACCAAACAACAACAAATTATATCTTGCAATTGCTTTCATTTTCAAAATAAGTTCTTCAAATACGAAAATCCGGTTTTCATACAGAAGCAGACAAGCAATCTCTAGTGAGCACGGAGGAGGAAGGAAAGAGCAATGGCAACAAGATGTACGGAGATTGAGAAATAATCAAGGTGGTAACTCTATCGTCTAATTCCAGTAATTGTAATATTTGTCACCGAATTGCTTCATATCACCCTTCAAATCATCCCATTTCGAGTGAGGTAATCCTGTTTCTGGTTCCACTTGGCGCTTTGCTTGATCACCACCTCGCCTGTGGTCCTCCTTTATCCACTTGTAGCACAATGCCATCAACGGCGAGTCCATCATGCCATGTTCTCGATGGTACTTTTTCACTGCATCGTACTCTGGGAAATCATTTATGTCGTACTTCGCAAGAACAGCGCCATCTGCCATGCGCACCACATGCGACATCCATGAACTCAGCCCTACGATTAATACATATTACGTATCAATATGAAGGGTATGACAGATACCATCATCAGCCAAATCATCTTACCATCAAAAATGTGGGTAGTATAGACCTAGCAATAACAAAAAAGAACTCAAGTCAGAGCCCATACGTCATACACACGCCACCCGTCCTTATGTTTTCATCCCTGTTAGAGTAACAAAACTTACAATCGTAGCACCTCTAGTTTCTGTTTCTTCGCGCAAAAACTTTAACAATTCGGTGCGTACAAGGATATCCAGATCCATTGTCACTTCATCGAGTAACAAAAGATTCCATGGCTGCAACAAACCCATGGTTAACTGGACACGCCGCAACTGACCATCCGAGCACTGATGCAGACGCCAACTCAAGTCCACTTCAAGTACTTCGAGCAATCGCTTTGTACGCTCTGGCCATCGTTTGCTGCCCATGCTTGACAAGTAAAAGTCGACAGACATGTCGGACCTGATATGAGGATTATGGGCCCAATCTGTACCGAGATACAATACGCCCTGTATATAAGAGTAGTGTTGTCCAATTTGCGTATTTATTAATACTCTAATACACACGCATAGAGAGAGAGAGTGTAGGCGAGTGAGTGATTGAAGAAAGGAAAAAGCTTACAGCTGGTGCATCAACGAATGCATGACGACTAAAGACACGGACATGACCTTCTATTTTGCGTTTGCCCGCCAAAATGCGCAACAAGGTCGTTTTGCCTGCACCATTCGCGCCTACAATCAAGATTCGTTCACCTGGATTAACCTCGAGTGATAAATCCTTGACAATGTCTGGTCCGCCATAGTTGAATGTAAAGTTTTTAACGTCAATGACGGGATCAGGCGCCGTTTCGTTGTTTGGCATAATTGTGGTATAGTAGATAATTTAAAATAAAAAAAGAATAAACCCTTGTCTCTTTAATTATTTGATAGGGCCTGCCTTATATGTGTATCAATGCCAGCTTCTTTCCACAAGTTACACGGCTTGGTAACGCAAGACGTCCTTATTGACTCATTTTTATGTCGTTATAGAACTATATGCATGTTGCATATGTATGCGGCGTTGCTGTCGTAGCCTCCGTTAGATACATTTCATCATGGACAATAGCTTCAAGCTGCCAAAATTGAGTTAAGATCGTGTCTCGGAAAATACGCGCTATGTCATTATACAACCCCCGTTTACTTTGTGAAGCATACTATTTCTTTGTTGTGGTTAGCTCAACAATTGTGCAGAGCAAAATATTTTCTACTTCTGTTAAGCAAACATGGACAGAGAAGGAGAACGTATTATAGCTCTTGAATTAATTATTTTCCGAGGCGATAGCTCACATCATCCTTCCCGTGTTCTGTATACATTACATTACCGCGTCCCCCTTTTCTTTTACGACAACAACGAAAGTGCTCTTTGATTGTGCATACCAAGCAGCAGCAAAAGAAGAGAGAATAGTTGCCTCCACTGCAACAAAGGCTAAAAAATCTTAGTGTAAGATTGAGTCCTGTGCCTCTGTATTTGATTGCTTGGTGATAACAACTAGTTGCTATGGGTCAGCCGCGATTCTCGGTCCGCGGCTTTTTCCGATCTGCATTATTGCATGTGAAACATGGATAGCAGTTCAGCATGATGTTTACAAGCAAGTACGGTTGCTTGTTGTTGCTCATAAAGTAGATCAACAAGGCACTTGAACAGTTTGTAGGAGCTGAACCAAGGAGGTCGACAGTATAATATAATGATAGAGCTCACCAACCCGATATAAATGATATCTATTGAAATGTTCATGACACTATGACCCACAATCAAGATATATAACTATAGTACTTGAGGAATTTATGTACGTATAATCATCAAGAAAGAAGGTAGCGACAGCAAAGATATTGAATGCTTGTATGCAACTTGAAAGGATATGTGATGCTTGATTTTAATTTGTTTTGACGAATTTTTACAGCAAACGTGGGAGTTTTTAGTGCGATGACGAGATGAGAGAAGATGGATGGGTAGCTTTTTTACAAAAAGATGTGTAAGAGATATGGAAGGCTTTTACATATAAGATTCTTTGGATGGCGTGTGTGTGGGCGCGTGTATGAGAAGCTATGTATAAGTGCGGCAGTGGAGTGTACGTGTGTTGTGGTTCCTGCCACAAGAAAGACGTGTCCTGTGTTTTTTTGTCTTTTTACAACGTATCGTCTTCCATCATCATGGCCCGGGTATCGAGAACAGTGGCTTTTCGTCGTTCGTAATAGCTCATGCGTGCATCGTGAACGAACGGATTGGCAGCCAGGTCGGCATCAAAAACAGGTAGCGCACTCACCATCGTGGTTCTTGTAGTTGATAGGGAACCGAGCAGCAGCAGCAGCAGAGACAACACCAAGGCGAGCCGAGAAACAGTAGAAATCATGTTTTTTTGAGTGTGTGTATAATTTGAAGACAGATGGAAGGAAATTGAGCTGGGTTGTGAAGAGAAAGAGAATAAAAAAGAAGAAAGGGCAGAAAAGGATAGAAGGTAGCGGGTATTTATATCCCGTCCAAACGTGGCGGCTGAGGCCAATGGTGATATTTACGGTGACATTTCCAGGAATAGGTAAACAAACGAGGGAGGTGCTAAAGAAGAAGAGGAGGAGGAGGAGGGGGGGGGGACATTACTTACCCACAGTCATCGTGCAACTACTACTGCTATGTGCACTGCTCGTGTACATCATCTGGAGACCACATCACCTGGTCTTGCTTCTCTTTTACATCCAATCTGAAGATACAGTATACATGCAATCTATACCAGCAAGTCAAAAGAAAAATAGGAGTATATATTCCCCGCTCTTCCTTTAACAGTGACAAAGCCAAGGGGGCCCTGCTCACCACCAAATGGAGCAAACCCATAAACTAAAAAAGACCACTTTGAGTGTGTTAGCACGTTCGATCATCAAGGTCCTTGCTTTTGCTTTGCTGCAACTTGCAGACACTTTCATTCGAGTGCTGCAATCAACCCTCCCCCTCGAAACGTAAGAGCTCCTGCCCACTCTTTCCACCCCTTTAAACAATATCATCGCTCTTGGTTTTTTTTAATATAAGCATTTGTTCTATGCTGATCTTCTCTTCATTTTTTTCGTACAAAAGAGAGATTATCTGCGCGGTCAATGCTTCGGTGTCTGTAAGTATCCAGTAGTCGGTAGGAAAACACGGCGGTATTAACAACCCATACTGCCAGTATACACTGCTACGACAAAAAGATGGCGTTTCTGTATCACTTTCTATAATGCTACAATGTTGTTGTTACCCTTTGCTGATGGCCCTTGAACGTTTCACAAACAACGTACCTGCTGACGACGAGTTTGTAACAGCAACAACAACAACGGGCTATAAAGAACAATCATTTTTTCTTTTTCTAATAAGCTGTGCAATCGTAAATAAAGCTGTAGGTGTTGGCGTTGTCGTATTTATCTTTATTCTCCTTTTCTCCCTGCACTTTATTGAAAAAGGCTAGTATCGCCGCTTCATGATGTATGTTCCATTTCATCAAAGTACATTAGCACACCCTCTTGTAATAACTTTGAACCGATATAAGCAGTGGGCAAAATAATGATTGCAGCTGGTAGCGAACGGCTTGCAGACCCTTGGTCACCCTACCTTCATCCGTCTCGGATTCTTGATCCGTAGTCGCTTCGCATTTTGATTTTACAGTACAGTACATGTAGAATTGGTCTGTTACAGTAACAACTTTAAAGACTGTGTAGCAAACATACCCAACAAGGTAATCCGTTGGTTTTTTTTTTCCTTATCCGCCATCGTTTACGTAAAACTATGCGGGCTTGTGTGCCTGTGCCTCTTTGTCGCATGACGAAGACGGAGGGTAACACGAGCAGCCGCCACCTGCTACATATAAATCTGTTGTTGTGATGCTCTGTATGTGGCACCGGAACGAGCGCACCACATATTTCGGCGTATAGTCAATTTACGCCTCTCTTTACTTGGATGAGAAAATGGTGCTATAACTTTTATGTCATTTGAAGACAACATTAACTTATATACAACAAAAACTTGTCAGATCGAAACACGGTAGACGGCACGTGGTGTAGAGTGAGTTATAACAATTGCTCTAAACTCTCAGGAGAAGATGGGTCCATTCTTTTTCATTTTTTCAGATACCTCCTTTCTTCTTCTTCATAATCTGTAACTACTACTTTGAGTGATATATACTGCAGAAATCTATGACGTAATAAACATGTGTAAATTATAACATACATACGCGTGTAAGCGTTAGGAAACGGATAGAACCTGAGGGCTTTTTTTTGCGTTCCCTAGGAAATAGCTATCAAAAACCAATTGGTTCTAATAGTGCCTCTTGTAAAATGATTGGCTTTAATCTTATAAAAAGTACACAGCTTTGTCGTTGTGTGTTCTGCTCTTTAACAACTAACTCCATGTATTTCAACAAAACGAACAATCAGCTTTTCCGTTCAAAAAAACAGCAACAGCGCTATGATAGGAAACAACAGAGAACTAAACAATATATCCATCAATTTGAGCTAGTCGTAGAAGTACGTGGACTTTTGATTATCTATTATATAATTTTTTCTTGGCCTCAATAGGAGTTGGTGTTATATGAAGCATTAGGCGGGCAAACTTTCAGGAATAAAATGAATGTATGAAGAAAACATTCAAAGATGCTGAACACAACTTAGTGCCAGACTAAGGATGGTATAGTTAGCGGTAGCGCTTAAGAATTACTGTCTGACATTAATAAAAAGTGCCTGCTCATAGCTTTGAGTTTCCTCTTTTTACTAATTAAATTTTTGAAGGACAAGTAACGAAATGCTATACATAATGGTTGAATAAGAGTGCGCATCGTGTTGTTAATAGAGCGATGCTATTACTAAAATGTGCGTCCGACTACTAAGTGCATCGAGTGTGGGGCGTTCTATATGGAAAAAGAGAGCGAGTCAATTTGTTCGCAGTGTTGTATGTCGATGCTCCTTTTATATATGCTATGTATGTGCGCTGATCGTCACTGAGATCTCTGTCGTTTTGCAAATGTCTGACTATACTTCCGAATCAAATATAATATCTAGGACACACAATTACCATGGCAACCAAAAGCGTGACGGTAAACGTATACGATCTCATTAAAAGGGCATCTCACGCTGCGCCTTCCTGTCATCAATGCACATACTATCTACAAAATGCATGAATAAAACGTATGGCGGCACTTTAAACAATGCTCCAACGAGCTCCACTGCAAAATTAGCTCAACGTCGTGGTAGGTTGTGGTTTATCTGTACACTAGACATGGTTCAGTCGCGTTCGATGGTGGACCTATTGAACCGGAAGAAGCTTTTTCGGCTACTTCGTGCTGCACGTACTTACTTTAAAATACCACTTAGAATTCCCTATTGTTATATACATCACCGCCTTTCTCAAAGTGTCTTTTATAATAATACTTCTATGACGGATATCGCTCGTATAGTGTTTATATGCTGATACATACAGGTACTTCCATGAAATATTTACTATACAGGAACGCACACCATCACCGGGCGTAATATACCAGCAATTAACTTCGTCGAATCAATAATAACAAAGACATATGAGCACATACTCTTATTTATGTCTCTCCTCCCTCAGCATACGTTGTTATTTGTCCTGATGATGGTTAATGATGTGTCGAGCTTAGATATGATAAAATTTATAAATTATCAGATGGTAGCGATGATGATAGCTCAATCAAGAAGCAAAACAACTAGAAGAATCCAGACAGCAATGACAATACCTCTGCAGTAATGGAATAACATATTCATCAGGTGCAAGTTCATTTGGAAGAAGAAGGAATAGGAGAAGGCGAGCAAGATGACTCCTTTCCGTAGATGGCGTGTTGAGGTGAAGGCGTCCATTTCCATTAAGCAGGTATCTGTGAATAAAACAAAGTACGCAAGCGAGATTTATAAAGTAATTCCCATTGTTATTAACCTTAGCACTGCCGGTTTATTCTTTCCCTTTCTGTTATTTTGCACCGTTGAAAAATATCAGAGTGGTAAGTAATAGTTCCGCATTACTGTTGCATATGTGAACACCAAATGTTTTTGTCCACATTTACATCAGAGCTACTCACTAACATCAAACTATATTTATAGTACAGGCGTCACCATCGATCTACTCAAAAGACACAAATCCGAGCAGACCAAAGAGTTTACAACGCGGTCAACGTCCATAAGAACTACTTGCGCGGTTATTGAGCAGACTTTCTCGCCTTTTTGTCGCCTCTTTGAAAGTGACGTTTGGTCCAAAAATCACGCTTTGAAGGCAGGCACATGGAAAGATCAGTGCAAGCTAATCGATCCAGGTGAAGACCAAAATGATAAGAAAATCGTGTTGTGATAAGCTGCGTGCAGGAAGAGTGAGAGAGACGAACAGCTGAAAAAAAACATTCCAATTTTTTACAGATCTGACAATTATACAGGTCTGCTGGCGTATGCTCTGGCGTTGCCTCTTATAAAAAAAACCGACCATATCCTCGATAACAATTTTTTTCTTGACAATTGCTTTGGCAATTTAGGCGAACACAGAAAGTGAAAAAGAGTGCCAAAGCATTGTGATCGTGTTACTTTCGGCTACGATACAGAGCCACTGTCACTGTTCCCCGCTTTGTTTGGCACGGAGCTGTGAATGAATGGAGGGGGGAGTATTTAGTATTTTGTTCGCGAAAAAAGAAAAAGAAACCAGTCGTGCACATAAAAAAAAGGCGAATAAAACGTTTATGCGGAAACTGCGAAAAAGAAAAATATATTTTTATTATTTTGTTTATCATTTTCTTATTTGTGTGTAATAAAAAAAAAGTTCGTTTCAATTATCCCAACATATACCGTTGGCATCACATGCACCCGAAGGTTCACGATCGGCTGCCGGAGTATATGACCACATTCCCACTGGTATATATTGCAAATTTTCTTCAGGGCGCGGACCACTGAATCTGCCGATCATCAGAAGAATTATGACAATAGCCAGCACAAGCAATGACCCGATCATGGCACAGAGCAGTGCATCTGTACTACAGACCAAAGCTGTACCAAAACGAACTGAAGAGAAGAGAAAAAAGAAAGGCGAAATTGCTCGCTTTATATAGACAATTTTTCTCGTTCGGGACTTCAAATCCCCGTGAATTTTCATTGGCCCAGATAACGGGTTGCGAATCAACTTGTGGGTTGCCTACTATGGCTTAACAAAAAGATACAGCACCAAAGGAAATGAAAGGAGTGGTATACTTGGTGGTCAAGTAGACAAGCGTGCTTCGGCGGTAGTGGTACGTGTCTCTCACCATGGGCTGCTGTACCTCCGATGCTGTCGCCGCTTGGTTGTGAGGGGTCCGTGCACGGCACCGTGTCAAGCGAAAACAAAGACACGAATGCAAATGAGCAAGTAGATTCACGGAAGAAATGCTTTTCTGCGAGCAATAAAATGACGGAAATAGGAGTAACTGACAAGGTAGACAACCTAATAGGCTCTCCAGCATCAGTTATTCAGTGAATATCAAGGACACGATCCTCCCAGCAGCCAGTTTCCATTCTTCACCCAACAAGATAAACAGTATAGAGCGTAGTCCACAGACGATTCCATTTTGCTAGTATCTTTTGACTGCATGTGCGGTGTGCGGGATTAGATACACCACACACTTGACCCGAACGCTGCAGTGTATATAAAAAAGACCCGTTATCTTTTATTGTGAAGCGTGCTTGTCTACTGTTGCTTTATAATTTTCGCCATCCGCCAACAGTTCTCTGAACTACGCCGTGTAACCAAGTATGAATGTGCTGCCGCAGATAAGCTGACCGCTCATGGTAAGTATACGCTGCCGCTAGTAAAGCTGACTCACCCTTCATTGATTTCATCGCTGCTGACAGAGTTAATCGGCTCGTTTGTTTTTGTGCGGGTTCTACGTTTTTTTTTGAGCAGCGTACAAGATCCATTGGGACGATCAAGAGAATAACACTATAAACGGTGACTTCCTACTGTACAACTTTTGACCCTTTTGCGCGTAATTCGTTGCTCCATTCGTCACCTTGTTCACTCGCCATCCCTTTGTGCATTTCGAGTGCGAAGTCAATTGGCCAATCTTTGCGTCACAATGCGCTTTCACTCTACATAGTTTTCGTTTCAGGGGATAGCTGTTGGAACGTTCAAGGTTCAACACACGCGTAACTTCGCCAGTATTCAAAAAAGAAAAATCTGTGCTGCGCTCTTCCTAATTTCCTCATTCCTAGACTATTTTGCTTTCTTCTGATTTACGTCCGTTATGCTTGTCGTAAGTGTGGGTTTGTGCGTACGCATTCATAGCCTTCGTTTGTAATAAAAAAAAAGAGAGACGTAGCGAATTTTCCCCTATTGTTGCCTATTTCCACAGCAAAATACACATCGTGTCTCTGATCGTCTACTTGCTTTTGATATACGCTAAGAGCACCGTTTACTGTGGATTACGTCCCACTAAGCTTCACAAATAGTCCCTTTTGGTATAAATTTCGATCCGCTTAATTTTTACTATGTCTTGTTTTAAGATGCCACAGAAAAGTGTGCTGGGGACGAGCAGCTTTTTCGCTACAAGACTTCTCCCAGCAGTAATTCCATTCACGTCTGGTGCATAGACTGGTGGCAAGGTGGCATATCAATTAAAGTTGACAGGGATAGTAATATGTGTTTGCTTTTTGGACTACATGCGTTTGCTTTAAACCATGTAAAGTTTCCCGTATCATGAACGCTCCAAGGCTACGTTTTTGGGTTTGAGCCACTGATTCGGTCAGTGTACGGAATGTTTACCAAGATCATGTCATCTTTATCAATAGGTCAAGTAGGACTTGGTCTTTGGATCGCTTTCAAAGGCATTGCATACCGTGGGCGACGACTGATAATGAGCGCCGAAATGACTATCTGTCTCTCCAATAGGGATCGTCGCTTAACAGAAATACTCATAATTACTAGATTTCAATGGAAGTTTTCCCAACAGTGGATTATGATGTTTGGGGAATCGTTTGGTCATATAAATATGTGGACAGTAGCATATCGTCAAATACATAATCAAAGGGACAAGATGGGCGGTGGAAATAAGGAAATCACAACGTGATCTGCCGACGTTGGTCAACATCCAAACTTGCGTTGAATCGTTTTTAAATATAATGAGGATAATCATGAAATATCTCCAACAACCATTGGAAAAGAAACGTCGTATCTTTGGGCAAGAAAACTATGGCAACTATCATCTACATTTTCAAATGCGATGCTTCCCATCTTTGCACCATCATCTCATCGATCAAAAAGGCCTCACAATGTTTTTTGGTATAAGTTCTATTTTGCCCTGTACGTCGTTGGACACGCTGATAATTACGCCTTGCGGTATCAATCGACGCTCAAGCGAGGCGTGCTCTTTAAATCCCATTATGTTATCGAACAATTGATGAAACACCTTGTAGCCAAACAAATTGCAGAGTAGATAGTCTGCAAGAGAGACATTACCGAAACTACAATAACGTTTATGTGCAATACAGTAAAGTGTATAACAAATCAGTAGAATCTGTACAAACGACCAATGTCTGGACGCATAAACCAAAACAAGGAGACCCTCGATATGTGTACAGTATACAACACTACATCAAAGACATGTTATTTATTTTCGACCTTACAAAGAATTGTATGCTACTATTTGGCTTATGATGATAAATTTAATTAAAAGTGAGGGGAAAAAAGAGAGCAAAAATAAGATAAACTAAAGTTCTGGAGGAGGGCAGTGGCTAATGTTGCATATGCGGTATAGTATTATGTATTAGTTCTTACTGCTTTGTTTAAGTAGTTCCTAGTCCATGCAAATCAGCTCCGATCATTTGTGTGTATGATCAATTCTGCCTCTGAGTGCTTAATAGCTACAGTGCCATATAATGCAGACAGAGATAGGTTGTTTAAACGCTTGTTTTAATGCCTACGGTACTGATGACTATTAAAGCAAAGCCAGCAAGTACATGATATGAACATTCATACGAATACTCAATATAGAAATAGTTTATGAATTAGTTCCATCTGCTGACTGTCGTTGCATAATATGACGTGCTCGTAATACTTTACGTGATAAGACTCGGATTCAATGTGTTACGTGGTCTGGGAAAGTTAAAAGACGTGACACAAACATTTCTAACACATTTGAGCTTATTGCTTATAAACAAGGTCTAGTATAGAACAGAGCACTTCTAGTAGGATACATAACCAATACACGCTCCTGCTGTATTATATTTTCAGTATTAAGAAATGCCACGTCATCATACTGCTGCTGCAATTGCGGACAGCGGATCGGCGACCGAAGCGTTAAGTAATGGAGGGGATAAGCCTTCAACAATACTATATGAAGATAACGAAAGTATTTTTTATATGAGTCAGGCCGTCTTCTGCCGAGAGTTGAAATGTGGCTCAATTTTGTAACGGTAAACAGGGGCTCGAGGTGGTATACTGACGTAGTCTTGTGCGAGGGAGTCGCCGCAGCAGCAATTATCTTTTCCCTTCTCTTGTAAACAGAATTTTGACGCAACTAGCATTGTATACTGTCATATTACTCGTGTAAGTCTCTTTTCATCAAGCAAACGTAAATTTCAACAAGTACAAAAAGTGTAATAATCGATGAAGAGCTTAGAAACATACAAGAAGAGAGAAGGCGGGGTTGCTTACCAACGTTAATGTTGGATGATGATGTGTAACATCCATAAAAAGAATCACCCTTTCTTATGGCGTACTATTACGAAAGCCTTCCTTTTTTGAAAATCGACGTGAAGCTTCAATGCAAAATATATAAAAAGGTGCGCAACTTCTACATTAGCAAAAACTTGTCTTATTATCAATAGCCCATTTAAGACTTATAAACACAATGGTCGATATTTTAGTTCCCTCCGAATATGGCTACGTAAGTAAAGGAGCTAACATAATTCATTTTTTAAGGAAGAACCAGCTGCTAACAAACAATATTTGCATGAAATAGATTCTCATTGTAGCTATTCTCTCCATAATCCAGCTCAATGTGTTCGGCATTGCTACCTTCACCGCTAGAAAGCGCGCTGGTGTACCTTATCCACAGGGTAGGAAAAGAAAAGCACATTATTGGAATCGGAGAAACTCACCACAGACGATATAATAGAGTACGCTGAAAAAGCTGAAGCTGAAGCTGATTTCGACAAGCATCTTTTCAACTGCAAGCAACGAGTCCATCAAGTATGTTCATCTCCTAACAACATAGACAAATACCGTAGACGATGATATTTACACGATCTTTTTTATACGTAGAACACACTCGAGAGCTTTCCTGGATTTGCAGTTCTACTTTTCAGTGGCGGTTTAACATGTCCCAAGACTACTGCCTCTGCCGGCGCAATTTACCTTTTGAGCCGCGTCTTCTACAATCATGGTTATTCTACCGGCACTGTGGAAAAGCGCGGCCATGGTCGATTTGGTGTCCTTGGCACGTTGGTCATGTTGGGCACTTCCATCTTCACTATATATAGCTTATTTGCTGGAGAAAAGTAAATGCAACATTCCTAGTACTTCAGTTTTTATGTCATTTTTATTCATTCATCAAAGCAATAAACATCTTATATCCGCATACCTCAAATAATACAAGTGTTGCACTCGCGAGGCGGATCTACAAACAAGAACGCGCTGTTGAAAGTTTATTGGATATAGCGCTATGCTGCGCATTGATTTCATTCACTCTTGTTTTCTCTCCATTCTCCCTTTCTTACAACACAACACAACGCATTCTAGGCAATAATGATTCTCAAAAAGCCCAAATCACTCATTCTACAACAGAAACAACAACAGCAGCAAGAGCAAGAAAACAGTCTTAAACGATTTCCAAAACGAAAACGAACAGTAAAAAGCTACGCACTTCAGGATGGTGACGAAAATCGCAACAATGATAGTGACGACTCTGACTTTGACGACGACGGAAGCAACAAGAAGCGTTGCACATTGATTGATTTGTCCAATGCACCTCCCATGAAGAATTGCTTGTCTCGCATACCCAAAGGGTTTGATGCCAACGCTGTCCTGACCAAAAAATTCCATGTCCCCATGGCGACAAGTAGTAATGGCAATGCATCTTTCGTGGCTGATTCATTTGGTGCACGTCGAACACTCGGTATGCGACGACGACCGGGCTCAATGAACCGATTACTTTACGATCCCAATGCTGAAGACGTGATTGTATTGTGGGATCCTAAAGAGGAAGAAGAAGCAGCAGCTGCCGCCGCCGCCGCAGCAGCAGCAGCATCATCATCAGCAACAACAAATGAAAATAACGAACAACAGCCGCCGGTCAAAGTAGAACACAAACAACCAGAAAAATTACGACCAGGCAAAAAGTCTATATCAGAGATATTGGGACTCAAGAAAGAAGAGAGCAAAAAAGCCCCTGTGATGCTCGATCCAGTGTTGACAAGAATTCTGCGACCGCATCAATTGGAAGGTTTAAAATTCCTGTATCGCTGCACGACTGGAAAAGTCCAGTCAGATGCATTTGGGTATGTTATTATATGTTATAAAGGAAATTTCTCTAGTGCGTTTATGTTGAATATTCTTCTTGCTTACGCTATGTACACAGTTGCATCATGGCAGATGAAATGGGTCTTGGTAAAACAGTAAGTATTACTTTCCTTCGGTATATGATCCTTTGACTTCTTCCATTCTAACGCTCTGTATATTAGCTTCAATGTATCTCCTTGGTATGGACACTGCTACGACAATCAGGCGAGATGGGCAAGTCTACGATCCAAAAGGCTATTATTACATGTCCTTCAAGTCTTGTCCGTAACTGGGCCAATGAATTCAGTATGTATATCGCCCACCCCGTATGTATCTGATGAAACAAGTCGTTCATGTAGTTCTTAATATTCTTGCTTCTAAAAATAAAGCCAAATGGCTGGGTGAAAATCGGGTCAGACCGCTTGTCATTGACAATGCTGGCAGTAAAGAAAAAATCATCACTGTCAAGCGATGGGCTGCTGCACAAGGACAAATTGTCAATCCAGGTAAACTTACTATTATTGATAAACAATGTTGTATCATCTCATTCCATTGCTAAAGATTTTGTTTCCTTCAACACTCTAGTACTGATCATATCCTACGAGACTCTACGATCATATACCAAATACCTAAAGAACTCTCCAATTGGATTACTTCTCTGTGACGAAGGTCATCGTTTAAAGAACGGATGTAAGTTAACTAATTTGCTTACTTGACCCTTCTTTTCCTCTTTCACTCATAAATCTCTTTTTATCTAGCATCTTTACTGTTCCAAGAATTAAACAGCTTACCAGTACGACGGCGTGTCATTCTGTCAGGCACCCCGATCCAAAATGATCTAAGCGAATATTATTCCTTACTCGACTTTGCAAATCCTGGCTTGTTAGGAACACCGAATGAATTTCGTCGCAACTTTGAGAATCCTATCCTACGTGGTCGTGATGCGGATGCTTCTGAAAAGGAACGTCAGCTCAGTGATGACAAGGTGGCCGAGTTCTGGTCTATTGTTTCCAAATTTACGATTCGTCGAACAAACGATATCCTCACCAAATATCGTAAGTAATTTTGTCTACCTTGAGGTTACAATGTGTGGGTGTGCGTATATTTCCTGATAGTATATTTACCTTTTTCTTCTTCTTCTTGTTCAGTTCCCACAAAATATGAACACGTCGTCTTTTGTAAACTTGCGCCATTGCAGTTGGATCTGTACAATGTGTTTCGCACTTCGCCTGAAATCAAAAAATTGCTTCGAGGGCAAGGAAGTCAACCACTAAAGGTAAAAATTGGAACAAATGTGCCTTTCCACACAAATTGAGCTTATGATTGAACCTCCAATGTTTTGATATCCTTTTAGGCCATCACGATGCTCAAGAAGCTGTGTAATCACCCAGGATTATTAAAATTACCGGAAGAACTTGAAGGATCCGAAGACGTACTCCCAGATGATTATCATGGCACGGGTCGACATGCTACAGTGAATCCGGCCTTTTCTGGTAAATTCATGGTATTACAACGGTAAGTACCTGTTTGAATCCGAAAAAAAAGAATGGTTCAGGGCTTTTCTCATAGTTATTAACTCTATCACTATTGGGATAATTCAATTGTAGCATGCTGGCCAAGATCAGCCGTGAAACACAAGACAAGATTGTCATTGTCAGCAATTATACACAAACACTTGACCTTATCCAAACTTACTGCCGACAAAATAAGTAAGTTTTATCGATGGTTTCAAAACTGGCAGTAATATAAGCCAGGACGCTAAGTTTCCCTTTCAAAATAAAAGGTACGGTGTGCTTCGACTAGATGGTACCATGACAATCCCAAAGCGTCAAAAACTGGTTGATCGTTTCAATGATCCGGAAGCAGAGGAGTTCGTGTTCCTTCTCAGTAGCAAAGCAGGTGGTTGTGGTCTAAATCTCATTGGCGCAAACCGACTCATTCTCTTTGACCCTGGTAAGTAAACCTGCGGGATGATAAATATAAACATATGCATATTGATGGGTTTGTGTTCTTTTCCGTTGTGTTGACTATAGACTGGAATCCTGCTGCCGATCAACAAGCCTTGGCTCGTATTTGGCGTGACGGACAGAAGAAGGATTGCTTCATCTATCGATTCATTGGCGCTGGCACTATCGAGGAAAAGATCTTCCAACGACAATCCCATAAACAATCGATTTCCAACTGTGTTGTAGACGAAGCAACAGACACGGAACGTCACTTTTCTCTTGCGGATATGAGGCAACTCTTCCAGCTGAATACCGAGAGTGAATGCGAGACGCACGATACATTCAAATGTACGTACCTTTGGAGAAAAATAGCTTAAGAGTAAAAAGACATGCTGATTTCGTATTCTCGATTATATGATGCGGGTGGGGTAACTCGCTTTGATTAGGTAAGCGCTGTATTCAAGGAAAACAGTATCGTAAAGCTGAGGCTATGCAATACGGTGATGCAAGCAGGTATGAAAAAAGAAACCAGAATCAGGCTCTTTAGCTTGTAAGAAAATATACTAATGTCGTTGCTATATCAGCTGGGACCACTATGACAAGGATCTATTGCGACTTCCTGACCCAATGTTACGAGAAGAAGCTGGAAAGGGCGTGGTTTCCTATGTATTTGAGTTTATATCGCACATGAAATGAACACAATGGGCTTATTTTACGGGGCCGTTTATTGAACAAGCAGATATAATCATATATCCACCGATCCTATCTACTAATACTATTTGCCATGAGACACAATAATGGAAAAAGTACAAGTTTGGGGCTCGGATAAAATAGTTAAAAGCGTATTACATTAGCCTTTTATCTATAAAGATTCAAGAGAAAACAACGTGTTTCGTAATATACTGTATTGATGTTGCTTGTAATATTATTGGCGATGACGGCTTATGTCCACGTAGCTCTGAGGGAAGAATCTACCGTGTGTGTGCATATGTAAACATTTTTCCGTATTAGACAGTACGAGCGACGCTGAGCGCCCTTAATATCCCCGCTGAGACACCGGACTAGTTAGTGACTTTAGTAAGTGCTTCAAAAAACATTTGTTTGTTATCCGTGCCTGATCGGCGGGCAGGGGCTTGTGTTGTAAAAATGGAACTGGTGCCGCTGCCGTTGTTGTCATGGAGAAACGTACCCTTAACAACCATCGTTGCTGTTGTGATCCGAGCCCGGGTTGCCATGGTTTTATGGCATGTTGCCAACTATGCAGACATGTGTACAATGTGCTGATGAGATCACAACGTGATACTGGTTTTGTACCTTATCGTAATGCATACAAACCGGGCTGTCAATTACAAAGGACGGTGATCAATGTCAGCTACCAAATACAGCTGCCAAAAGTGTGGGAATGAGTTGGGGGAAAAACCCCTCTCGTCGAAGTTATTGTCGCTCATTGTCAGCTTCTAACATAAAATACAGAATCAACTGATTTGTGTAAGCAGATGGCTGACTTGCTGTTAATGATCATGATGATGAACAATACAGGAGCGATAGGTTGAGCTACTTTTTATTTGCTCATGTAGCAATCAGGAGGTATCACAAGGGCCATATTATGTAAATACAGGTGATCATGACACATTAGTGATAATAACACCCGGCAGATCATCGTCTTGTCGTTAGAAGAAAACGTTCCTCAGCTTTCATGCTTTGCAGCAGCCTATTTATTAGTTCTCATATCGATGGATCGAATGGTAACCAATCAATCACACCTCCAGTTACAGCTGTTTGGACGGGGTTGTTAATAATCTGTTTCGTAATTAAGAAGAAGAAGAAGAACCGGTTTCATCAGCTGATCAAAGTTTAAGAGGAAGCTTTTACCAGATGTTTCACAAGAACGGTTATTTTTGTCGAATTGCTCAGTGTACAAGAGTATTTTTACAGTTTGGCTTCCTGGGCCGTGCGTTTCCCTTTCTTTCTTTATTTTGTTTGTCATCACTGTCCAACTTAATATTACTACTGCTGTTCTTACTCTACTAACGTGCTCTACTACGTAGGAATGTAGGAGACCCCTGTACAACAATAAAGTATTCGCGAATGATCCATGATCCAGGACATATCCTTTTTTTTTGTGGAGCGACCAATGATAAGCCGGCAAAGAACTTCCCGATAGGTTAGATAGAGAGTCTAAAAAAGTCCTCCCTTTCTCTATGATTATGGATCTTCCAGCGGACCTTTTGCAATTCTGTGAAACATCTTTTGCAGGCAGCGCACACACACACACAAGGGAGGCTGAATAAATTTTACCCCGAGTAGGACCAACCAGAGCTACGAGTTATCGATTATTCATCGAATACAAGCAACTGGAGTGTTTGATCAGAAAGGCTGGAATAGGTGCTTATAGTATGTGTGGCCAGTAGCGATCGCTTTGGCCCCATATGAAAGCGAGAAAGAAGAACAAGACGATTAAAGGGTTGTGTCATGGAATCAAAACGTGGAAATAATTTTTTGTTGTTGTTGTTGTTGTTGTTGTCGTCTTTCACACTCCCCGACGAATGATAATAGCTTGAAGAAGCAAACCGTTACTCTCTCTCCCCAGCATCCCTTTTGCAGCAGATATCTCCACATAGTCCTTTTCTTTATTTCTTTCCTTTCTTTATTCCAGCCCAACCTGAATTTATCACTTCTCCGGCTGAAAGGAAAAAAAGGGCCTATCACTTTTTTTCATAGCCGTTATCTTATTCGTAAAAACTAACCTTTTGTTCCATTGCGATCTTTTGCCATCTTTGTTCTTTTCTTATTTTATCTCTCTCTCTTTTTTTCTTATTTCTACATAATTTACCCCAATGGAAGCCCAAGCTTCAGATCTCCCATCATCCGATCCCACCGAAGCTGCTCATACCATGACGATATCCGGAGAGTTACTTGCGCTTCCGATACACCAACAACAACAGCAGCAGCAGCAGCACCATTCGGAATCAGGGGTTACTTTTTCAGTTCCTGCCGTTCCGGTCGCACACCAGTCATCGTTTCCAGCTCATTTTGCAAACACGCCACAGGTCACCACGCCCGAAGACGGTCAGCCTTTGTTTCAACACCAATTTTCGGGTGCATTACAACAGCAATGCCATACGACACCTGGACAGGCCCTGGCGTTCCAGCATGCCGGCGGCAGTGGTTCACAACAAGCACAGCAGCAGCAAATGCCCATTGCTTTGAATGCCAATCTGCAGCAGCAGCAGCAACAGCAACAATTACATGTTGACCCTCGCCAGCAGCCACAATCTGTCTCTGCAGATTTAATGAAAGTTGCTCCTTATCAACAACAGCAACAACAACAACAGCTCATGGCAATGGCAGCAGCAGCAGCTGCTGCTGCTGCAGTTCACGATCCCAATGTGCAGCAACAACAACAGCAGCAAGTGTTTAGTCCTCAACCTGCAGGGCTTGTCAATCAACACCCTGCCGCCTCTCAAACAGATCGTATGACGATGGTATCAGGAGATCATCATCAACATCAAGATACAACTTTTGTTGTTACCCAGCAATCATCACCACAGCAGCAGCAGCAACAACAGCCACAACAGCCACAACAGCAACGACAAGCATTGATGATGGGACACGATACGACTTCTCCTGGTGCAATGATGCAGGCGAACGGGGAAGTTACAATGGCTAGTGATCCTAGTAATGTAAGTACTAATAGAGAAATGGCGTCAGATGACAAAGTGTAGAACAAAGCAGACATTGTGTGTTTTACTTACGCGTTTTGCCTTTTGTCAATAGCCACAGATGATGTCGGGGTTGGGCCACCACGTTAATATGATGCAACAACAACAACAACAACAGCAGCAGCAGCAGCCACAGCAGCAAAATATGCCAGTGGATCAAATGAATGGAAACGCGCAGGTTATGATGTTTAATGGACAAAATATAACGCACAGACCATCGCATGACTATGGCCAACCTCCGCACGTGGATGATCAACAACAGCAGCAACAACAACATGACCTTGTTATACAAAACCAACAACAGCAGAACCAAATGATTCAAGATATATTGTTCGGTCAACAACAACAACAACAGCAGCAGCAGCAGCAGCATCATCCACAACAGGATCCGCAAGATCAGGCGATTGCCGTGGCAGCAGCAGCAGCTCAACATGCAATGGCACAACAAATGGCAGCAGGGTCTCAGCAACAACAGCCAAGATTCACTACTACTAGTGTTGCTGCAACGACAACAACAACAGCAATGATGCCGCCTTCTCAAGCAATGGTGGCACAACAAAATGACAGTAATATACCTTCCAATGTTATCCTGTTGCAGCGTCCCGATCAGCTTGGCATGCGTCAGCAACAACAGAATGACCAACAATCCTATTCAGTTCCAGCTCAACCTGCAATGACGAGTCAGCAGCAAGATACAATGCAACCAGCCATGTTTACCGATCAACATCTGACGACAGTTCCTCAAGAACAACAACAAGACCTATCGTCGATGCAAGAATCATTTTCACATGAAAAGGTAGAAAGGAAGATAGAACATTCATTACTTTATTTGATTTGGTATTTTGAGCAACGTGATAGCTGATCCCTGAGTTAAAGCAGGTTTTGTATTCTGCCGCTATGGCTCAACAACAACAGCAACAACAACAACAGCAAACTGTGCAGGGTCCTGATGTGATTATGGAGGACAATACCAGCAATAATAGCAACAATAGTCGACGCGAATCTATGCATCAGCAGCAGCAGCAGCAACAACAACAACAACCTCAGCCTCAACAAATAACCATTCCATCACCGCCATCAGCGAATGAAATGAAACTGCAATACCAGTCCACTCCATGTCTGTCAGAGACAATAGCTCAAAAGACTGATGTTTCTGCAAAGGAATTTGAGGGCATGTCTCGGGAACAATTGATTGCGCGCTTAATGACGCTCGAGCAGGAGAAGCGGGATGCCGAGCACCAACAACAGCTTCAGCAGCAGCAGCACCACCACCACCAACAGCAGCCGCAGCAATATGGCGTTGGAATGGAAGTGGGCGAAATCAAGTCTGAAACGAGCACAAACATGGATGAAGAAGATGAAGATGGACCGTCAACGCCACCAGATAGCCATCGTACAACAACAGCATCAGCAGCAGATGGTAATAGCAGCATTAACAATAACACGGATCGAAGTGCTACCGAAAGTAATGCCGAAGGAGATGAATTGGAGGAAGAGGATGAAGAAGAAGAGGCAGAAAGCGAAAATCAAGACCAGGCTGCACCAAAACCGATGCAGTGCCTATGGAAGGATTGTGGACAAACGTGTGAGAATATGCAGAAGCTGATCACGCATATCAGTGACAACCATGTTGGCAGTGGCAAGGTACGTTTTGTTTTTGAGATTGGGGGTCGTTTCGGTGGACATTTTTGCAAGTGCGCTAAGACAGAGAACCCCTTCTATGTAGCCTACCTATCGTTGCGAATGGCAGGGTTGTGCACGTAATCAGAAACCCTTTACAAAGCGGCATAAAATGTATAACCATTTGCGGACGCATACAGGCGAACGGCCCTTTTTTTGTCGAAAACCAGGTGCGTTTGAAAAGGGACGATTACACAGGGACGACTTGAGACTCACATTTTTATCTTTTAAAGGTTGTGGCAAGCGATTCTCAAGACCGGACTCACTGACTACGCATATCAAAACGCATTCCAACGTGAGACCGTTCATTTGTCCCGTCAAGGGATGTCAAAAGGCCTACTATCATTCACGGTCACTCAAGAAGCATGAAAAAACGCATGAAGTTCCTACAACAATGTCATCTACTATTACTACTCCTACTACTACTGCTACCACGCCTTCCATCCCTTATCCAAGTGCACAGCAGCCTTATAATTACACGGGACAGGTGCCCGTCGAGTTTTTACATAATGTACAGCCTTTGCCAATGCAGCAGCAGCAACAGCAACATATGATAGACCCAACACAAGCATCATCACAGCATCAACAACATCAACAACAACATAATCATCCTCCTCCTCCTATTCCGCATTCGCAACCACAGTTTCATCATCATACTCATCATCATCCGTTAAATCCACAGACGCCTACGCCGTCGTTCCAGATGTCATCGGCCCCTGCTACTGTATCGTCATCTTCATCGTCGTCATCGCCGTTACAGCAGCAGCAACAGCACATTACTGCAGTAGTATCATCACCTTCACTACCTCTTGAGCAGCAGCAGCAGCAGCAAATGGCGTTCACTGCAGATCCGATGTCGATGCACCATCAAACGTCTGCATCACAGGCAACGTTTGAACCTGTCATGATGGATACTAGCGTGTCAACTACGACGCGTCAACCGCAGGATTTCTCCATGGTGATTGATCCGTCATCGTTGACAACTACAGAGGCAGCGTACATGACAGCCGCTACTTCAACGGATGCCAGCAACAACAGTAGTAGTAGTAATAATGATAACAGTCATACCAGCGGTGATACTAGATATGATGGGTTTGGAGGAACTGCAGTATAACAACTCGCCTTGCCTTACTAACTTCCTTCCTTTCTTCCCTGACCCCCTTACCCCCGGCCCCGTCCACAAAAAAAAGTGTCCTCGTTTTTCCTACCTATTATTCCTTTCATCTATGTATATTTTTTCTTTTTTCTTTATATGGGTATCACTACTTGTCAATCCTGTTTTTTCCCTGGCGGAAAGCTCAACTTGGCAGCAGAGAGAGCACAGCACAACACAACACAACACAACACACATGCACCCTTGTTTTACACACAGACACATACACACCATTTTCTTTGTTGTATCACTATCGCACCACCACGTAATATCCGTTGTTACTATGGCATATAAAGTATGAATTCTACCCGTTTCTGGCGCTTTCTTTGTAATGGCTAAAGCTGAGGCTCAATGTGTTCTTGCACCTATTGTATGCATAATTCAGTTTAAGAGTTGCAATTGTATGATACAGCGTCTTCCCATCGCCCCACAGCAGTGACCTTGTGGCTGAGTTTATATTAACGTCTTTTTCACAATATGAGTTAAAGTGGTCCGTGCAGAAAAGAGAATGGTAGATCATGCTATATTATGGAAAATAAACATTGCTAATGTGGTGTTGTACTAGTGCGGTGATAGTAATAGTAGTAATAGTAGTAGTAAATAAAATTAATTCATGAACGTAATTCATATACTCTTTTGCATAACCCATCAGACCATCCAGGCCTGAAGAATTTAAGGTAAATTAATAGGGAATCAACCGCGCAAAGGAAGACAAAACGAAAGAAAAGGTATATGATAGGAATAATAAAGAAAGATGACATTCTGCGCGGAGACGGTAATATGTAATGTGCGAGAGTCAGACCAGAAGTGTATATGCGCAGAAGAAAGAAAGTATTATGTCACCAATGTCTTGTTCACAAAAGAGGCAAGACCTTGTGCATCGGTAGATTTCAGCAAACTTTGTTCAATGTGCAAGTCGAGTTCCTACAAAAGACGTCATTTGAGTAAAGCGTTTCTACTACTGCACAGGAATCTGAAAACATACTGCAACAACGTCTTTGGCGGTGGGTCGATTTTCAGGGGTTTCTTCTAAAAGCCATGCGACAAGACCAGTGCAGTAGATGGTCGGATAGCTGTACGTGAAAGTGGGGCTAGGTTCTTCCAGGATCTTGTCAAACACTTCCTCGTCGTCCTTTGTTGCGTAATGCGGAGGAACACGGTCCATCATCTCAATCAATGTGATACCGAGCGACCAAAGATCAACTTTTTCGTCGTATGATTGTTCCCGGATAACCTCTGGTGCCATCCACTACAATAGCGTATAGTGTTCAAAGTTAAATCAGCCCACACTTTATCACACAATGAAAAAGGCTATTTACCTTGGCTGTTCCAAGTCTTTCGCGATTGGTGTGTCGTGTGCTTGTCGCAAGACCAAAATCAGCTAATATTGTGAAAGAGAAGACACCCAACGCCATGTCAGCTTGATATGATTGGCTCTCTTTTGCACAGAATCATCATCATCATCAATGATGATATTAAACTCACCAAGTTTAACTTCACCGTGGGGGCCGATCAACAAGTTTTCACATTTGACATCTCGATGGATAAACTGTTTGCTGTGCAGAAACACTAGGGCATTCAAGGTCTACACATGTTGATTCGTCAAAAGCAGGATTAGAGCTATTGGCAAAAGAGAAGGCCCCTCTTCCTCTAGATCCCGTCCTTTTTTACCTGTCGGATAATGTATACTGCATATTCCTCTGGCAAACCACGGCAGCAAAGAACTGCAAAGACGCTACATCGCATGAGATCCATAGCAATCCAGACTTCATTCTTGTGGACCGATGCTTCGCGGAGCTTGATTAGGTTCGCATGGCCGCTTGCCATGATTTTAAGTTCACGAACAATAGCAGCACGGTATTCTCGGTCGTTATCCAGTTTGCATCGTTTCAATGCGAGCTTAACACCTGCTGCACCACGAACTCCAACTTGCACAACGGATCCATTGACACTATTTTAGAAGCACCCAAAATTGTTTTGCATTAACATCAAACGTAGAACTTTGTCGAAACACTCCTTTATAGTCCTCTATGAACAGTCTCTTCCTGCCCCATCGTCTCCCTCGCTTATTCACACACACCTCCGTTTCTCTCTCCTCAAGGCCCCGGTGGTCCCTTCCCCTTCTCCTGCCCCTTTATTTTGATTTGGTCGCACACACACACACACACACACACGATATATTTATATATTCATACACACTAACTCTCTCAAACCATTCGCACAATTCACCCTGCCCCCCTCCTTGTGTGAGAAAGACAGAGGGTAGATGGAGAGAAAGAGTCTCCGCTTTTGTCCCTTATTTCTTAATTCCCCTCCCTCCTTTTTTACATGGTTTGAGGTACCAAGTCGACGGCGACGATAATAATAACAACAATAATAACCAAAATTACTACTACTTACCCAGTGCCAATTTCTTTAGATCCTAGATAGCGGTTCTTTGGTAATTCGATCAGTGTGATTTTGGGGATCGCCTTCTTCAAACGCTTCACGAACCCAGACTCTTCATGGCGAACGATAGGAGGAGGTGGAGGTGGCATCCAGTCTGCCTTGCATCGGGCAGGGACCCATGGAGGCTATCGTAGTAGTAGGCTATTGCGTTAGTTTTAGGGAAGAATATACCTAAATATGGGTCTTCTTCATCATTAAGGAACTATACACATTTACCCTTGCCGGACTGGTCTCTACAGGCTTCTTTGCCTGCTTGGGTTCAACATGTACAGGCAGTAAGTACGCTTTGCCTAGGATATCTGGAATTTCGCAGTGGCCAGGCGAGCGCCAAACACCCTATTATCAAACATAGTAAAACGGGAACGACCATTGGTATGCTTTCTTCATTAGGCCCCACTTTTTGTCGTTGCTATTGTCTTTTTTTGTTCGACAGGTCCAAATTAAAATAAAGCTTGGCACTTTCATTTATGTGTACAAACCTTGTCATTGCTCTTATTGTTGCTGCTAATGTTGCTGGCGGCGGTTGGTGGTCTCACTGAGCCCAACGACCTTCTTTTCTGAGGAGCGACAACAGGTGCGGGTTTGTTGGCAGCAGTCGTGTCCGAGCACGACTTGCGCACTGTAGTTTTAACGGTTGCTTGCATGTGTTTAGATCAATGTTGTTGATAATAATTGGAGAGGAAATGTAGCCTGTGTTTTAGAGTATTGGGATTTATAAAGAGGAAAAGAAGACGAGTCCTGGGAATGGAGGAGTAATGAAAGGGAGGGAAAAGAAGCTGGTTGTAGCGTTATTTTACTGAGGACGAGAGCGCTCTAATATTTTTTTTTGCGTATTTTTTAAGTTAGTTCTTAAAGGACAAGTTGATAACGATAGGGAAGGGAAACAATAAAGAAAAAAATGGGGGATGAAGGGAAAGGAGCAGAAGGGCAAGCAGCAGCAGTTGGTGGGCACTTCTTTTTTTTCCACAATTTTCTCGTGACCTTTGCCTTATGCGCTGTGCGAGTGTGTGTCCCTCAAGGAGTTGTATAAGTGCAGCAGGTTTTTTTTAGCTTATTTTGCTCTTGTGGGCTAATAATTTTAATTTGAAGATTTGATGGACCCTTGCCGTCCAGGTACTACCAAGGATGCTAACACTGCTATTATTACCTACTAATAATAATGCATAGATGTACGAGATGAAGATCGAGCCTGACAATTATTAGGATAATAAAGGAACATTAAAAGCTGGGTTGAAGTGATATACAGAAATTATCATATTCGCTATTTGGTTTGATTGGATGATGATCGTGGTGTAATAACAGTAATAATAGATTTGATATATTATAGTTAGCAATCGCAAAGGGGTGTGAGTTTGGCATCCGAGCCATCGACAGTTTCGGCCAAACCCATGCGAAGCATATGGTGATCCCAGATCTGGTAAAACTCGTCCAGGACAATAGTACCAAGCGTCCATTCCTTGAATCGATCGCTACCTCGACGAATATGCGTGTAGCACTTGGCGTCCTCGCTCTCGTCATTCTCATCGATACGGTCCGTCCACAAGGATGCAGGGACACTGATCTGATAATTCTCAAACTTGAAGTTCAAGTTGGGAATTGAGTCGAGCTTGCTGCACTTGAACTCGTATCGATGTTTAAAGATGTTGTAAAAGGCACCAAATTTCAAGTGCAAGATATCGGCGTGGACAGGGGGGGCCTTGATGGAACGTGTGCCTGTAGCAAACTTGGCATACGACTTGTGAGGAAGATCGCAGTCGTACTTGCCCTCCAAACCGACACCCTTCAGGGCAGTTCGCCAGTAGATGGAGTGATTCTCGCATTCTTTCTCGGACGCAGGGAGAGCAAAGTAAGCGATTTCACCGACATAGCGGGAAGGATCGATACCAAACGTGAACACTGCTTGCTTGGTATCCCAGCGCTTGGTACCACCACCGAAACTGCCGCTGGTCTGAGAAGATTCACCGAGAGAACGCTTGCTCACTATATGCACCCAACAAGATATTTAGCTTCCTTTTCTTTTGCTCAAAAACGAAACAAGTCATATACATACATCTGCCATCGACACCTTCCAGGGCACCTATAACAATAACAAGGAATTATTACATCTGAAAGAGAGCACTGAAAAAGAAAGAATTTTTTTTTCTTACTGATGATAGAGTGCAATGCATCTTGGTTACCGTAGCCCAAAAAGCCGACTAGAAATCGTTAGTGTAAAAGCCGGTTAGCAAACGCACGCACATGGAATAATGTAACGGGAAAAACCGCAACTGATCACTTTTGCTACGTACGGTAGTCGGAGGCATCAAAGCCCTCTACTTCGGTAGCAGCGCCGATCGGGAAGTTTTGAAAGTTGATGGGAGTAGAGGTGTCTACATTGCCAAAAGCAACCGTATCCTATAAGCAAACAACAACGGTAAAGATGAGTATAAATTTCTGAGATACGCCTTCCCCATTTAACCAACAAAATATGGATTTGTTGCCATGATTATAATGTATAAGTTTAAGACTGTGATATTAGTTAACCTTGTACATTTGTACGGACACGCCTCGACCATCCTCGTATTCAACCTTTTCTTCTTTTGTGGTATCGCAAAATGCGGTCGAAGAATCTGCAGGATTGTAAAGAGCAGAGGACTGAATGCAATTCTCAGTGTTGCACTACATATTTCCTGAAGACGTTAGCAAGAAAATGAAGACGGGTGTGGCGGAATATATCACACTTTTGAGAACAAAACTTGCCTGGGAGGAAGGCACCCAGCTCACTTCAGACCCAGTGTCGAACAACACTTTAAAATCAGTTTGAGGTGGGGTACCTATCGAGAGCATATCTCTGTTAGAGAGCACTTGACAGATAAAAAAGATAATGATCATACTTACCGACGTTGAGAGAAATGGCATACTTTTGTTTGTGCGAAAGAAAATAAGAAGCAGTGAATCAATCAGTACCCAGGAAAGAAAAACATTATGTTTTTTAATACATCTTTGTTCTTTTGTCGATCTTTTCATGTCATTTTTTCTACATACCAAGCCGTTCTTATAGGTCATATCAATCGTAATAAGTTCGTCTGCAGTTTCATTGGTGTTGCGACGTTCGAGGGAAGGGAGAAATGGAGCAGCCAAAGCACTGCTGGAAGCAAGTGCTAGAGTGGCAATCAAAGTAAGGGAGCGCATTTTTTGAGTGAGCAAAATGTGGATAAGGAGTAGAAGCGTATTTATATTCACAGCACGCAGCAAGTAGTGTTGTTGCTGTGATATGTTTTCCAAGTGTAACGTTGCTCTTGACTTCAAGGTTTCATGCTTTACTCAGACGAGAGAATGGGCGAGAGACTGTGCTACAAAACAAGCGAGTCTGAAGTAACACGTACGCTTAAGCCGAGGTACTTTTGTGTACATTGGAATATATAACGAGCTCACATAATACACGCACATTAGATAGAGAAGATAACAGTATAGTATGTCTTCTTTTCGTAAAGCAGGTGCAGTCGATGTATGGCAGAGCGCTGGTCTATACAAGCACGGTTACAGAAATAGAATGTAATCGTTGAATAACAGTGGTGTTGTTATAATAAACCCATAACATTTTATTGCGCAAGTTTTTTGCCATGATCTACAAAATGAACAGTCCATTCGTGGGATCTAATTGTTCTAGAAACACCTTCTTTTTTTATGGGTTGCTAAAATCTCTATAAAAATCAGCTATTGAGTAAAGTGTCTTCACTGCATAGCTTGTGGATAGTTGCTATCAACTGCTACCAATACCATGCCCACTATCCTTTTCCTTCCGGGCTGCGGTGTCACAAATTAATTTGACGTGTCCCAAGCCTTGGCCATTTGAGGAATTCGGAAGCAGAAAGCTATTCTTGAGTGACAAGAAAACCATTTTTTTCCACACTGAGAAATAAACCAGAATAAAGAGATAAACTGAGAATCTTCTGGTGGACCATATTTACTACTATCACTAGTGAAAAAGCAAGGTGCATAGAAGGAGGGGAGGAACAAAAACCTAAATCTAGTTCGATGTTACTGTATTACACAAAAAACCCAAACAAACTACATAAGAACCATCACCGTCACTACTACAATTTAAAAAACGCTATGTAGTATACCCCGCATTTTAGTTCATCACCATAAAACCATATTGTTGTCCTCCTTTATCATTTGTTCTAGACAAAACTAGTTGGCCTATCTCTGTCTACTACCAAATATTGAGCATGTGCTCGTTATAGGAAAAGAAAAGTAAGTCGCTTTTTTATGATACAGTTGACAGTTCCATACTCGTTTGTGTTCCTTGTATCGGCTAAAGCCAGACTAGGTGCTGTCATGCTTGGGCTGCCATTACATATAAGGAGCACACCTCGCACATCCACGCATTAGATAATACTGCTTTGCCAGCTTATAGTGGCGATAACGTCTCTTCCACGATATTGTAACTCAAATCAGCACAGTGTGACCAATTTAGCGATAGTATTGGTTTTTTTGTCGTCACATTTCCCTTGCTTTGATGCGTACCTTGATTTGGTTCGATGACAGTAACTCGTTATTCGGACTATCTATCTTCATCTGTAGAAAGAGTGTCTTGGAGGGGGTTGTCTGTACCCTGTAACAAGCAACAACGGACAGTATATACCATCGTACATTAACCCATCAATCTCGATTGTTGATCCCTTTTTTAAATTCACGTTTCTTTATAGAATAGCCTCGAAAATTCTAAAGATGTTTGCATATCTTTGTACTATTGTGTACACCAAACCAGCAGTGAGCAATTATGGTTATAGCATATATCAATCTACGTCGTCCCTTGCTCATTATGATGTATTCAGACTTGTTAATTTCCCTTATTTAGTGGAATGCAGGCTTTTCGATGCTATACATATATGCAATCCTTATATGAAGAACTTGACTGCATATTATAGGTCTACTACTGCGCTAATGTGAGGAACAGACTGAAGAGGAAGACGAGGGGCTTCAGGAAAATACATTATATACAGCACAATAGATATATAGTACTATGATGGTCAAAATCTCATTGCTCGACATCAAAAGTACTGCATACACTAGGGTCTAGTGAAAGATATCATCCTGCATATAACCATTTGCCGCAGTAACTATTGCTGGATTCCACTCCGCTGGTACAGTACATAATCCACGGATGATCGATGCTGGAGACGAAGTGTATCATGACAATTTGATGGCTTGTATCTCTTCTCTTTTCCATTTTATCCTTGATCGACCGAAAGAAAGCTTATGCATACAGTAACAAGAATGTCTGATGAGTGGCGGTAGCTCAAGTGCCATTGTAGAAAGAAGCACAATAATGTTATTACTGTTTCGATTTATTTAGGTTATGTGCTTCACGATGAGTAACTCTTGTGGTTGCAGTATATTAAGTACTAGTGGACTCCCAACTCGACCATCAATGACCGTCATCATTCAACTGACACGTCAACTCAAAGCACGTGGATACTTGAGACAGTCTCGATGACAGGTTGCTTCCTTTTTTATTGGGCAGATATTGGATTTTGGGTAAGAAAGAAGAATAAAGAAAGGATATAGAATGGAAGGAACAGCGATGATATTTTTCACGAGGGTGATGCTTCAATGTTCGCTTTCAGAGATATTGTGGCAGTAGTATGGATGTACTGTATACACTTTCAGTAACAAGGGAGCCTAATTCGAGCAACCACAGCCTTCGGAAGCTTGGGCTTCGCCAGAAGCGCACGCACAGTTACTTCCACAGCCGCAACCGCTCCTATACAATATGTTTTTGACACGGTATTGCCATCAGCTCGAATATTCTCAAAAAGTAGGAAAGCCTTTAACTTACTCTTCCGAAGCGCAGGCACACGTTTGAGCGCACTTGCAAGAATCTATGGTACATTGGCAACTATCAGCCTTGCACTTGCAGTCAGCTCCACAGCAAACAGGGTTTCCCATAATGATTGGTTTGGTTCTTTGAGAGAAAATAAGAAAAAGAGGTTAAAGAAAGAGAGAGAAGAAAAAAAACTGCGCTGTGTGGGAACTAACGAACAATTAATAGAGTAGGATTGGACGTACTTGCATGTTTGTTTGTAAAGAGTAAGCGCCCTAGACTCGCTCCTTTTTTTCTTATTGATAATAACATGAACATACTGTTGCTTTTATTTGCCGCTAACTCGTTTCACAATCGGTAAGTCAATGCGCAATGCATGGTTGCTCTCTTCGTAATAGATTGTAACACCACTATTATTCTTTGTTTTCTATAAAACATGTGCATTTCCTCATTCACAACCTAGTGATAAACACATGATAAGCATCTAGAGATGATGAGAGGAGGGCCAGTTAGTTATTTTCCACAACAAGAGAGTACGAGCCATTATTATTAACACCTAATCTTTTCTTAGGAAAACGAGTTAAACGTTGTATATAAGGATAAGCCTAGATCTCTGACACAGACCAACGACCATGAATGTTTATGCAAAAGAGATAAAAGTATTTATTTTCCTGATTCCCGATACTTAGACTGGTACAGTATTATTGAAGTTTATTGTGTACATACACAAAACGAAGCTTCTATAGTAGACTGTAACGTATATTGACTCGGTCACTAGTACCAGAACTATTGAATCGCTGTTGGGAGTATTGGTATGCATTTCGTGAAATAGAGAAACAACTCCAGATGTTTAGCTCCTTTAAGGCTGTCGGTGACGAAAGAGAAATTTTATCTTCTACAGGTTGTTGTTCTCCTTGATGTATATTCACAAAAGAGCGTATTCCATCGTCGGTTATGCTTTGGCATTCACTGACATCCAGCGTTTCCAAATGATTCTTCATTCTTAAGCCGATGAGTTCCATCACTGTATTGTTGATGGCGTCCATTCCCTGGAAACATAATCGTTTCAGGCATTTTTGATACTGATTTGTTGCGGCTGAATATTGTTGTATAAACAAAATAATAGATTCCGATGAAACATGGTTACAGAAAGCCATCGTCAGTGACTGGAGATGATGCAGTGTTGCAACACGTCGGAAAAATAACCGGTTTGCGGCTGTAAGGTTGTATAACTGGATGTGTTCGAGTTGGGATGTCTGGTGTAAAAATGAAGTTAGATCGTCTATCACTGCTGACTGTTGTTGTTGCCGTTGTCTCCTACTCATATCACTGTAGACGGTGGGGTACATGATGGGCATCAAACCCTCATCTTCGATTTCATCGTTCTCGTCGTCATCCTCTTCATTACTAAGGAAGTCGTCGCTGTTGTCGTCATTAATTCCAAGAATGATGCTTTTCAGTTGAGGAAACGGTAGAATGCCCAAATACGCGGTTGTTTCGCTGGATAATCTTGAGATAAACTTGATATCGAGAGTTTCCAAAGTGGCGTTATTTCTTTGAATGAGAGGCGTCAGATTTCTTTCATCCACACCTGTCAGCTCTGTTAGATGTATATGATGTAATCCTGCTGCGTCCTCTGACGTAGTTGCTGTTGATGTCGTCCACGATTTTAAATCGTAGCCAAAATGGATAGTCTCGAGCGCCGGGGCATGCTTGTATAAAGAGCAAAGTACGGCATTGGTGTCGCGAAAATCGTAAGGGTTGATGCTTATACGACGCAGTCGAGGTAGAGATTTCAATAGTCCATCAAGGTTGATATTTTTTGTAATACCGTGCATGTAGATGGAAAGACTAGCAAGTCGTCGATGTACTAATGAAAAGTTCCATTGGTCGGTTGTACGTGGATGAGTGACTACTACTACTGCTGCTGCTGCTGGCACCCGTGCTGCGGTTGATAATGTCAAGTGCTCAAGGTTTGGACATTCGCTGAGAATACTTTTTAAAGCAACGCAAGGTGCCGAACTAGTATGACCTCTCACTTCCAAGTCTCGCAAATTAGGTCCCAACAATCGCAATAGTCTTGAAAAATTTCGCCTTGACAATGCAGAATGCAGGTGCGCTATACATTTATTCATCGTCCACTCAGTTAAAGCCAGCCTACAAGATCCTTCACGGAATAACAAAAGGGTAATTGATGATGGACTGAACTTTCTTACCTGTTTGTACGTGGCAACAATCATGCGCGAGCAAAAAATTGATTTCCTGAGTCTGTTTGCGCCGCTTGCGGGCATTGATGCACAGCACTTTGACATGTTGACCGTACAGACGACTTTTGTAAGGTGCTAGAACATGAGCAAAGTCGTACGTCGAATCGGATAATTCGCGCCACAGGCCTTCCCAAGAAAAGATAAACGAACGCCAGGCTTTACAGACTCGAGTGCAGCGGATGCTTTGCTCCATTGGGAGCATGGCGAAAATGGCGGACAGGAGTTCAAAAGGCAAGACACTTACAAATGAGGCCGTGGCAATGGCATCTTTATGCCATGAATGTTGTTGCGCTAGTGTTGTACTATTACTGGTAGCAGTAGTGGTGATTATAGTGCCACGAGAGTTTTGTGAATCTTGGTAGTGATGGTCAAAGGTGGTGGCGCTGGCAGAATGGTAGCGAGGCATAATGACGATGGACAAGCAAATGCTCTATTACTCATAGCATAACCATTATATAGCATGGGGAGCCCAGCATGTGGCGAGTTTTTCTCTGGGGTGTGTGTGTATGTGTATTCATCTTTTCGATTAATGCGCCCCAAAAAAATGTTGGTCTCGCGATGCTCACCCTTCTTTCTCCCCTAGAAATCAAGGGAGAAAGGGTGCTGAGAGGTCCGAGTGGAAAATTCCGACGAGTGTTATCTGTACGAAGGTATGAACTGTGGATATCATCACTTATCTATACTTACATGAAAAAGCACATAGTTTACTATGCTATATCATTAGCTCATACATATAAAAAGATCTTCCTTCGATATCTGTAACATTTTGGGAAGAATACACATTACTTGACGCTTTGGTGTCGCAACAGTAAAAGCAGCACCCTTTCACTGATAATGATTTCTGCATCACGCACTGCATCGTGCAAGAACTGCGTGAAGAAAAGAACACCGTCCGTGTCCCATCACATGTGTATAGAACATTTCTTAGAGATATGAGTGGGGTTGTTGTTATGTGGTCATTGCTTGTTGCCCATTCAAGGATAGTCGATTTTCAGCCTTTTCTTACCTTTCTCTTTTGCAAAGCGAGAAATTTCTTTGGCTTTCATCAGATGTCATACTTCAAACATAAGATAATGGTTGGCGTGGCTCAAGTTAACAAGAGCAAACAGAGATCTATGAGCTAGCACGAGATCATTGTTGCTTATGTGGTTGCATGGATGAGACCCTTATTTATACTGCTCGTTGCTATTCTTATTGATCTCCTCAAACTTCAGTTCGAAAAAGGCTATAAAAGCGATCGCGTTACTGTCAAGATGTGTTAAAAAACGTCACCGCATAATAATAAAGACCTCTTTTTTTTGGTTAAAATCAGTAGAACAAGTACTACCCGATGTCTGTTTCTTCTATCGTGCGTGAGCGTTACATCTCCGTGATCTCTAGTTGTAGTATAACATTACTGGGAGTAATTATCATTAAGAAAGTACATACTGTAGTGAGTGCCTCGTAATGTACTACACCGCTCGTTTAAAGTGTGGGCACTTGATGGTCCGTCGGTCATTATGTGATATGATGCTATTACTATTACATGATTTGATATATACAATTACGAAAGTTAAACAAACAAGAACGCAACCATCTCAGCTAACGCTACGAAAGACTAGAGTGCACGCTGAAGGATGCATATCAGGAACAACCATTGATTGTCATAGCTACAGCGCCCGTTGCTACAGTACTCTAATTTTCGGAGCCGCTGCTGTCTATGCAGCTGCTGACAACCGCTGCCTGCCTACTCTCGTCACACATTTTCTGAAACAGACACAGCGCTCTTCCTCCTTGCACGTCTCGGAATCCCACCTCACCTCCGCCCCCTTCTTCACGCCACACACACACACATATACACGAGTACATACCTTTCAACGAGCCCTCTCTTTTTTTATTACATACATATACATTATAGCAATTTCCATCTAAAAATACCATGCCTGGCTTTTATACCTCACTTGCCGGGACGGCGACGAGTGTCATTACGATTGTCGGCCTGTACATGCTTCTCACCGGCACCGGTCAAGAATTCAACGTTGGAAAGTACCTCGAAGCATCATCGCCTTACGCATGGGCAACGACAGGAATGGGATTGTGCATTGGTCTTTCCGTAGCTGGCGCAGCTTGGTAATTATGATAGGAAAAAAGAGAAGCACTAAAAAAGCTGAATCTGTTACGAAAGAAAAAGGAATGTGTAAATCTCATCCATTACTTACGCGTTTTAATACGCATGTACTATACGAACACATACAGGGGCATCTACGTTACCGGCTCTGCATTATTGGGTGGTGCTGTCAAGACACCGCGTATTCAATCGAGAAACTTGATTTCCATTATTTTCTGTGAAGTCGTTGCCATTTACGGTGTCATTATGACCATTGTCTATTCAGCCAAGCTTGTCGAAGTTTCCGAGGAAACGCTTTATACACCGTCAAATTACTTTACAGGTTCGTCGTGAAACTACCACCCCATTTGTTTGTTTTTTGAGGAAAAAAGTAGGTACAGTTCTTGTGCTCATATACAGGACATGCTGTCTCTCTGTTTTCTCTCCTTTGCAGGACACGCGATCTTTTGGGGTGGTTTGACAGTTGGTATCTGTAACCTCTTTTGTGGCGTTTGCGTCGGTATTACTGGATCAAGTGCTGCTCTTGCAGATGCTCAAGACCCTCAACTGTTTGTTAAAGTCCTGGTCGTCGAGATTTTCGGTTCAGTCCTTGGTCTTTTTGGATTGATTGTTGGTTTGTTAACGGTATGTCGTCTTGAAAATTGCTAGTAGAGATCGAATCCTGAGTAACTAACTGAAAATTTTACTTTCACTAGACCGGTAAAGCATCAGATTTTGCTTAAGCATTTCTCTCTTGCCTTTTTACGATTGCTCTCACCATAAAAAAACAGGAAGGAGAAAGAAGAAGAAACGAATACAAAGAATAAAAGCCCTTTATTTGACATTCTATAGCAATTCTACTATCATCTTTGCACCCTTGTTCTCATCTGCAGCTTTCCGGATCTCCTTTTTGTGGGGTTTTAAAGCCTTTTTGGTCTGTTCCTTGGTAGATGGCTCTTCCAACAGTGATAAGACAACGAAACTTCCAAAATTTGTAGCAAAGTGTCCAAGATGAGGTTCAATACGTTCTAAGAGTTTAGGTGCAAATCCAAGAGGTTCAACAGCCTTGTCATTCATTGCTTCGGCATTGTCTGCCTTGACCATGGCTTTGATGATACGATTACCGAATCGATCTTCGATTATGTGGTTTTCTTTTTCAATGTTTTCGCTTGCCAAGTTCAAGATGGCATTTACAGCAGCGGTCTTGTCACCTAGAACATATAAAAAACAGTGAAACGTGATTTTCTGTCGGTTAGCAACTTTTTACACATTCCTGAACATGAAAGAAGCCTTTCATTACTAACATACCAGTGGCATGAAGCATGATTTCTTGTACAACTTGTGAGGAGAGCTTTTCTCTCATCAGAATAGGGGCATCTTCTGCAACAGTTTGGATAAGAGCAGGTGAGCAGCCGTCGAGGACTTCCTTGGCACGAATTTCAGGGTCCTTTTTGCTGTGTAACGACCATTAGAGTGAGTAATGAGTTAAAAGAAAGATTTTTACAGATGATACACATACCTTTGTCTGATTTCATCACCTTCTGTGATTTGTTGAACAGTTTCTGGTGACAAATATCTGGTGTTACGACCTGTAAGGATATATAAAAAGACACGTCGACCAAACTTGTCTGCAAATAGAGTTTTTGCTTGCTTGCAAAGTTCCTATTTTTCATAGAAACCAGCAACATACAGCCTCGTTAGTACCTGTTTTACCATTTTCAACAACAGCGAAGAAGGGTTAAGTAGAGAACAAACGACTTACAGAAATGAGAGCTTTGTTAATCAGCACAGTATCATCCATCACATCCAAGAAGCGGATCAGCACGAGATAGCCGTATTCATCCTGAGCAATCTTGACAACGTGTGGCTTGAATGCTTTGATGATCGTTTTACGATCCTGTAACGAAAAAATAATCCAATTAGCACATAATTCTTCAACCATTTTTCATACGTAAGTTCTTTTGCTTTTATACCTTTGGTGTCGAATAAGACAAAGAGATCATTGCGACCTTGGCTCCTTCTCGTGTGTGCAGGATATCTTGAAGGTTCTCCCGAAGATGTGCAATAATATTCTATATAGATTAAATATAGAGCTTATGTGAATTTTCCTGCCTTGGTTATATACAGCATACAATTTCTCAGTTCACAAAAACTCTTTTTTTTTTACCTCACGACCTTTAGGATCAGCCAAGGTCAAAAATTGATATAATGCCTTGTGGACAATGCTATGCACAACGGTACCCTTATCCATACATCCCATCAGAGTCTCAGACATGAAACGCAACACCGAATCCTTCTTTTCTGGCAAGTTGGTCAAAAGTTCGTCGAGTGTCTTTGCACCACCGCCACGGTTGAACAATGTCATTTCAGGACCATAGAACTCGGACAACAATTCTTGTCTTTGTGCACCATTGGCGTATTGGGCGTAAAACGATTCAATCACAGCGGATGCTTCTCGATGACGGATAAGTTTACGAACGTGAGTGCGGAATTCGGACAAGACTTGATCGCGATGTTTGTGGCTATGTGATAAAAGTACAGGTACATTAACATGGATGATCGCCAACATTAACAACCGCCTAAAGCATATTAACGAACAAAACAAAGTCTTACCAATATTCCAAAACCTTCAAAACAATAAACTTGCCATACATGGACTTGGCCAGAATCTCGTATTTGCCTGTCAATTCCTTTGCAATCTGACCACGTTGCTCTGCGTTGCCCTTTTTCAAACAGGTCTGGACAATACGTGATGCGTCGTGCTTGAAAATGATCTAGTAGTTTTTCAACCGAGTGAGTTAAACTTTCCATATATATGGCGAGTTCCCGTACTGCCCATACCAGTTGTCCTTACCTCTTGCACATGACCAGTGATCACATTCATGATCTTTTGCATCAGATCCTTTGTCTCGTCACGAGAAATATCACCACGCCGAAGATTCTCCCAGATTTTCTTGGCTTCAGTAATCATTTCAAAGTGACGATCGTTTCCTTTACGTTCTTGCTTCAAGTTTTTCTGTTGGTGGTGTCTGGAAGCCGAAGAGTCTAAAAAGTGAGTAGTTAAAACAAAGACCAGCAAATGTTAGGTTGGATCCAAGTGTATAAAGTTCGATCGTCTGTAGGACTCACCATTTCCCTTCAACTTTTTGCTGGCGTCTTTGTCAGAGTAATCGCTGGCCTTTCTTTTCATTGCACCCTGTGAATATACCATTGTTGATCGAGATCGTTTTCGAAAGGAGAAAAAAATTCTTTGCTGCCATGCCACTCAACTTTACTTTACTAGGATTCAATGTCCGTTTTTGGAAAAAGCAGTTGCAGGGCACATCACCGAGCCGGGAAGGCTTGCAAAGTATACTAGGGCAATATGCTCATTGGCACATCGGCTTCACTATCTTTCCGGTGTAAAATGCTAGTTCCATAACCCGCTCTTGGCTAATACTCTAGCGTGTGGATATGTAGTAGCTATTACAAGCTAAGCCTTGCATAAACTAATTGTGAGGCCCTCAAATGTCTACTCTCTGGTTGGCTTGTGTTCGGAATGCATCGAAGCAGAACACCCGGTGCAATCATATAAACAGCTGCTACATCGTTCTCCTGAGCTTATCGCTGATTATGACTTGTCTTTTTGTCGTCGAGAGACATAGTTCGTGGCAAAATGACAGAAAGTGCAGTAAGTAGATGGATTAAATTTGGTGGAGCAGCCAATCGTGTGGCTGAGGTTCGAAGTGCATAAAACTCGTTCAATTTCAATTCCCCCACACCCCCTTTCCTTTCCTGATATAGACAACACGACCAACATGACACCATTAAAAATGCTAGAATTCTATTCTGGCATAGGAGGCATGGTAACATGAATCAACATGTACACACGACCAGCTTCACCACTGTTATACTAATAAAACGCTTTTTTTATGTAGCATTATGCAGCAACCTTGGCCGATTGGGATTTTGAAGTAGTGAAAGCTTTTGACATTAACAATGTTGCTAACGACGTATGTTTTTGTATCCACAAAGGGATATTTATGCGTAGTGGAAGGCCAAATCTCTTAATACGATTTTTCTATATTAGATCTATAAGCATAATTTCGGTCCCAAAACAGTTGGACAGGTATTAAGAAAAAACAGTTTTGTGCCCTGAATATCTGTTCTTGTTCTTTTGGACTTCCAATTGATCTGACAGGTTCTTTTTTGTTTCCTTTTCGTATAGCGTCAGATTGAAGCCTTGACACTAGAGTACTACGACAAAGTAGCTGCTGATATTTGGACCATGTCACCGCCGTGTCAGCCTTATTCAAGACTTGGTTTGCAAAAGGGAAGCCAAGATGCCCGTTCTAGAAGCTTTTTGCATTTGCTTCAAGTGTTGGAGGGTATGAAGAATCGACCCAAATATATCCTTGTAGAAAACGTCAAAGGGTTTGAGGTAAAGGTTTTTGGTAATACTGATCTGCCGTGGTTTGAGAATGCATATCAAACTAAAGTTGAACAAATCATATAGGAATCGGACTCCCGTGATTTACTTGTGGATTCTTTGAACCGCTGTAATTACACGTTTCAAGAATTCTTGCTGACACCGTTACAACTCGGTATCCCCAACTCCCGGATGCGTTATTACTTGCTCGTATGTCTATAAACAGGAATCTAAATGTGGAGCAAAAAAGCTACATGATATGGGAACCAATAATGTTACTGATCCGAGAAGAATAGGCCAAGCAGAAACCATTGTCATTTGTTCAACCACCAACAAACACAATTCTCGGTTTTATTCCTAAATCAACACACATGTCTACAGAATTCATCGATAATCGAACACGGACTTTGGATAACGAGGATGCATTAGTTGCATTATCAGCTGTTCAAATTGGAAGCGTGTCCAGATATCTTGAACCCGAAGCCACAGTTAATTTTGACTCGCATGCCATACCGGACAAGGTAACACATTTCAAAAAGTTGTTTCTATATTTTTGGGTTGGGAATCTTCAAACAAATATAGAGGGATTCTTGTGAGGGCAGTAATAACGTGGAAAGCAAAACATTAGACCTTGTTAAAACATGGCCACGTATTCGATATTGTAAAACCAAGTACACACCGAAGTTGTTGCTTTACCAAAGGTATTTCATGACCAATACGTTCTTTGAAAATAGTTTTTGTTAATTATTGACGCTTAATATAATTTAAAGGGTACTATCATTACGCTGAAGCAACGGGTAAGTCTAAAATATAATGAATAATGGCTTGTTTTCTGGTTTTTGCTGACTTTTTATTTTGCACATTACCTTTTTTTTAGGGTCTATCTTACAAATGAATGAAGACCTGTTGGTTAGTTATTGTTCATTATGTAATAATTGATGCTTATTTTTGCCCAAAGATACTAATGCGCTGTTTTTGAAAATTTAGACGGCTGAAACATTTGATAAGGCAGCAGAGGCGAAAAATAAGGGCAATGAACAAGAAGCATTGGAATTATTACGATCTTTAAGATTACGATACTTTACTCCCAGAGAAGTCGCCAATTTGATGGGATTCCCTGACACTTTTACATTCCCAGACTCTTCAACAATCAAGCAACGGTACCGGACACTAGGAAATAGTATCAATGTACGCTTAGTATCAGAACTTATGTCATACTTGATGAAAACCCCAAATAAATCATGATAGCCTTTTGTCATAATGAGATCTTTTCCTCAAGAAAAATGTGTAAGAGAATCGATTAAGCTATCATCATCTTAGTTATGCTTCTACTTCTGTGCTGTAGTTTGCTATATCTCTAGAAGTTTAGGGTTTCTCGCTGAATGAGTTAACCGGACAACACTTGCAGCTGCATCATTAAAAACATGTACCCTTGACGGGATTGATAGAATAGAAGCGACTTTGTTTATTATCACATATATTAGTGAGAAAATAAACTATTGTCTAAAAAATGGAACGCAAAAAAGGTTGATGAGTATAATATTACATATAACAAAGAGATGTGTAGAAAGTTCAAGAACGAATTCAGAGAACTTCGTCGAATGAATAACTTCGTTTTCAGTATGTCGTATAAAGCGCACGATTTTGACAATATCCATGTTGTCGAGATGTGGCCGAGAAATCCAACACTATGTCAAAGAGTTTGAGTACGACGCAAATAAAATGTATCTTTGATATGATGCTTAATTCCGGCAATAATCAAGCTCTTTTATAGTCTAGCTGTTACAACAACGATGTCTGATCATCTGGCTGGTACTATGAAGACTGAACAAGGGCGTATCAGAACTTTTGTAAAGGTCGCTGTATAAATTGGGACACTTATTCAATACCAGCGTTAGCCGGTGTGTGGTCGCGCTACCTAGTCATAGGCTCATCATCGTTGCCCTGTTGTTGTACAGTGAACCCCCGCTTTTTGCACCCCCGTTTATTGCAGATCCCCACTTATTGCAACTTTTTTGAGCAGATTCCCGCTCAACACTTAGTAAAATTGCAGATTCCTCGGTTTTTGCAGATTGCAACTTGGAAATCGGGACCTGCAATTTCCCGCTTCAGCCTTATATATAGTATATTAATCTCAAGCTTCAGAGACAGTGAGACTCGAACCAGTGACAAAAGAGATACACTATTGTATTCTATTATTTAAGAGCTTTTAAACTAAATAAGGAAGATGTGATTGCCAGCTTATCGATCCCACTTGTGTAACATATTCACATTTTGCAGTTCCTCAGATTTTGCAACTTTTTTGACGGTATTCCCGCTGTTGCAAAAAGCGGGGGTTCACTGTATAAGGTGTCTTCGGAGCAAAAGGCTTCCATAACCTATATGGACTGTATCTATGTTATAATGATTAACTGGCTACCATAGCAACATCTGTGTATATGCTATTGATGTTTAACCAAATGTCTTATTGTATGGTGTCTTGGACAATGTAATAATGTGGTTCACTACAGATATTTGTAGATATGACGTTTGCGCTCCATAATCTTTTTCTCCAATAAAGCCCAGCAGCGAAGGTATTCTATGAACACGCATCCACGGCATCCCCAATGACCCTTTAATATATAGCTATTAGGACTGACCAGGGAAATTAAATTATGCTGGAACTGTTAACTTTCACACAAAGATTGGGAATTTTGGCTTTGAAATTAATGCGGCCACGATCATCAGATGACAGCAATGCATGCAAAGAGATCAAAATATAAGCTGATTTTATCGGCGCTTAGAAGCTTACCACTAGCTTCTGTTCGTTGCAACTATAATACCTGTTCACTGTTGCAAAAGACCGGGCCCACTGCATTATTTATTTATTTTTTTGCTGCATGATATTAAGATCGTAGCGATCATTAATATTGTCCTTTTTCTCATTCTTTTCTTTTGTTTCCCAATTTCTTTCGCTTCACTTTGATTTGCTTACACAACATTGATACTACTACGAGTAGACAGCGAAATGGAAGAAAGCAATCGTATTGTAGAGAAAACCGTACATACAGGACAACAACAACAACAACAACAAATGTCATCGTCATTACCAGCAACAACTCCGGTCGTCAATCCTTCAAACCCAAATCTACAAAAGAAACAGCAGCACATAGAAGACTCGCCGATTGCTAACTCTTTACCCACGGATCACATTACTGATGTCGATGAATATAAACCGCCAACAGCTGAAGAAATCCGGCGATTGACATGGAAACGTGACTTACGAATAATTCCACTGGTGTTTTTATTCTTCCTGTTTTCATTTCTTGACCGGGTTAACATCGGTATTGCTCTGTATCTGATTATACATTTACTATACTGCTCTTCCACTGTTTTGCTAACTATGTCAAATTGATTATTTCCCGCATTGTTCTATATTATCGTTCGTTTTCTGTTTTCTATTTAAGGAAATGCAAAGCTCGCTGGTCTTATGGACGATATCAAAATTACAGAAGATCAATACAATGGTGCACTATCGATATTCTTTGCTGGATATGTATGTAAGAGATGCAGGGGGTAGTGGAAAGGACTGCTAATGTTCATGTTGTGTTACGTCCGACACTACTTGTCTGCTTCGTATCATATACGTACAAGAACGAGTTGACTTTCTTCGCATAGAACAATGCAAATTAAGTCGTTTCGACTGTTATCATAATAACAGATTGCTTTTGAAATACCTGCGAACATGATGCTCAACAAACTTGGACCGAGAGTTTGGATGGCAATTCTATTAGTGGTGTGGGGCACGATTTTGGCTTCAATGGCCAGCATCACAACCGGCACCCAACTGATCGTTGCCCGATTTTTTCTCGGTGTTGCTGAGGCAAGTAAACTAACACGGCTCTCATTAAAGCGCTACTGTTAATCCACTGTTATGCGCGGTAAATTGTTTCATATTAATCTACTTATGCTTCTTTTATAGGCTGGACTACTTCCAGCGATTTACTATTATTTATCTGTCTGGTATACAAGAAAAGAACAGGCACAAAAGGTTTCTTTGTTTTTGACCTCCCTATCTCTTTCTGGAGTACGTATTCGATATCGATCCGTTAATGGGGTCTATTACAGTAGTATATTTGTATACAAGACTCACAGATTTACGATACTCTGAAATGAACAATTCTTGAAGTTTAGGCCGTAGGTGGACTTTTGGTAAATGCCATATCGTAAATAATAAGTTTAACAAATGTCGGTAATTATTTTGACAAGTCAAATATAATATTGGTGTCGTCATTACTGTAGGCATATGGTATTGTAAGAATGGATGGCATACATGGAATGGGTGGCTGGCAGTGGATTTTTATTATTGAAGCTATCCCCACGCTTGTCTTGTCTATCGTTTGCTTCATTGCCCTGCCCGATTATCCAGAAAAAACAGGGTCTACATGTAAGTCTTCCACTAACTGACCATGGTTTTCTCGAACATGGGTAGAGATTTGAGAAATGGATATACTATGTTCTTCTCTTTAATTACTCATGTTCCTGTATATAAATACACTCTAAATGTACTACCATTATTACTTTTAGTTCTAACGGAACATGAACGCAAAGTGCTGCTTGATATGCTGAGGGCAGATGCCGGACCTGCCCCAGAAAACGACCCCGAATTTTCGTGGAAGCAGTTTTTCTCTGTTTTCAAGGATTGGGTGGTGTATATGTATTGTATAACTGTTATCGGGGTAATCGTCTGCATATACAGTATTGGCATGTTTTTACCTTCTATTGTCCGTGGAATGGGATTTACGTCTCTCAATGCTCAGGCAATGACAGTCCCTCCGTACATCTTGGGTATGTACAGTAGTATGTAGATCCAAATTGATGATGATGATGAGAATTCATATTTACAAGCTTGTAATATCGCACCCTCTTTTGCGGACCACAACAGATATACTAAATGTGCATACCTTTTTTTTTGAAAAAAAAAAACAGCATCCATTACCATCCTTATCAATGGCCACAGCGCCGCTAGATGTGGAGAACGAGGCTTGCATGTAGTGGCAAGCGTACTACTCTCTGTCGTTGGATACATCATGCTTATAGCATTGCAAGGTGACAGCTTAGCCGGTCGCTATGTTGCCACAATGCTTATAACAACTGGCGCCTTTTCATGCTATGGCAGCATGGGATCATGGTTTACCAGTAATTTTGCTGGACGCACCAAACGATCTATTGCTATCGCGACCATCAATTGTGCTGGTAACCTTGGAGGCGTTATTGCAGGCCAGCTGTATCGAGATAACGATGCTCCTTATTATATTCACGGTCATGGAGCAGCTTTAGGGTTCGCGTGTGCTACCATTCTCTTTTCGCTCATTCTTAAACTGCTACTTCGAAGAATCAACAAAAAGCGTGACGGGCTCACAGGTGAAGAGCGTGCTACTATTATAGCTGAAGAAAAAGCTGACAATCTCCTTGAGAAGGTATTTCAATGGCAAAAAGCACTTTTAGTTTAGCCTTAGCATACGAAAATACTTACTAACGTTCAATTCTGTTTTCAGCATCCAGATTTCAGATATATTTTGTAAATAGCACATTACTATCATTAATGACCGTAAAAAGTCAATTTGTATACAATTTTATTTACGATCCCTGGATAACTTGTATTAAATCCTTGGACCAGCGAACATAAAGTGTGAGCATGGAAAAGTGTATTGCAATAAAGTTTAGATCGTCGTTGCAGTGATATTCAAAGGCCGTAGTATATTATCGCTGTAAAAACACCGCAGTAAAGCTGTGGAACGAGGAGGACAAGTTGTGCAAGGTTGTGTTAAAAGAAAAGGCAAAGAGGCAGGAGCGACGTATACATACGCTGGTTGCGAATAAAAAACCGACAAAAATTGCTGGAAGCACGGACGTAACATAGTGTTGCTCTTCGGCTTTCTGCAACCAGCGGATGCCCCCCTAAACTGGGAATTTCCCGAAAATAACATTAATTTTGTATGCCAACTTATTGTCTACATTAATGATATTGCAGCCTTTCTATGATTTGGTCATACATACATACAACTGTACAACTGCAATTAAAACATTTTCTTATGACTACTACTTAGGACTACTTATGGGGTCGCTCTTATGATGAGTTGTTATTTATATATGCTCTAAGTATACCAGTAAAAAGAGACGGCAGATGCTTTTCTTTATACACTTCATCTGTAACTGGAGTTAACTCGAGCTAAACTACTCGGTTTAAATGCGTGTATTTGACCGGTAGGAATCAGTATTCAGGTCTCATCTTGGGACAATACTCAAGATTCGATCATTTTTTAGCCATTCTTTCCCAACTACACGAATACTATGTACCAATATCATAGGGATTTCCGGACCTCATTCTCTTATTTGTGAGTATGATGTTAATTCCACAATATCTTAAACAGCGCTTATCGAATCAAATAAAAATATGCTGCTCATTTAACTATTGCCAAGCCTCGTCATATTGTAAAAAAACAATCAACGAAGAAAGTATATGCTCATCACACCTCTCTTGTAGTTTGTTCCTGCTAGCTAAGTATTGTTAAGCTAATGTTGCTCTTAGTAATATACTGACTGAGTTTCTACAACCTTGCATCGGGTGATAAACCATAAAGATAGTTACTTTGCTTTTCGTGCTTATGAATCGATTAGGGACGGGTTTTTCTTGTTCATAAGATGTATACCGCGGCAAATGGATCAAGATTTGGCCGGCACTGATCAAGACTCTCCTAGAAATGGACTGGTTGGGCCATCCAACCGAGAATTAGGATGCCAACAATGACCTGGCGCTATAGGAGTATCTTAGATTAGATATTTATAATAATCTTCGCCTGTATCCCTTCCCTCCAGAACTTTTTCCTCCCAAGTTGAGGAGGAGGTCGTCTTGGCAACATCACATTATCTGTTATTACGTTTTTTTTATCATAGTTATCGTACCGAAAGGAAGCGACTATAGACCCAAATGGCGCATGTCGCCTAGTCTATTATTATAATAAAGCCAAAATTTTGATTGAGAAAAGTCCGTTTCTGTCTTTTTTTGTGTATAAATAACAAGAAACAGCTTGCTGTTAACTATGACACCTTGTTGTATGGCGAGAATATAAACTTGAGAAGAAAACAGAAGATGCGGAACACCAGCCCATGCCCGTCGTGCTATTCTCAGAATCACTATTACCATCTTCACAAACAGGTTCCGAGCTTGCATATATCGTGAAACGTTATTTTGTATCATTTCTCTGTTGACTTGTATCTGCGTACCGCTACATCATGCACTTTAAAAGAAAGGACTTACAGAGTACGTGTGGAGTAACGACGGGATATGAATAAGACGCGTCACTGCAGTTTTCAGTGTAACATCTCAGCAACCATCATTTGACATCTGCGTTTTCCCTATAAAGCAGGCGCTAAATGTGGCAGCAGCAACATCAGAGAACGTGTGCTGATTGAAGCGAGAAAAGGCTATTTTTGCTCTTCCGTGATATGACGGCGTAAACCAGTGAGAAGCTTGGAAGTGTCAGTACACACAATAATGTGATTAACCATACCATGGATATATTACGCTTTTGTTCATGCCAGGTGACAGTTACTGTTTTTGCATTCTTCGCTCTGTAACTGTCTGTTATGTACGCTGCTGCTGTGCTTGCGTAGTATGTGCGTACCTCAATATATAACGCGGCTGCAGATTGCCCGAATTGTACACATACACATTACTCTGCAGCAGCAGCAGCGGTAGCGGTAGCAATCCGTTTTGGGCTGAGCAACAAAAAAATAGGTTTTTGGCGACCCGCCAGCAAGTGCTTGCTTGCTATAAAGCATGATCGGCATGAACAGCTTTGTATTCCTCCCTCTTTTTCCTTTTCCTTGTCTCTATTAAAAACAAAAACAAGCCAAACATGTCGCAGCAACAACAACAACAACAACAAAAGTCTTTTCGACACAAGCTACAAAATCCCAGTCCATATCATCTTCAACAGCAGCAGCAGCGTCATTCTATACCTCACCCATTATCATTCTACGAACACCCACACGATGATCCCAGCATGGCGTCATCGCCACTTGACCCTAATAGCGACGAGTTCTCACAGTCATTCATTTCGCCAACGATGAATGCACCTTTGGACGATTTAGATGATTTGGACTACCAAACCGGAATGAGCACTTTCCGTCAACCTTATCGGATTCCAGGAGCAGGGGAAGGAGGAAGAGGACTTATGACGCAACAACAACAACAACAACATTCGCCCTCGAGTTTCTCTTATGCAGACGACCCATGGTTCGGCTCCCCTCCCACATATTCAGAGCTACCGATCGATATGCCGCCTCATCCTTCTTCTTCTTCTTCCTCTCATCACCACAACCACCCAGCACCTCCTGGAGCAGCAGCCATGTCAGCACCCGCCAACATTGACTACAACTTTGGCAGCTCTCCGCATTACCGTGACCCTTCAGCAGCAGCAGCGGCGGCGGCAGCAGCAGCAGCAGCACCAGCACATCCACAACACCAGCATTTACAGCATTCGCCGGACCAGCAGGGTGCTACGGCCAAGAGTTTTGAAGAAGATTACACCATGCAAATGAAGTATATACCATTTTTGGGGCTTTGGGGGGACATTGTCTAGCTTCTGATACAAGCGTTGTACACATACTCATACTCTTTTCTCTGAATACACATGAAAAGCCTACAAATGATTATGGATAAACGACGACGTCGACGAGAGTCGCATAACGCAGGTATGATCTTTATGATAATTACAGAAACCTTGTTAGGACCTGTTTCAATCTGTATTGTTTTTTTTTTCTCACGAAATGTTAAAATGCGTATCGTTTTCCTTTTTTACAGTGGAGCGCCGACGACGAGATAACATTAATGACCGCATACAAGAACTTGGAACACTGCTTCCCGATTCGATGATCGAGAACAACAACGGTTCATACAAGCCGAATAAAGGGATCATCTTACGCCGAAGCGTAGACCATATCCGTTTCTTGCAACAAGAAGTGAATACCTACCAACAACGGATTCAGCAGCTTGAAAGCGTATTGCAATCGTACCAACAGCAACAACGCTAAGTAATTCTATCATACCCCCTAATAGTAGCAGTGTCAGTATATCATTATAAACCCTAGTTTATTGTTCGTCCCTCTTGTTCCTTGGGTTGTTGCTGTATGGTACGCAAGCAGCAGCAGCCAACATTACCACCACCACCACCGCCATGGTATACCGCGTTATAGTATCATTTCTATATAAGGATCTGTTATTGTTTTCTTTTTCTCTATATGTACAAATATGTCTAAACCCTCCTTTCCCCGCTCTAGATAAACACGCCTTTATAAATATATCACCTATTAACTATTATTATATCATCATACAAACCAGGAAGAAGAAGAGTGATGGAGAAGATTAGGTGTGGGGGTTTCCAGTGGTGTCACACATATTTAGAACTGTTGCCATCACATCTATGGTTGCACTAAAAAAACGTAGATCAGGTACCACATTCCCCCTGTGTGTGTGTGTTTTTTTTTATTTCTCATTCTTATGTCACATCATCATTGTCCCCATTGTGTATTAGATGCATGTTGAGCCGGGTTCTGGAGGCATGTTCCCGCGGTTTTTAGGCCGGAACCGGTGGCTGTCTTTGAAAAAATCAACACCATCATGTACATACAATGCATTTATCTGTGTGTACAACCTGTCATGCACTCCGCTCAACTTGAGGATTTTCGACAATAAGAACTTTGTAATAGGGTATGGCTCTCTTGAAACGCTGTTGGTCAGGAACAATAGCATTGCAGAATACTGTTACTATCCTCCCAAAAAGCGATTTAGTGTTCCTCTTTACCGTTGACATAGCCACTTTATGCCATTCTATCTATCACACCACATCATGACTGTTTACTATACATACTTGTACATGGTGCCACCATCAACATCAAGTGCTCCGATAACCGGTTGTTTTTTTCCTTAAATAAGGCAGTGATACTTTTTGCATGTGCACAAGTACTATTACTACGTGAAACCGTACGTACAGCCAACTAAAGTATATGCATTGTTGCGAACAACAACAACGACTTGAATTGCCGCTGAAACGTATCATTTAACTTATTAGCATTTCTGCACTTTACATTATACAGTATGACAGCAAAAATACCGATAGATTCTATCCGTAAATCCAAAAGCCAATTTTGAACTCAAAGTAGACTCAACCTTTACTTGTGTCGTCGTTTACTTGATGTTCCGAATCTCATTAACGGCAAAACAGAGCGGGCGACAAAAACAAGGTCATAATGTGTACATGTACCTATTGCTGCCGCTGCCCATTCACCAGCTAACACTACTGTAAATGTAACAGCAGTAACATGTACTGATGCAAAAACCCGATTCCTGCTGCATATATTGTCTGCATAGTTCATTTCCCCCCTACACACGCCGTTCTCGTGACAATTATTCCAAAACATCCTTAGCCTCCAATCTACCAACCAAAAGTTTTCCCGCCCTTTTTTTCCTTTCTAAAGTGCCATATCAACTTATGTACCACTGACGATGAAGAGGATAAAGTACGTGTCAAAAAAGATGGACGATCGCGACGAGAGAAGTCTGTTGTTTTCATTTGATGAACAATCATTTCGGGAATATAACATATACATGTCAGAGTCGTCCTTTCGTACCTTCTTTCATGTCGTTATGCAACAACGCTGATGTGTCATGTGTGTGCGTGAAAGGAAAAAGGCGACTCTGACAAAAGTCAAGTACATATTCGTACACGAATTACGTCATATACGGGTGTTTGCACCACCACCAGCGCCGTACAACTATACATACAGTACACATGAAGGAAAACTGAAGATCAGCAATCGGCATGTTTGTTATTGTTTTCTGAAACACACACTGGTGTTTGTATCGATCGTTGCATTGTTTTTGTACACACATGTTTCGTTGAGCTACATATTGCATGTTATGGGATGCGACTACATACATACACTGCTAGACATTGAGAAATTCCGGCAGTTGTCAATAGAGAAACCAGTATATAACTACGCGTTGCCAACCATACGTGGATGTATGGTGGGTTTTTTTGCGATAACCACTCGAAGTATATTTCTTTTGGTATATAAGCTCGATCGTCCTACAGGGTTAGTAAAGCACATTTCTGAGGCTTCCGCAGCTGTCAGTCAGAGGAAAGGGGTAGTACGTAGTTACTCGGTAGCACAGTCCTCAAGTATACAGATATACATATGCAGCAGTAGCAACGAGTATGATAAGCAGCTCGTGTCACTTCATAGCAACATGCCAATCACAAAGAGGTCAATAGGTGGGCGCGATTAGGAGTGAGGATGTCGGGCTAAATTAAAACAACAGGATGGGTACCAGCGCTGTGCGTGCACTGTGGAAGAACTACCATTTAAACGACGACAACATGCTATTTCTGCAGCATGTTCGTCATGTCAAGAGCAAAGAAGGTGTTCTGTTGCTAAGAAATGACGATCATTGACTTAGCAACAGCGTCCAGAACCAATCGCTGCTGGCCTACTATTTGTTTCCAAAAAGATATGTATCCTGGTCCATCTATCATCATTCATCCATATCATCGAAACGATTATGTTACTGCACAACCGTTGTGTGTGGTTTCCTTGCCCTTTTTCTAATGTACCAAGCACAGTTTCCAACGAACGCGGCATACAAATTACTCGTGAAGAATGTAGTTCAGGAAGACTTGCTGCAACGATCTACTGTATGTTCGACTCTCGCACCTTCCTTTATAACTTTTTTCCCGTCGACTTTTAATTCGTAGTTTTCATTTGACCGATGTCGAAATTACCGACTTCTTTCATGACATCGTAAGTCGCTCAACTACCAAGCCCTTCTTTTCCTCCGTTGAATACATTGCCAAGAGGGATATGGGTTTCTTCTTTTATTTTTGATCGTCTGCACACATTGTTATCTGAAGTGATGTTGTATGTAGTAGAACGATTATGAAGCGTCAGTGAAACTGATAGCGGCCCGTGCACAATGAGAGATCACTTCTTAGCGTACCACACAGAGCTACGCCTCAAATAGGCGTTTTTCCCCACATAATGCTCGCCTATTTATGGCAACAAAAAAGAAAGCATCTCCCCAAAGTAAAAGGATTCTATTTATGTACTTGTGACAATCAGGGGAATAAAGGGGAGAATCAAAAAGAAAGAACAAAAACAAGAATAATAGGGTTTTGAGGCTAACTAACGCCACGGGTTATCGTTGTCTTGGATATCCCAATCTACTTCTCTATGAGCATCGCCACTACTGCTGCTACCATTCATCATTCCGTTGTATTTACTACGATTATGATAAGAGTCTTCTTTTTCTTCTTCTTCTTCTTCTTCCTCGTCGTCGTCCGTATCCACAGCAGCCTCGATGCCAGCAAATCCAATATCCCGTTGTTCGGCCGCTACACGCGTGAAGAACTGATCATCCTGCACCATCGGATCCTTGGGTGTGTTCTTTCGCTTGACGCCATTCCAGCTCTCGATCAGATCTGCAAACGCCGTGCGTTTCGAGGGTTCAATCTCGGATACCGACACCTTGGGTCGACCATTTGCCATTCCGTTGCTATTGCCACTATTGTTGTTGTTGTTGCCGCCACCACCAGACTTGAGGAGAGGCGAGCTAGTAGAAGCCATACGTGAGAAATCCATGGGTGTAAGTGACCATGGATTATTGCTACTAGCGGCCGCTGCAGAGGCGCTAAATCCATTCATATCATCATGATGCGTTAGTGGTGATGATGATGCTGATGCTGTGGCAGATCGTTGATGATGGTGGGTGTAGCCGGTAGGTGTGCTTGCTGAAGGCATCATGGATGGTCCATTGTCAAATCGTAAGGCGTCGTTGGTAAGTGATACGAGCAGTTCAGGATTGTCGTCATAATAGCTTGGTTTAGAATACGTGGATGGAGGGGTATTAAATTTGATATCGGCTGCAAATGCGCGTGTGGCTTCATCTTCAATCACAACAGTGGGTACTTGAACTTGTTCTTCGTCCCTATCTTCTTCTTCTTCTTCCTCCTCCATTTCCTTTTCTTGTTGTTGCTGCTGCTGCTGTTGAATAGCACGTCTTGGTGGCGGTGGAGGGGGTGTTCCTGTTGTGCTGGTGCCAGTAGAGAGTTGTGGCGAAATTTGTCGTGGTGGCACTGGCGGAGGCACTTTGGACCGTTTCGGTGTCTCTTCGTGGCGTGGGGGAGGTGGCGGTGGAACGTCAGGGGTTAAAGGTTTCTTTTTAATGAATCGACTGAATAATGATGACTGCGGTCGCTCTGGTGATGGTGCTGCTGTTTCTGCAGGCTCGTTTCTTGGTTGCTGTTGCTGTGCTACAGGCTGCTGCTGCTGTTTTCTTCTTTCAGGTAACGGTGGTGATTTAGTTTGCTGTTGTTGCACGTAATTGCTATTGTTGGACAAGGAAGAAGACCGGGCAGATGGGGATGCGGATGAAGTATTGCTGTTCATAGGTGATGATGATGATGATGATGCTAATAATTTTTGTTGTGGTGGTGATACAGCAGCAGCAGCAGCAGCAGCAGCAGCGTGTAATGGTGGCGGTGGCGGTGGCGAGGGTCGTGAATGATGGCGACGTGTTCGCCCGCCTCCTCCAAACAATAAATCCTCGTCGTCTTCGTCTGTTGCATGAAGCGACGGTGTCGGAGACGTCCCTAAACCTGCTCCCGTCGTCCGTTTTGATCCATACACACTGCTATTATTGCCTCCTCCACTCAACTTGGAAACATCAATATCGCCGAAGATACTGCCGCCGTTATTATTAGTCCGTTGTGCTTGTTGTTGACGAGGAGACGAAGAACCAGGTGTTGAATTGCCATTGCCTAATGGCGAGCTGTTTCGAGATAATGATAACAGCGGGTCAACGACCGTGGCCTTGGTTGCAGCCCCCGGAGACGAAGAAGACGAACGAGTGTTGGTTGATGCACTGCCACCAAAGAGTGGGTCATCGTCGATGGGTGCTGAAGATGCGCTTAATGGATCTGTACATTTGCGTATATTATGTATTTTAAACATTAGCGACCGAGTGGTCCCCTTGGCAAAAATGCGGCACTCCTCACTATAAGCTTTTTATTTCTATACATCTACTTGCCATCGCCAAAGAGGTGACTGTGCTTGGCGCTGGCTCGTTGTCTGGATTTATAAGACATTGTAGTGGAGCACGTTTGCAATAAAAGAAAAGAGAAGAACAAGCAAGTGTTTATGTGGGGAGGGCGTATATTCAACATTGTGAGACAGTCGGAGTTTATTTTTTAATGATGGTGATAAAATAATGATGGAGCAACGCTCATCAGCATTTGTCAATAATAAAGACAGAGGAGGAGGAGGAGGAGAAGTATCAGTAGATAATAGGTGTGGGGCGTCTATAGCAGTGGGCAGAGATGATATATGGTTGGAAAGGGAAAGCAGACCGGTTTTTATAATTTACAACTTGGCTTGGGGCTTGATCTCGGTCGAGAGCAGCTCGCCCAACTCATTAGCAGCATCCTCCAAGCACTGCTTGAAGTGGTGGGTGCCGTTCACATACTTCTTGCCATCGATTTCCAGATCCTTGACGCTGGCCACGTTGAAGCTGAGGCCGTTGTTCTTGATCATGTAAGCAACGCCAAAGCCATCGTTGACGACCTGGCCCCAGCCATAGCCATCAAAGTATTCCGAGGACAGCTGCGATGTGGACAAGTACCAGTGAGACGAGTAGGCGTATGTGGGGTCGGTGAAGATAGCAGGCACGGCTTCGTCGGCGTTCAAAGACTTCTTCAAGCCAAACAAATGTCGGTCGACGCCGTGAGCATTGACGCACTGGCCCATGTAAGCGCCCTGGGTCTTGATGGCCTTGCGGAAGGCAGCAATCTTTTGCTCGTTGGGGGCGTTCGATTCCATGATACGAGCAAAGTCGAGCGAGTCTTGGCTGACGGTGCGCGAGGTCTCGGTACGGCCCAACTGGAACTTGCGGGTCTGAGCCGATTCGTAGGTGGGGCGGCAGGTGCCAAACATCTTGTAGTAGCCCAATTGGATGACCATCTGCACGAAGCCGTCGGGCGAGGTCTTGAACTTTTTGATCAGGTTCTTGCCAAAGCCTTGGAAGGCAAGCACGGTCAAGTCGTGGTTGGCGATCAGCTGGTCGAAGCGGGCCTCGGCAGCCCGGACAGCCTGGTCGACTTGGCTGTTGATCTGGAACTGCAGCTCGGAAGGAGCAGGCAGGGTGGTGTTAGCCTGAACACTGGCAGGCTGGGCCTTGGCGACACTATTATCGTATACACACACACACACACACAACATGTTTGAGTTTACTCCCTCTTTGTATGGCACCCAAACGTTTTAAAACGCCGATAACAGCAAGCATTACTGGCACTTACGCATCGCAGACATATTCGTTCAAGCGGCAGGTGGCCGTGCCGTCCATCATGGCGTGCTACATTTCACACATGAAAGTCAGTCTCTCTCTCCTTACATACTCTTGATGATGCACCTTTCTTCCCAACCATTCTTCAGTGGGTTTGCTTACCTCGCCCATGAAACCGGCCTTGCCGTTCTCGTAGATGATGAACTGACAGGGCTTGTCAAAGAAGCGGTTGCGGCCATCGCCGTGCCAGCAAGCACGGCAGCTCTCGTCACGGGTGACAGGCGAGTAATCGTCCAGGCACACGACAAAGGAAGCGGATTCGATCTTTTCCAAGAGGTTCTTGTTTTCAGGGTGAGCAGCCAACAGAAGCTCGCGGTTCTACAAGCGCAGAGAAAAAGAGGGTCAATTTTTTAGTCATCCACATCCCTTCAACCTTTCCATCCTTCCCTCAATGCCAAACCACCCACCCCCACCCCCCAAAAAAAAAGGATCCCCCCCCAAAATCAAGTATGAAAGTCATTCAGTCTTACATCAGCCCAATTGTCACGGTTATCAGCAGTCAAGGCGCCAAAGCCAACACCCTTGGTGAATCCAGCGGCATCATAGACACGCTGGAACTGGTATTCAAGCTCGCCCGTCGTCAACTGACGGCCATTGTGCACGGTGTCGACAACATAAAACTTGTTCTTGCGAATCACAAGGATGTGGGTGTTCTTTGCAGGATCGTACATGGCGTTTTCGTCTGCGGGCTTCTTGGGAATACGGCAGTTGCTGAACATGTATTTGTAGCGGTCCATGCAGAGGGGTTCACCCTTGGCATATTCAGGCTCCAAAGTGTTTCTGTTTTATGCGTATTACACATGTTGTCAATAACAACAACAACAGCAAAAAGTACATTCCATATTATGCAAAGCTCGAAATACGTACTCGACAACCTGCTTCTTGAACTCCAAAGCAGCAGTCGTGACAGCAGCAGCACGCTGGGCAGGCAAACGACGCAGCTTGTCGTCCTTGTACAGATAAAAGTAGCTGACATAAATGACGACTGGATCACGGTAACCGAGGTAAGCAGCGTCGAGCCACCAGTCGTCCAACCAGTTCAAAACATTAGGGTCGTTGGCCTTGGCCACTAATCGTTGTTGCAATTTCTCAGCCATGCCGCTCGACACGAACTCCTTGACAGAAGCCTCGGTCTTTTGGTATTCGGCCTCGCTCAACAAGGGCTTGACGGTGTTCAAGTACTTTGCCAACGTTTCTTCAAACTTGGGCACGGGCAAACGAGGCAAGTTGGACTGGTAGCGCAACATGGGGCCAGCTGCATTGGGATCAACGGGAGTTTTGGGACCTGACTTGGGCTGTATTAAAGAAAAAAAAAGTTACATTAAAGTGTGGCCCAGTGGTCGTAGCGGTAGTTGTTATGAAGGGCCGGGTAGATCGAGTTTAAGAGTGTGGAAGAGGGTACGATCGCAAAAATACTTACGGCAGACATTGTGGTTGTGTGTGGGGTCAATGGAACAAAGGAAGACTGTGGAGAAAGAGAGAGAGAAAGTAGAGTTCAAAAGCAACAACAGCTCGAGGTTAAGTCGGTCGTTTTAGTAACACATGAAAACTTAAGACGATGTCATTCCGAAGATTTTCTAGTCTTGTCAGCAAAAACGGGGGATTACCCATTGCAAAGAAAATGAAATGCCGCTTCATTTGTCAGCGCTTTTCAAGCATGTGCGGTGGGAGAAACAGGCATTTTAGGTTACGATCCAACTTTTTTTTTTTTATTCTTGTTGTGGGTTGTAGTAAATGTACATGCTCTAGTGGACGGAACAAAGGGTGGGTGGAGGGAGATATAAGGTAGTAAAGGGTGTGTGTGTGTGTGTGTGTGTGGCCACTCTAAAATCTCCATAAGAGGGGGTGTATATGCGTGGCAGTGTGTATATCAGAGCGTATCAGAGGGAGAAAGCCGGGAGGAATATCAAATATATACAATCTCTTTTCCCACGCGCGCGCTCTAAAACATAGCGTCGAGCACCTTGCGCGAGTACTCCACGCCCAAGAACGTCGCGGCATTGGCCGGGAACGCTCTGAGCATTGCCGGGCCAAGGCCTCTGAACAGCGCAGACGCGCCGTCTGCCTTGACCGTCTTTTGCAAGCAATCCATCATGCCCGTGTACGTGCCTGCGGGTGCCGACTGGATGCGCGACTTGATCACATCCGGCGGAATGGCAATGCTCCACATGGCCACACCCGCCATACCACCCGCAAACAGGACTGCACCAAATTGCAGATCACCCCCATCCTTGGGCGTCATGCTCTTCTTGATCAGTTCGTAGGCAACAAAGTAGGCAGCCGAACCAGGCGAATCGCGCAACAATGTAGCGCCAGTGCCTCGGAAGATCGAGCGGATACCGCCTTCCTTGTACAGCTGTCGAACAGCGTCCATTGGGCCCTTGTACTTTTGCTCACCGCCCTGTCCCTGGATCTGCATCAGCACCTTGATACGTTCAGAAGGTGCCATCACCAAGGTTGTGGGCACGGCCGAGAAGGCACCGGCAAACGTCGTTTCTGCGAGAGTCATAGGGCGGCTCGAGTCGCCGTCGCGTCTGGCAGCCAATGCCATCTTTTTGCCCAAATCATATGACTACACAAACCACATCAGTGTTATGACAACTCAACAAGTACAACCCTTCTTATGTATCCATTCCCATTCCTCCTCATCCACTATAGTGTGCCACTTACGAAGAAGCTGACAGCAAAAATGGGCGTGATACTGGCAAGAGGTGTGGCCATACCACGGTACAAGCCAAGAACACCGTCGCCCTTGATGATCTGCTTGAAACAGTCGAATGTGTTCTTGTAGATGCCTTCCGAAGTCTGAAGGCGGACCTTGACCAAATCGAAAGGTTGGCTATACACAATGCATAGTCAATATCCAGTCTTTTTTTACATGTCGAAAGTGTTAGGAAGAAAACATACCCGACCAAAACAGCGGCCATACCACCGAAACCACCGGCCAAGAACGACTTTACGGAGGAGGCGGTCGAAGAAGTGGCAGCAGTAGTAGAAGCTTTGGGGGCCTCAACAGCAACCTTTTGCTCGGGAATAGCTTGCTCGGTGGACATTGCGGGATTTGCACGTACGCGAAAAGAAAAAGAAAGAAAGAAAAAGGTTTGGTGTGGGGTCAAGAAGAAAAAAAGATGATTTTGGGTACCCCGAAAGGTTACTAAAAAGTAAATGTGCAACCAGGCTTTCTCCGACAAAGTTGCTTGGTCATTGAAATTTTGATTGGATTTAAAGCGCTCCCCCTTCCCTCTGTTTCCTACTTGAGGCTCTCTCTGTTGTCGTGCTTTCCTAAATTCAGGAACAGACCTGGTGGGCATGGTTAGAAGACCGTTGACTCTCGAGAAACTTGCACACACCATAATGAGTGATTGAGTGACAGGTCGGTGTGGTTGTTTCATAATACACACAGTGGTGCACTCCCTTAATGATGGGACGGTTTCATCTTATCTTTTCACACGTGAAATTATATTTACCCAGCATCATCACCATTATCTTGGTACCGCTAATGCTTATTCTGTAAGCACGGATCTGTCCTCCCACAACATCACTATCATAGGTACATACTACCTACGGCAATACAGATAATCCGTCAGTCCATCTGTTGCTTATAGACGCTTTATGTTATGTAAGCAGATCATCCTAATGGAAAAAAGTATTTCAAAGCGATCCACAAATCACAAGACAATGCAGAAACACAAGATAACATGCAACCTGGCGCTAACATTGGTCCGCCGACAAGCCGCTTTCGCTGCCGCCTAATCTTGGAGTTTTTATTTGAGCATTATAGTATGCTTATATATATGTATCTCTGTGAAATGAAAAGTTTAATATCGGCAGGTTGAAAACGCCGTTTACTGATTTTAGGTTTATCCGAGATCCTAATGCGTGCCCCCTAATTATGCAAGGATGTGAAAGGCTATTTCGAATTTAAATATTTACTGTGCACACCTTCAATTTCAAATAGTGTTTGCTTCCGTCTGAATGAATTATCGGTTCTTCGGCACAAACAAGCTAAAGGTTCAAAGGAGGTAGCATATGTTTCTGAAAATAAGTGTGCGAGAGTCATGTAAAGATAGAGAAAAGTGCTAAAAAAAAGCCTCAAAGAAACGATTTTATTCAAAGCGAACAGTAAACGAGGCAGTGAGATCAATACCAGCGTTCTGCAAAACAATGGCATTATCTTCTTTAACAAGCTCTAAATTATCAGCAGGTGTGCTGCAGTCGGTAATGGACGCAGTAGTAGCATCAATGTCACCAACGATCTTGATGGTGTCCAGCTTCTCAGGCTTAGAATAGCCAAAATCGCCCTCGGCCTTCAGGACACCGTTCTTGAACGTGAATGTGATATCAGACGTTTCAGAAGGTTCGAGCGAGTGACCATCGTCAATGTACAACCGGCCTTGCGCTTCGCCGCTGTCGTCCAAGGCGACGAGCAAGATGTAAGGGCTGTCAAAAGTTTCCTCAACCAACATGGTAGGTGTCTTGAGCGGCAAGATTGCACCGCCACGAATGTGGACTGGAATGTGGGTCAAAGGCGCATCCAAAGTAATGGCACGTTCCTTGCCGGTGGCACCTTGATCATCCACAGTTTCCAGGGTGTACCAGTCATACCAAATACCAGGTGGGAATTCAGCTTCGACGGACGTCTTGTTTTCGTACACGACAGGCGATAGCAGAATATCAGAGCCAACAAGGATTTGGTCATCGTTGTCCAAAAAGGCATCGACGTGTGGCCATTCGAAAATAAGCGGTCGCCACACACCCGTGCCAAGTCGGTTGGATTCTTCAAACAGGGTGTAGTAGTAAGGCAGCAAAGCATAGCGGATAGCAAGGGCTGTACGTGTAGCTTCAGCGGCTGTTTCCCATAGGAAGGGTTCTTGAGCGATGGGTTGTTTGGCTGACGAGTACACAAAAAACAAAACATAGTGTAGGTTAGTTTATGCGAGAATATATAAAAGAATAATATTAGCTGATTGCAGCATGTTAAATACCATTGTGGTTGCGTGCGAAAGGATAGAACGCTCCAAGCTCTTGCCATCGCGTGCAAAGAGTTTCGGTGGTGTTATCGTTGAATCCACAGACATCTGATCCACTGTACGAAATACCTATTAGATAGAAAAAACATTAAATAATAGCTAAATGAGTTACTGTAGCCCAGGATATTCGCTTGCAATTAAAAAAGCGGCATACCAAACATTTGCATGTTAAAGATCTCGGTGATGGAGCTCTTCAAATACTCCCACTTGGAGGCGTTGTCACCTATAGAGCATAAGAGTATTCAAGTTAGGGTGCTTAACAGTAGTAGTACGTGATTTAATGGCGAGTAAAAACAACAACATTACAAACCTGTCCAATGACCGGCATATCGACCCGATCTAAATCGTATGTAATTTTTTGTGAACGATGCATACTTTGAAAAACTGCTACAAGAGAAGTACTTGGGACTTTTGATAGGCAAAACTTACCCTACAAATGAGGAGCGAGTCAAAATAAATGGGCGCGTAGTTTTGTTGTGCTCGATCAACGCCTATTATGTAAATGAAACAAAAAAGATGTCGAGTTTAGCCATCAGCAAGAAAAAGTTATTAGAAAGTTGTTAGAACCTACATCACGCGTAAGCTTGCATTCAGCATGGCCGTACAAGCTGTGCAAGTCGTAGTGAGGAATATCGCCATGATGGTAAGCAATCATGCTTCCTGTCTTTACCGATAAGTTTCCATGTCCTATATTGAAGCATTGCATGGTTATAATGATTATAGGCAATTGGCACTCTTCCCCTCCTCTGTTATGCATGCTACTGTACACACAGAGCGATAGCAAGCATCTGCGTATCATTCAAACAAATAAAAGCATTTGGTTCGTACCATTATTAATGGCATAATTGGGATAAAGCAAATCGCGCGAATCTTGAACATAGTTGCTGAGGTTCTTGATTGCGATTTCTTCTTCAGCATACATTTGATCTTGTGTTTCTTGAGGCAGAGTCCATGGCTCAAGGGACGGAGGTGCTTGATCCTTCTTACCGGTACCGCAAGATCCAAGACAGAAAGCAGCAGGCTCGTCCATATCGACCCATGTGCCATCGATACCAGTAAGCTCAACCCAGTCGGCGATAAGCTTGTTCCAGTATTTGCTAACATCAGGGTTAAACCAATCTATCAATGATGATAGGAAATCAAGGATCAGTAAAATGTCAGCCTTCAATGTATAACACGTCTATTGATAAAATAGCGAGAAGAGGTGAAGACTTACCGGGATATACTGAGTGTTCGGTTCAGGAACGTTGGCGAGTACATGTACAGCATGATATCAAATAATTAGCATTAAAGTCTTGACTAAAGTAGCAAAAAGAGAGAGAGAGAGAGAGAAACATAAACTAACCAGTATAACCGGGCCAAACTTGTCCAACGTACTCCTCGCCATCTGGATTCTTCATAAAGATATCGAGATCATGGCCATACTCATAACCTTCATAGCCCGACTTGTAATGTTTGCCTGCATTGACCATAATGACATAACGCTGTCGGTTGGCATGTAAATCGTGACCGAGCTGGATCATGCGTTCTTGAGGAAAGTTGACGGGATCAAATGTAAAGTCTTGGAAGGTGTCCATATAATCTAAATAAACATGCATAGTAAAAAAAAAAGACTGTGAATATTCATCTTTGTGTGTGGCTATCAAAGTCTACAGCATTGGTGCTATTAAAATGATCGATTATGCTTTACCAATATCGACCCAAGCAACTTCAACTAAGAAACCAAAATCAACGAATTCCATTAGCTTTGTTATATTGCAAGGTCAGTTTCATTTTTCGTCCTCGTACGAATGGCAGACTTACGAGGAATGTTATGCTCCTTGTAGCCATCGATAACACCTTGAACCTGATCAATGTCTTCATATCCCCAGCGGCAGTGGTGCCATCCGAGCATCCAGCGTGCTATATAAAGAAAAAGAGACAGTGGGTACGGAAAATGATTAGTTTAATATACAGTGGTAGCGCTAGTTACACATCAATGACATATGTATGAAGATGCTACTCACAAACCATCATAGGCTTGCCGATCAAATCCGTGTAAGATTGAACGACGGAGTTGGGCTTGTCATCATCAGGCACGAAAATATAGAATTCGAGTACACCGCCGATCACTTTCCATGTGATACGGCCTTCAACGGTAAGCACATCCATGCCGTGAGCACTGAGCAAAAGCGAGCCATGTGCCTTTCCGTCCCGAATTTCCATGTAAAATGGATGATGACCGTAGACTTTTGATTTTCCAAAAGCATAAAAGCAACAGGGTTAAATGATGTCGAATATTTATGATTAGCACTAAAGACCTCAACTTACTATTTTCGTAGAAACTAAAGGTGGGGAGAAATGACAGGATTAGCATTTAATTTTCTGATAGAACATACATGTAACTTCCACTACTGCTGTGCTGCAGCTATATTTTCCCACTTACGGACAGGCGGCATCACGAGCAAAGATAGTAGTAACATTCTATAAGCAAATGTAAGAAAGAGAATAGCAGTACTCGTGTTTAGAATTGAGCACTTTTTATTTGTCCACGCGCAATTTGTTGGATTTGTTGTCGAACCTTGACATTGTCACGGCGGAAATGAGGTATCGTTGTTTCACCAAAGCCATAGATATTGGCATCGTCAGGAACAGCAGTGGTGATCTCAAGGTACTGGTCTTCAAAAACCAAAGGATAATCGGTTGTGTCAAAAATAACGGCCTTGTCACTCTTGCGAATAACCTGGAATCCAAAGGGATCTTCCGTGTACTTGAATTCGTAGTTGCGTTTCTTGGCCGATTTGCGAAGCCTAGGTCGTTCTATACCGAGCGGCGAGTCTGGGACAGGCACCTGCTTTTGATCTTTGTCTGAAATCTAGGTAGTTGGAAGCATTTCAGTACTTGTGTGCTTTTTGTATTTCATTTTAATCAGATAGAGTATAGATTCAAGACGTCTTTGTGCAACAATAGTAAGTGGACAAGCATCAAGTAGTGTGCGATTACCTTGACATGGATACGGTCAGCAGTCTCAAAGTCAACATCCACGACCAAATCTTTGATGGTCTTTCCATACAAGTCGATGCCTTCGTGATGATGGGAATGCTTCAACTCTAACGGAATTTCAAGCCCTGTCTTGGTCTTGTGTGCGCCGCGTCTTCCTTTGACGCTGTATCCAGGCGCTTTGGTAGATACATCTAGATGGTTTTTAAGCACAATAAATGGCGAGCATAGAAATACAGTATTAGTTTACATGTTTCTTTCGCTCGTGCTTGTGTACCATCGAATGGCCTATAGATCAGAATGGAAGACATTCTCTTTCTCTTTACCAAAGTTAACATCTTCAACTGCACCAGAAGCAGGCAACACGAGTAGGCACAACGTAGCTGCCGTCGTGCCCAGCAATAAGGAGACAATGCTTTTTCGTTTCATCCTGTTCTTGATATGAAAACACTCTATTGTTGCTGTTGTCAAAGAACCAAAGAAAAAAAAAACAAGAAAAGGGGAGAGCTATCTGAAATTTATATACAAGATAGTTCTCTAACCATCACCACCACCAATAGAAAAAAAATAATCCCACACTTTTCTCACTTGCAAAAAAGAAAAATCCGAAGAGACCACAGGTGAGGTCCTTACTATAATTCGCAGCTCTAGCTCTGAAAAAGAAAGGGCGGGAAAACGTGGTGGTAAAGTATACAAAACTTCAATACCGTATCGAACCAGCATTTGATTTAGCCATTTATACACTAGCCTGGTAGTGTAATTCCCTGGAAATTTGTACCTTAGACACTGAAAGCCCTGGGTTTGGTGGCTCTGTTGACGGGACCGGCGTGAGGGTGTGAGTGTGTGTGTGTGTGGAGAAACGTTACACGGCTAGTAAAGAGAGGTCTCGTCCACCGTATAACATTCCTACAGTAGCAAGTTCAGATCTTATTACACAAATAAATGGATCCGCGGGCTGGAAAACGGCTCCCTTTTGCAGGAAACCTGAACTTTGGTATCGATGATTATAATACGTATGTAGCAAAGGTAGCACACACTTGAAAACCGGCATTCTATGATACCCGAAATTCTTGGGAGAAGAAGGAAAAATGCTGCAAGTGCAATACACTAAAGAATTTCCTTCTTGCTGCTATTATCCATAATGACATGCAGCAAATTCACTTGGAAAACTGATCCACAACATGTGCTGGTGAAGCGTATCTAATGCAAAACTGTCAAGGGATTATAGTTATTGGTTACGTAGCCTTACTTTTTACGAATGACGATAAAGAATCGAAATGGTTATGGTCGGCTTACATAAACACCTTAACCAAAATACAAAGTCGGCTATTTCGTTCGAAAAGGTCCATTATACCAGTGCTGATAGTTCCAGTCGTAAAAAGTATAAAGGTCTCAAAATACGCACAGTTCAGGTCCGACCTATCACTCAAGCCATTCGGATGCGGAATAAGCAAAGGACCGATCATTCGAGAGCACTGATATCTCATATCCACGAAAAGCGAGCACCTTTCTTCGCTAAGCACCAGAAACATGCTCCGCGTCATTTCTCAAAGAGCATTAGCCCAATGGCAGCAACCTGTGAAACGAGCCCACAGTAGCACGAGTTTCGATGGTTTCTTTGCTAATACAGCATGGCGACCATGTGGACGCCAACAGCAACAGTCATTCTCTCGTGGAGGGCCGAGCGCTTTCCTATTAGTACAGCATCGTTTCTTTACGAGTTCAGCTGAAGCAGCAACAACAACAAAAACAACGGCAACCCAGCAACAATTAAATACTATATGGCGCGTGTACATACGACCTCATTACTACAACAATGGAAAATCCAAATTGTCACAAGCACTCAACCAACAACGCAATCCATTTCGACAATTCGGACGACGGTTAAACGACGTGAACCCCAACAGTGTATTATACAGCGTCATTGGCGCCAATGTCGCCGTGTTTTTCATGTGGCAATATGCTATCAACTGCTATCGTCAGTTTGGTGATGGTAGTTGGCTCAACTTTATGAGGGCCAATTTTGTGAACTCGCGCGAGGCGATCCAACACGGCTATTATCACACACTCTTGACGTCGGCTTTCTCGCACAAGGATATGGGTCATTTGGGTCTCAATATGCTGGTGTTATATTCGATGGGACAGGCAGCTATTGAAGCCATTGGCGCGTCACGGTTCTTGCTGTTGTATGCGGGAGCCGGCATCGCAGGTAGCTTAGCGACGCAGGCATATCAAAAATGGATCAGGCCACAGTTGGTCAAGAAAAGTTTCTTTTCGGGTCGCCGTCAATTTGGCGGGTTGGGCGCATCAGGTAAATTTTATTGTGGTGGTTTTCCATCGATCTTGGGAGCGTTATAAACTGATTTCTCCTTTTCTTTTGTGTGTGATTCTGAAGGTTCGGTGATGGGTATTACTGCCTTCTATGCATGTGCATGTAAGTTCTATCAGCCTTAGACTATGTTGAAATTAGGGATATTTATCATTGTTGTTCCTATTTAATATTAGTCCCAAAGGCAACGTTTCTGTTATTCTTCGTCATTCCCATGCCAGCCATAGCAGTCGTGGGAGGATTAGCTGCCTATGATGTCTACCAGGCATATGCGCTCAAGGTAACTTGAATCAAATACTTAAGAAACACGCTACTATTAACTTTTTGTTCTGTCGCACTAACTCGAATTTTCCAGAATGAGGTTGTGGATAGCGCTGCACATATTGGAGGAGCAACTTATGGAGCAGCATACTGGTTCATGCGAGTAAGACCTCTGCTAAAAGCAGGTCGTTGGAGAGCCTAGTGCCAATCTACACAATGTATAATTCCTTCTATCATTTGCTCTACTAAGAAAATAAAAAACGCTGTAAAATAAAGAATCGTATACTGACCATGTAGAATCACGAAAACTAACTTCTCTGGGATTAAAAAAAAAGAGAGAGAGCATGTGTGTGTGGCATTGCTGCAGTCGCCTGTGCTAGTTAAAACCCTACACTCGCAGTGAACGTTTTCTTTTTTTCTTTTTTTTTCTTGTGAACACTCTTCCCAGTTATTTTCTTTTGCGTTCTCCCCCAACCAACCGTTTTATGGCGTCCTCGTCGTCTACCTCGAATCGTTGGCTGAGCAATATCCTTCGACCTCGCGCATCGTCAATAACTGTCGAGTCGTGTCTGAATCTCCAAACCAGTGATCCCACCTCACCACTCGATGCACGCCTGATTCTTCCCTTGGTGTCGAGCAATTCGCCGCAACAGCCACAACTCGCTACGCGATGCAAGAATCTCAAGGTGTTCGCTGACCTATGCAAAAGCTACAAGTTCACTCACCTGGACAATGTGTTTTTCGCCGTCAAAGATATCTTGGATAGCCACCCAGACCATGTGAATCGAGATTTTCGACACACCGTGTTTGAATTCATGATTGCAGTAATTGAAGGTCAATATGACGAGCTAGGCATGGCCAGAGTTACGTTTTACAGCTCGTTACGAGATCACACCGAATGGGACGATGATTTTGGCGACATGTACCGTGTACTCTTTGCACTGTGTAAAGGAGGCCGAGATATTTCGGGATTTGAGAAGAACGTTGGCAAATTGTTGATACGTTGGCTCAAGCAGGTGGCATTGAAGGACGCAAAGGAAAACACCATTCTATCAGCGACGATGGCGACAGCAGCAACAACAACAACAGCGAATGTTGAAAAAACGGCAGCAGTACCATATCTCGGTGATATCATGCATTTGCTCACAGTGATTGCCAAATTTAACTTTGCAATGTTCGAAGAGAACGAGGTCACGCATATGATCCAAGCTGCTCGGCTTGCATTATTCTCGGCAAACCACCCGAACGACATTAAGGCATGCTTGGCATTTGCTGACGTTGTGGTTCGATATCGTTTCGTGCCCTTTGAGGCTTTGCAACCATTCATGGATATCTTGTGTGTGTCTGTAATGCTGCCTCAAGACAAAATTCCAGCAGCTGACAAGGGCGAGTCGCCTTGGTCGATTTTCATGAATCTTTTACGCTCACACTGCGCCCACAATGCTATTCTCACGCTGTGCAATGCCATTGCAAAAGGTAACAGTTATGATATCAGCAACAACCAGCATCAGCAACAACAAGTCGATTTGACGAACGGCGCAATCATGTTGCTGACGCACGCAGCATGGGGGAACAACAACAAGGAGAAACTGAACGTATCAGAATCGTATCAGGTCCCGGACTCGATTGTGTTGATGTATTTACGTCGTGCTGCACTACGACATTCCGAATCTGTCAGCGCCAAAATCTTGGAAACCTTGAGGCTCTTGGTAGAGAACAGCAACATCAGCAACCCAAGCTCCTCAGGCTCGCCCTCGCCATCTTCGCCGTCGTCAAAGATTGCCTTGTTGGATTGGGACACGATCTGGGATATTTGCGACGTTTGTACCGAGCAGCTGATCCAACAGCTTCGTCATCCTGCTGGTGGGAGCAGTACCAAGGATCAAGTACGACAGGTGGTATGGTGGTTCCCCGCACTGTATATGGATAATGGCACGGGTACATCGATGGCGCACCAGTTCATTCGCTTCATGGCCTGTGTGTATACCCAATATACCCAGCACAAGTCGTACTCGGGTCCCGTGAACCGGTTGATGAACGTCATTTATGCACTGCGTCACTACATTTCGCCCGAAGCAGCCAATATTTTGCTCAGCTACTATGAGACCGAACACATGCTGCTACCATCGGACGAAGACTGGATCGAGCGACTCGCCGAGGTTGTGAATACATTTTTCGTCCCATCGCATATCGCCGGCACCGTTCGATTGCGTGTACTGTCGATCGCCACGGATGTATGCATGTCAACCAAGGATTTCTATTCCGATGCAATGAACACGGAGATCATTTATCCGATGGTCCAGGGCGCTCCACAGGAAACGAACCCTGAGCTACGCCAAAAGACCGTAGATCTCATTGTGCTCGCGTTGTCGGATGCGCAAGGCAACGAGGAAATGTTTGATCGATTGCTAGATGTGCTTCGCCGGTGCACGAGTTGCAAGTGTCTCGACGACCTGCGATCACCTAAACCCGCTTCTGGTCCTGTCATTGCTGCAACTACAGCAATTGGAGCATCCCCTACAGCCGCGATAACAACAACAGCAGCAGCAGCAACGGCGGCAGCGAGCACAAGTGCTACGCTCGGTACACCCCGTGAAGATGACAAGTTGCGAACGGCCACGTTACGACGATCACAAAGCCAGTCGCATCACGCTAGTGGTGGAGGTAGCAGTAGCACAAGCAGCTCGCCGCGTATTCATTATGCCATGCCAAAAAGCTCGACGGCTTCACCGCTCAGCGCCAGTAGTCCGGTTATCTCGGATGGAAGCATCACCAGCGAAAGCCAATGCTGCTCTGGCGTGCCTGCCATGTATGGACTCGTGCAACTGTTTGAGGATCTTTTGTTGGGATCAGATGGCAAGGCTTGTCTCAAAGTGTTTCGCACCATCACAAGCATCGGTAACAATATGGACGATCTGCTCTGCCCTTATGGCGGGTCCAAGGTAGTGGCATTAGATATGCTACTTCGAATGCGTTGTCCACCTGATCACCGTATTTACATGATCGATGATCGTAAGTATTGTTTTTCCCTTGAAAAGAAGCAAAGTTCCTGTACGAAAATTCATGGTCTGACATCTATTATGAACCTCAGTCTTTGCTGATGATACTGGCTTGATGGCCACGATACGGCAAATTCAAGCAGCTAAGCAGCGAGAAACAATGCAGCGCGATGGTAGCACTACGATGATGATTGGATCTGCTTCGCAACAACAGCGACAACAGCAACAAGATCAGCAGCAGCAGCAGCAACAGGAACGACCACGATACCCAAGCCCTGTAATGCTGTCGCATTCGGAAAATCAAGAACACTATGAGCAAGACCGAGTGCTTCCAATTGATGAGCTGCTTGACGCATATATTGTAATCCTGTCGCACTCGTCCAATTGGGAACTGATTCTGTTTGTGCTCAAGCGATTGCCGCAGCAGCTGGCCAATAAACATATGTTTTGCAGCGCGTCAGTTTCTATCGAGAAACTGCGTCGACATCTTGTCACATGGGTCAGTGCTCGCGACTTCCTCAAGAGCGTACACAGCATCCCATCCAACATTAAACGCAACGATGTCTATGTCTATGCATACGACATCTTAGTCGTCCTTGTATCTTACCGGCGCCTATTCAATAAGCAAAATCAGGACGAGATCGTGTATGCCTTCTACAAGGGCCTGAAGCAAGTGACCGCAGCGACAAAGCCATGCATCCATGCACTGTCCGTGTGCTGCCACGAGTTGCCGCTGTCGGTGGCAAAGATGCTAAACGAGATCTTGCAGGGCATGTCTCAGATCATTTCAGTCAGCAGCGTGTCGGTGCATATCCTCGAATTTCTGTCCAGTCTGGCACGACTACCGAGTCTTTATGCCAACTTTACGAGCGACATGTACAAGCCTGTGTTTGCTATTGCGCTAAATTATCTCCAGCATACGCAGTCGTCCTCTTCGTCGTCCGCAACAAGCTCACCCACGAACACGCCACCTACACCGCATCATCATCATCACCACCACCTCAACCATCCACAACAAACTCCACCCACAGCATCATCATCGTCACAACAGCAGCAGAACCAACAACAGCAAAACTCCAGAGGTAAAGATCTACAGCAGGTCACGACTCAGAATGCGCTTTCGCAATACGTGTTGATCATGGCGTATTTGGTCATCACCGTGTGGTTCACGGCAGTCCCATTACGAGAGCGACGCAAGCATGTTTCATTCATCATTGGCCGGCTTGTGAGCGCGACTCCTATTGGCAAAGGCATTGACGAGCAGACGTATACATGTATCGACATGCTTTCACGGTTCAGTTACGCGGATGTCAGTCTGTCACCCGAAAAATCGCTCGTCTCGAAAATCTTGATGGGTGATCCAGCCGCCGGACCGAGCCCAGTGACAGGAGGCAGCAACACTGCAGAAGGAGGCGCTCGACAAAGCATGCGCACGTGGGTGTATGGTCATTCGCTGTTGACACTCAAGACAGCCAAGGCGCTGGGCTGGGTGGAAGTAACCATCCGGCGACCTTCGGGCACAGTTTCTATGATGTGCAACATTGAAAACCGTATCAAGTCAAGCGCTATCGATTATCAAACACTGCCAGCACTCCTCATGATGCAATACACGCCTGATCTGGTGGCGTCCCGCATGCTCCAACAGCGCGGCGAAGACGGCGATTCGCCCGTGCCTTTGATGGAGTCAGGGCTTGGCATCACGTTTGAAAATTTGGCAGCCGCAGCCAATATTGTCAGCACGTCGCTACAACAAGATGCTTTAGCAGAAGACAAGAAGGATGACGAAGGGGGAGGAATAAAAAACGACGACGAAGAACAAAGCGCAGACCAAGAAGAAGGGGCTCAACAGAACAAGGATTCACCAGCACCAGCAGTCTCCGGTTCCGCTGCGGCGGATAGTGGTAGTGAAGGCCCAACCTCTGTGATTGCTGGCGGCGGTGGTAGCAGCAAGCAGGAAAAGAAGAACGAACGAGTGGATAGTGTGATTCGCCAAGTGCTTGCTGATCCAGACACGCCAGCACAATCGACATCCAGCAGTGGTCTTCTACGCAGAATGGACCAGCCACTCGATCCTGCTTTTCTCTTTCTTCAACTCAACAACTATCCAGATCTTACGCGCACCAGCGAACACATACCTCCTCTTCCCGAAGACGAAGCAACGGCACGCAGTCTGGGCATCTTGGACCGTATCCCAGTTGTTGATTTCCACAAGATTGGCGTACTCTATGTTGCCAAGAACCAACACACAGAAGTGGAGATCTTGGCCAATACGCATGGGTCGCCGGACTATGTCAAGCTACTAAATGCCTTGGGCGAGATTGAACTGTTGCGTGGACGAACGGACAACACGGGTGGATTGGACCGCGAGATGGACATCGATGGGCGATACGCGTATTTCTGGAAAGACGACGTTACTAGGGTGATTTTCCACGTGGCGACGCTGATGCCTACTAATTTGGAACGCGATCCACAATGCAGCAACAAGAAGCGGCACATTGGTAACGATTTTGTCACGATCGTGTACAACGACTCGGGCAAGGATTATGCCTTCGACACGTTGCCAGGCCAATTCAACTTTTGCAACATTGTCATCACGCCCCACTCGATCTCGGATACGGAAAATAACACGTTCTTTAAGGTTGAGATGCAACGACGGCCGGATATGCCAGAGATCGGGCCTATTTCTGAACCAAAGCTCGTATCGGGTCAATCGTTACCGCATTTGGTGCGACAGACGGCCCTGCATGCCAATATCTTTGCTCAGGTGTTCCAATCCGTCAGTGCGGGCGGTGGTCGTCATGAATATGTGTCTCATTGGAAAGAACGACTGCGACAGATTAAACGGATTCGAGAACGTGTTAGTAGCAAGACACCATCAGCAGCAGCAACAGCAGCAGGCACGGCAAATGAACAAGCTCCTCCGTCTTCTCTTTCATCCGCTGCTACTCCAGCAATTACTGTCAATAACAGAGCTCCATTTGAGCAACTCCTCGATTTCACAAAATACGCCTAAAAAAAGAATACCCCACAAAACGCGTAAACATTCTATATACACCTTTCATGGTTTGACTGGCATCATATCATCCTTATATATACATTTTATATACATACACACCTTTCTCTCTCTCTCTCACACACACATTTTCTCTCTCCATGTAAAATTTTCTCTTCTTTCATCCATTTATCCTCTTCTTCTCGCTTCTCCTTCCCCTCTCCATTCTCAAGAAAAAAAAACCTCTTTCCTCCTTTGTATCTAGTTTAGCCTTTTCTATTTACACAGTCGTATATCCATTTTCAAAAGTATAAAATTAAACTGAAATGAGCTGGTCCCTACTGTATACTTTCTATTGCAGTTTCAAAATAACTGCTGTTTTGAATTAATTAAATACTAACACATTATAGTCTTGGAATATTGATGAGCTTGAACAAGTCTAGCACAGGACCCTTATTCACCGCCTCATGATGTATTAGAATGTTAATAATATCTTTGTATGTCTCGTATATGGATTAGGCATTCGATTATGTATATGATATAAAGCATATGTACACGATCGAAACAGACGCGACACACACATAATGCTTTAATGGCATAGCAACGATTAGTTCTTTATTACAGTAACATAACGACGCCTTCAACATAGCAACTAAAATGCACATATATCAGCTATCATATATACAAGTCGTATATCTGGATGCGCAGCGAAATCTATTAGATCATGTCTAGTTAAGCACTATCATGCTGCAAGATTACAAGGGGATATCTCAGACTCGTACACTTTGATTTCGGTTGTTGTAGGTATTATACTCCTCTTTTCCCTAAATTCCATGTAGCATTAAGTTTGGTATGTATAACAAATATCAATTTTGTAAATTGTAGCCACAGCATCGCTTTTAATATGATATCTTTTATAATGTCATCTGTTAAGAGACCATCGAGTATTGTAAGACATATCTGTGCCACACGACCTATCACTAAACAAACAATAGCGAATGAAGAATGCGTATCTCATCCCGATTCTCATCCGGATGAAAGGAAATACTCTCGAGTACAGCGCTCAATGTTGTGCAGCCTTGTTGCTCTCTTTTGGTACAATATACATCATATATCCATTGAGAACGGGGAAGAACAGCACTCTTTACATATCAAAGTGTTATTGTTGCTCATTGTTGTGTTTTACTACAGAGGATTTCTGTTAGTTAAAGGAATAGTTAGAGCAACGGTCCAGCCACACTACAAAGAAGCACTAGATTGGATTGTCTTTTGTGCGCGACATTTTCTGTGAAACGTTCCCATTTCTGGGAGTGCCCTGGTCCCTGGTCAAAACATATTACATGCATTGCCAAGATTGTTTGTTTTGGTCCAGAAATGGTCTATAGAAGCAAACGACAGATTTTTTGAGTGATCATACTCGGTGTGTTGTGAGTATATCCTTTTTGCTTGCAATACAATTTACGGCATCAAGTGCATTCCACGCAGTATTAGCAGTATGTGCTAATAGCTATAGTCCAGCATAAAGAGAGGGTGATCGTACTATATGAGCGACCGGTCAAAAATGAATGCATTGGCAGGCTCTTTGTGCTGCGTGGCACAAGTCGAGCTGTTTATAGAGGTAAAGCCGAGCCATTGTGTAGCAGCAGCAACGGATGCAAGGCATCATCGATATTTTGCATAACCGAGTGGAAGAATCTTCTACATTCATCCATGAAGAGAAGAGGTACGGTCTTTGTTGTTGTCGTGTCAAATGTAGAAAAAAAGTCCTACCGAGACTAGATACAAGCGATATGCATCATTTTTTGTACTCCTTTTTGAGATTATATAGTTATTAGTGCATCGTCCAAATAACTTCCGTGGCACTTTTGTTCTTGCCAGCAGTGTAAGGTGGCACAGAATATCGGCAGTTTAAAGAGCACACAATTTATTTTCGTTCAAACGTAAATCCGTACAAAAGCCGAGTTGTATGTGAGCCGTGTACCTTTTTTTTCCCTTTTCTTTTTGTTGTTACACTTTGTAGACACACGTATAATAGCCAAACAATGAACGTCTTGTATGAGCTTTTCTGTATGGGCTCTGCCCCAAGCATCTCTGAAAGAGAAATCAAAGGCGCTAACTTTCAACAGTTACTGAGCAAGGTACTATTATTACTCTCTATTATGCAACAAGCAGAAGAAAGTTACCAGGGGGAGGGAGGAGGAGTTGATGTGCCGTTCTAAAGGAAATGATTAATTGTTAGACCATGCCGTCGGCAAAACATATCATAAACGACGATGAACTTAAACAAGTGGCGACGGCGCGTATGAAATCGGTGGTGGGAGGTAAATCGCACAGTGCAAGCAACACGCTCCGGACGGTGGCCAGTATGTTTGAGGCGGCTTCTTCAGCAGCCGAGTTTGACCGTGAAAGATGCATGTTGGAATGGTTGCAGACGTGCGTGACGACGGCTGTGGAGATGGCATTTGCAGAAGCAGACGGCAAGCCGATCAAGCCAACAACAGGAACGAAGCAGCCGGATCCGGAGGAGTCGTTCGTGGTAGAGGAGCGTGGGCTGACCTACGACAAGATCGGAGCTTCGGATGACGATTATGTGCCGTCCGATGAAGACGCGATTGTTCCGGCTGCGCCGTCCAAGAAGAAGAAAAACAACAACAGAAGACGAAGAAAGGAAGAGGAGGACCAGCTGGTCCCTGAGGAGGCCAAGGGTGCAGATGCATTTATCCCACCCGGAGCAGGATCGAAGGCGGTCGTCAAGTACTTTACGCAACAACAAGGTGGACCCAGCACCATCTTGTCCAACGGCTACTATGCACGCTCATACTTTTTCCCCTCCAAAGAAAGCTTCAACGTAATGTGTCACGCCTTTTTCTTCTTTATTTTCTGTGTGTGCTAAGCCGGGATGCTTCACTAGTCGTTTATTTCGGTTCTGAACTCTGCCAAATCGACGATCGACGTGTGTGTGTTTGCCATGACGGACGACGACGTTGCAGATGCCCTGATCGCTGCCAAGAAACGTAACGTAAAGGTTCGAATCATCACAGATAATCAGCAGGCTGCAGGCAAAGGTGCAGATGCGGAGCGACTACAGACGGATCACGGCATCCCTTACAAGACAGATAATACGTAAGCGACATGTCTTTTTTCTCTCTCTCTCTCTCTCTCTCTCTCTCTCTGCTTTGATGTAGCAGGAATGTGAGAGCTAAAAGAACTGACAATATCATGTTAGGACGGGTTACATGCACAACAAGTTTGCGCTTGTCGACAGCGCCACGTTGATTAACGGCAGCTTTAATTGGTCAAAAGGGTAAAGATTTACTGGCCGCATAAACCCGCGCTGTTGTTGTGTCACTGAAATCTGGTTTTTTTTTTTTTGGATTCTGCATAGCGCACGCTTCAAGAACAGAGAAAACATTATCATCACCAATATACCCGAGTGCATCAAGGAGTTCCAGAGGCAGTTTGACTCGCTCTGGGCAGAGTTCTAAGTGTCCTTACTAGTCTAGTTGTAGTAGCAGCTAATAATAAAAGTAGCGATAAATCATGAGTGAGCTTTTGTCGCGCAGCACTGGTGCTCGTGGCTTGTAAGTCTATTGGTTTAATTTCAATGTCAGTAACGCCAAAAGAGCAAAAAAAATTTTTTGGGTTGAGCGCCGATATAAAGCGAGATGGCAAGCGGCCCCGCCGATTCCTTCCCTTTTTCACTTTTACACACAAATAGGTATGCTGTTTTCTGCTGTTACTGCTGCAACTGCTACTACTCCTGCTGGAGAGAGAGAGAGAGAGAAAGAGCTTACCCGTCCGTCAACATGTGTACTGATGCATCTTACTACTTAGTCTACCATGGGTAAGGAGAAGACTCACGTTAACGTCGTCGTTATTGGTCACGTCGATTCCGTAAGTTTCTGCTGCTTTCCATTTTGCAAGCGCATCGAGTGTGCAAAGCTCTTACAACATCCCCTCTCTACTGTTTACAGGGCAAGTCCACCACCACTGGCCACTTGATCTACAAGTGCGGTGGTATTGACAAGCGTACCATCGAAAAGTTCGAGAAGGAAGCCGCCGAACTCGGTAAGGGTTCCTTCAAGTACGCCTGGGTTCTTGACAAGCTCAAGGCTGAACGTGAGCGTGGTATCACCATCGATATCGCCTTGTGGAAGTTCGAGACTCCCAAGTACCACGTCACCGTCATCGATGCCCCCGGCCATCGTGATTTCATCAAGAACATGATTACTGGTACTTCCCAGGCCGATTGCGGTATCTTGATCATTGCTGCCGGTACCGGTGAATTCGAAGTAAGTAGCGCAGCCGAGACGCCCAAGAGGGGAGGAGAAAGAGAAAAAATTTTTCGTCAGAATTTTTTTTTCAAACACAGGAATTGGTACTGATTGGATTGGTTTTCGTGGCATGCATTGTTCTGCTTTCTTTAGGCTGGTATCTCCAAGGATGGTCAGACCCGTGAGCACGCTCTCTTGGCCTTCACCCTCGGTGTCCGTCAGCTTATCGTTGCCATCAACAAGATGGATTCGACCAAGTACTCTGAGGCCCGTTACAACGAAATTGTCAAGGAAGTCTCCACCTTCATCAAGAAGATCGGTTTCAACCCCAAGTCCGTTCCCTTCGTCCCCATTTCCGGCTGGAACGGTGACAACATGTTGGATGAGTCCCCCAACATGCCCTGGTTCAAGGGCTGGAACAAGGAAACCAAGGCTGGTGCCAAGAGCGGTAAGACCCTTTTGGAAGCCATCGACAGCATCGATCCCCCAGTCCGTCCCTCCGACAAGCCCCTCCGTCTTCCCCTCCAGGATGTCTACAAGATCGGTGGTATCGGTACTGTCCCCGTCGGTCGTGTCGAGACTGGTGTCATCAAGGCCGGTATGGTCGTCACCTTTGCTCCTGCTAACGTGACCACTGAAGTCAAGTCCGTCGAAATGCATCACGAACAGCTCGTTGAAGGTGTTCCCGGTGACAACGTCGGTTTCAACGTCAAGAACGTTTCCGTCAAGGATATCCGTCGTGGTAACGTCTGCTCTGACTCCAAGAACGACCCCGCCAAGGAAGCCGCTTCCTTCACTGCCCAGGTCATCGTCTTGAACCATCCTGGTCAGATTGGTGCTGGTTACTCTCCCGTCTTGGATTGCCACACCGCTCACATTGCATGCAAGTTCTCTGAGCTCTTGGAAAAGATCGACCGTCGTTCCGGTAAGAAGTTGGAAGATGCCCCCAAGGTAAGAAAGCAGTTTCCTTTTGTCAGATTGAGTGGGTTTGGATAACAATTTGTAGTGCTCAAATTTGCTAATGTCATTATTGTTTGTGAATACAATAGTTCGTCAAGTCTGGTGACTCCGCCATCGTCAAGATGGTTCCCTCCAAGCCCATGTGCGTCGAAGCCTACACTGAGTACCCCCCTCTTGGCCGTTTCGCCGTCCGTGATATGCGTCAGACCGTCGCCGTCGGTGTCATCAAGGCCGTCGACAAGACTGAGAAGTCTGGCAAGGTCACCAAGGCTGCCCAGAAGGCTGGCAAGAAATAAGCGATTTCTATCTCTGCTTAAGAATAGATGCGTTGATTTGGTGGTCCTATTATATTCACACTATTTTAATACTCGCTTGTTTTTTTCCTCTTTTTTTCACATCTGCTATCACCAGCACTAAAAAGGAATCTTTCCTTTTTGTTTACAATCATCAAAAATAAAAAGTGCATTGGTACATTGACCATCAAAAAAGAAGTTTGAAGACCTCGCATTATGTTTGATCTGTCATTGAAGATTGACAGAATGGCTACACAAAAAGTCAAGTTTGTTATGCATGGTTTATGCATTTTCCTGTGTAATCAAGGCACTAGCGTCTTGTTTTATGTCCTTACCTTCGTTGGCTTTGCTTAGTAGCACTAACCCAGCGTAAACAAAGGCGCTTGACTTTCTAGTAGTCTGTATACAGTATATACTAAAGTTTGTTTTGTGGCCATCGTACTAAACAAGTTTATTAAGATAACCCCTACGACCATTCCAGTATTTATAGCTGTAGCAGGATTACCTACAAGAAATCATAGATTTTTTGCTAGTTCAAATTTTATGTATGTTGGAGTGTGCATAGATCAGACTTATTGATTTGTTCAGTACCATTTTTGAAATTGAAGCTTGGTGGAAGGACAGAGGTGGGTTGCCCGTAGGAAAAGCCTAAATGCTTTCCGCCTTCTTACAGTACAACTTGGAATATGCAATGCAAAATCAATGATATGTGAACCGTATATAATTTGAAAAAATAATCTTGAGTCGATATGAAAGATTGGAATATTAATTGCTGTTGCGACCTATCCTACGTACTGAGATGAATATATCTTTATCCAAATAGCAATTAGTGTGTATATTATATTGCGCTTTCCCGACACCTTCGTCTGACACTGCTATACATCGCTGCTGATGCTTTAATTAGTCAATGGTGTCAAAACGCGCATTGCAAGCAGACAAGAAGACAGAGCTCAACAACAGCAAAAAGCATAGAAAACAGACTATTGGATAGAGAAACGAAAGGAATAAGAGTACTTCGACTAATTTGCCAGAATGCTTGTTCAGTTTTCCCTTACTTAAAGCAATTGATGGTTTTATAAGAACTTTGAAAACAACGGAAAGTGATCGTGCATATTGGACAGACACTTACAACTTCGCTACATTATTTCCAGAGACAATGCTGGCTTGACGCGTTGAACTTGGCAGAAGTTCGAAGGATTACTGTGAGGTTACTTTGGTTTATGTCAAACGACCTATAACTCTGCCCTATAATAAAACCTATGAATTATCATCATTATCTTAAACAAGAAAAATGACGTTTGCTATATGCGTCATACAAGCATTGTGCTGCTCCAGACCTGCATATCGCTGTAGTTGGAGTTGAGTGTACAGTGGTTCCCCGTTCAATTCACTCTCAATAAAATAAACCCTCAGTTATTTCAACCTTTTTCTACACCTCCTTTAAGCATAGAACACTGCTTGAATCACGCTCGCTTTGTGTCAACCCTCAGTAGTTTCAACACTTTTTAGACACCCTTTGAAGTTGAAATTGAACGGGGAACCACTTTAAAACCAACAAAAACATATAATGTACGTTACATGCATTTGATTTACAGTATTTGCAAAGATATATCATATTTGGACAACAAAATAGGTAAATAACAGATCCCGCGATCTTTCGTTGCACTCTCGCTCACTGTAAACGGATTGCAGGAGGCAATACTGCACCACATTTAGTGCTCGCTGCCAAAGCCCTTAATATGATAACGTCTAAAAAGCCTTCAAGCGCTCTACAAGTTTTTGAATGGCTGTAAATGCTGCTTTAGATATGTTTAGGCTGCCGAAAATGCGCCAGAAGACACCCAAAGCTAGGTTAAGGCATTTTATGGCCGCTTCCTGTCAAAATATTAATTCCACTTGGTGCGAAATTCAGGGTTAAATGTGTGCTATATCTATGTTATTATCCTGAATACTGAACTTTCGTTCTTGTGTTTTTTAAGTATACCTGTTTATGTGTACATATAATGCAATTAAGATTTAATTCTAGCGCGACTACGTATGTATGCATGGTTTGAAAAAACACAAGTACTTTTTGTGCTTCGAGTTGATTAAGCATAATGTTACAGTACATACACATGAAGAACCGGCTCTATTGATACTACATTCCAGCTGAACGTGCCTTTCTTCCGATGCCTGCACTAATACTTATTGCAAAGTCCCTGTGGCGGTCCCTCGATCCGTGACTCGGGTACTCAAGACTCTTCATAAGCATTTTACATAGTAGGAGAGACTGGTACAATATATGCCAAGTAAATGTACATATACTCTCCTATCTTATGTTCCGACATTTTTGCATCATTGGTCTCGACGACATCACCTGCTTCAAGAACTTGAGGAATTGCTCGGCGTTCCGTAAAGTTTTCCGCTGGGAGCCAAAGCGGGTGCCACACAACTGCGGTACAAGTTTGAAAATTTGCTGATTTGGAATAGATTGTTGGAGATGACGCTTTCTACATATTATTTAACCTATATCATGCGGTTGAAATTGAACACATATAGAACGTGGAGTGTTTATCATACGAAACGGCTCAAGGATCACGCTGCGACGGACAAAGTGAGCGCGTGTGTAGCATCCTCTTGCTGTGTTTGGCGCAGCATGCTATACATTGGTAGGGTGAAACAAATAAGCTTTTCCACGTTTGAGTTTAGTACAGTGCTCTGGTGACTACATCTGAAATCTCCATGATAGATTACAACAGACTTTTCTTCAAAAGTTCTAGCAGCGATATATAGTGCGCGGTAGGGTCACTTTTGGATTTCAACACGCTAGATCTCATTTGTAACTTGCATCCATCAGGATCGTCGGAGCTGTGGTGCTGACTTTAATGAGATTACGCAGGGTCAAGTAGATGAGCTTACCAAAGCACGAAGGCTATGCACTTATCAAACGAGACGTTGATAGGCTCGTGCAGATACCTTTTTTCTATAATTGGTAGATCTTACTGGCTACCCCATCAGCTTCGCATGTATTACTATACAGAGGAATTGGTTGTGTAGATTTTCCTCGTTTTCAAAAGTCAAAGTAGACTTTCTAAACTGGTGCGGCAGTATCTCACGAATAAAGTTCAATACATATGTATCAAGATGAAGAAACGAGAGACGTTCTTTGCTCGTAAATCCACGATGCGGGTATATGTAAAGAGAACCATACGCCGTACTATAGCAAAAAAACAATTACCAGCAAGTTTACGGGAAGAATAAAGTTTAAACGGGTCTCTTTTCCAAAGCGATGTTTCTTGCGGAAAAGTAGTATCATGATGATGTTTATTACAGCCTACTATTCCATAAACGAGTTAGTCCCCGTTTTTGTGATAATTCAATACGAATTACCGTTCATCACTATCCTTTTGGCACGAGTGATCTTTTTTATGTTCCTTCGCTTCCAAGGAAAGGCGGAAAATGAGAGGTTGGTAAGAATGTGTACAATTGCTGAGCAATAACAGCTTTCACATCGTAATTCGGGTACTGTATGTTGACTTCATACTCACTTTTTTTGGTGTTATACAGAAACTCGGTATATAGTTGATTGGAAGGACTGGAATGAAAAGCCCACTTTCGCTACATACACACGCACACACAGAGCAACATTTTGTGTAGCAATGATATATTCCCGCGTGCTCGACTCTAATTTTTCTCATGCAATGTTAACCCTGATGATAGATTGGTTTTTTGATCCAGTCCCTGAGGGTGCGTATGTGCGGGGATGCTCTGTACAGCATGTAAACAAGAGTGTCAATTCTTAGTGAAGGAACTTCTAATGTTTTATACTCTCTCACGCCATGGCAATCTGCTCAAGGAGGATTTACCGTGGTAAGAAAACTGATAAACCAATCAGTCTACTTGTTATCAGAAATTTTGCCACTGTCAAGATTCGATCATATAGAGGTGGAGCGACGAACACTTTACCGTAATATGCTACATAGTAAGAGGGAAAACGTCATGTTGCGTCCCAACATGTGGAAAAGCCTTGAAGCGCCTTTGCCTGCCTTTGAATGCATGTAAATGCACTTCAAGGTGCCGCGAATGCATTAAAAAGCGTCCAAATTAGGTTAACGGTATTTTACGTTTTGGGATGCTCACCCTCAGTGAGTATGAGCTGCTGCGTCTGCAACGTTCCAGGTATACCAAGCTCCGTGTAACTGAGCACAAAAAGTAACCGACGGGTAAAGCGTACAACGTCATACCAAGCGAAAGGTACTGCTCGAATCGTCCTGTGTACTTTTAGCGAACCAGCGCTCAAGAGAGAGAAGGCAGTAGGAAACCTGAAAGGGCGGGAAGGCGGAATAGCTATGGATGTTCCTTTCCAACCCCTTGGTATCTGCTCCTATCAGACCAACAGCGCTATTCCGCGTCTGAACTTTCTCTCCTGTTCGCCCCACCGAATTCTCAGAAGAACGAGTCTGGAGGGTATACACTGTTGCCGAGAGGTTTACTTCTCAGCCAAGATCTAATCTTGATGCAGCTTGGCCACATAAAATATAACAAGCGTCTTGATAGTTGCAATAACCGCACTATGTCTCAATTCTGTTGTCTCAGCTCAAAAATTGAAACAAAACCGGAAAATGTCTCAAAAGTGTCACGCACCATGCGAACCTTGCAAAGCAACGTGCTTCTTAACATCAGATATTTTTTCCCATGCAAGATAACTCACCCACGCATTTTTTTTTTTGGAAAAGAGGGAGGATGGAGTGCGCACTGCCATCGCCACCGTCATGGCTAAAGAAGACAGATAGCGTCTTGTGCTTGAATCACCGCGGAATCAGACGGGATCGACGGGTCCCGATTGCTTAGTGTGACGATCGCTTTACCCCAGTCTATTAGCAGAGATCGCCTTTCCTTTGTGCGGGGGCACACCCAACATCCCAAATGTCGCTCGCAGCTAAACTCTGGGAAAAAAAAGGGGGAGTTGGTGTGTATATTCGTGTGGTCCTGGACCACAGAACGAAATCAAAAACGTATAAATATAAGGCCTCAAATGCCCGGTTCGCCTTTTTTTCTTCGTTGCCTTACAACCTTCAAGAAATGAGGACAGTATCTCATATATTGGTAGCCGTTGCTGCCTTCTCCATCTCTGGAGTTGTTGCTCAAAACTATGGTACGAATATCACAAACAAACATAAACATTAAACGAACGATCCACATCAGCATAATCCATCACCCAGGTGCACTCAACTTACGGGAATTATTTGGCTGCAATTTAGACGTATCTTCTTCAGCACCTGGCTATGCCATCAAGGGAAAAGTTCACAAGACCAGAAGCGGCCTTGAAATTCCATTAGAATTGAACGACGGCGATGGTGTCGATTTGTACGGCAAGACTATCAGGGATTTGGTCGTAAACGTTGACTTTGAAACTGCCGATCGTCTTCACGTCAAGGTACATATAATTCATTAGCGGTCTCCTCGTTATTGTAAATTGACTTATTAACGACACTGTTGTAAACGCTTTATAGATTGGGGACAAGGATGAAAAGCAAATTCCAGTTCCTGATCACGCCTATGGTTTGGAACGGCCCAAGACCCGAAAGCCTGCAAAAAAGCTCAACTATGACTTCAAGTATACCGAAAACCCCTTCGGCTTCCAGGTCATTCGCAAGGTTGACAAAGAAGTCATCTTCGACACCAGCGATTATCCTCTTGTCTTTGAAGACCAATATCTTGAATTATCTACTGCTGTTCCCAACGACGCCAACCTCTATGGTATTGGTGAAGTTACTGCCCCCTTCCGACGCAACAACGAACAGGTACAGTTAATATCCTTATTTTAATTATTCGATGCCATGCTACTTTGTGGAACGAGCAATCATTTCTAAAATGGCAACTTTTGCTGCGTTAATAGAACGTTACAACCGTTTTCGCTCGTGATGCTGGTACTCCGTAAGTTTTTTTGATGTGACAAAGAGATTTTTAAACGTTACACACAGATCTAGTTCTCACACACAACAATTTCTTTTGCATCATTTGTAGTTTCTATGAAAACATGTAAATATATCGACTGATTCGAAGTCCTCGGTTATTACCATTGCTGCGTATACTCCTTCGGCTCCATAGAGTATGGGTCTTGCTAACATGATGCTCTTGACCCATCTTTCCTTTTAGTTATGGTGCTCATCCTTACTACAATGAAATCCGTAAGGGCAAGGCTCATGGTGTCTTCTTGTTGAATGCCCATGGTATGGATGTCTTCTTCTCTGAAGGCCGTGTCACTTACAAGGTCATTGGTGGTGTCTTGGAATTCTATTTCTTTGTTCCCAAGGATGGCAAGCCGAACAGCGTGCTTGAAAAGTACACTGATTTGGTTGGCAAGCCTTTCATGCCTGGTAAGTACCATTTTTCGTTTACCTACGTGGTATATGGGAAATGAAAACCGCATTCGAAGGAATATACAAGAAGGGACAACGTTGCTAATTTACCGTCTTGATCTATCTTAATCTTGTCATGTAGCTATGTGGATGCTTGGCTGGCACCACTGCCGCTATGGTTTCAAGAACATTAGCCACGTTAACTGGGCTGTCGATGGTTACGCTAAGGCCAACATTCCTTGTAAGCTTTTATTTCTTTTGGAATCGTAAATCCACCTTGTATTATCTGGAATGACACTAATCCAAAGACAAAAAAATATATTGTAAACAGTGGAAACCATCTGGGTTGACATTGACTACATGGACCATATGAAGGACTTTACTTTTGACGAAATCAACTTCCCCGAAGAATCGATGGTCGCCCTCAGCGAGAAAATGCACGCCAACAACCAGCGCATGATCACTATGGTCGACCCTGCTTTGAGCAACAATGACAGCTATCTTCCTTACGAACATGGCAAGGAAATGGATGTGTTCATGAAGAACTCTGATGGAAGCGAGTATATTGGTCAAGTCTGGCCCGGTTTCACCGTCTTCCCTGATTGGTGGCACCCCAATGTAACCGAGTACTGGGATTACTGGATCATTGACTGGATGAAGAAGCTTGATTTGGATGGTCTTTGGATCGACATGAACGAGCCTGCATCCTTCTGCTTGGGCTCATGCGGTGACGGCAAGGCTAACACCGACCCTCCATTGCAATGGGAATTGCCTGAAGAAGATCAAATCCGCATCCACGCCGAAGAAGAAGCTGCTTTGAAGGCTAGAGGTGTTTCTATTCCTGGCGATGACCGCAACTTGCTTTACCCCAACTACGCCATTAACAGCGGTGGTGGAAACTTATCCGAGCGCACTGCTCCCATGACCTCGCTTCATCATGGTGGTATCTCCCACTACGATTATCACAACCTCTACGGCCACGCCGAATGCAGTCTCACTCGTAACGTAAGTAGTGCATCTCCGATATCATGAATGAGCAATTTATCATTGTCATACTAACACTCATGATACCTACAATATTTCCCTACTGATAGTCTCTCCTCAAGTACAAGCCCGATGAGCGTCCATTCATCTTGACCCGTTCGTCTTTCTCTGGTTCTGGTCAGGTATGCACACTATACGATAAACTTATAACGGGCTGCGCTGATTATTTCCGTTTCCTACTACTCTTCTTCTAGTATGTCGGTCACTGGACTGGTGATAACCATTCCTCGTGGGCGAAGCTTAAGAACTCGATTGCCGAAATCTTCAACTTCCAGATGTTTGGTGTAAGTAGTTGCAATATTTTGAGATGGTTGATTTTTCATTGATAAGTGAAACTAACATACATGAATAACAGATCGCGTACTCTGGTGCTGACGTTTGCGGTTTCTTCGACAATGCCACCGAAACCCTTTGCACTCGCTGGATGGAAATCGGTGCTTTCTATCCTTTTGCCCGTAACCACAACACATTGGTTGCTTCTCACCAAGAGCCTTTCTTGTGGGAACGAACTGCCGAAGCCAGTCGCAGAGCTCTTGCTGTTCGTTATGCTTTGTTGCCTTACTACTACACTTTGTTCGAAGAAGCCCACCGAGTCGGTACTGGTGTGTGGAGACCTCTTATCTTCGCTCACCCCGAAGTCGATGCCTTCTTAGACAATGACGTTCAAACTTTGGTTGGTACCGATATTCTTCTTACTCCCGTTGTCGAAGAAAACGCCACCAGTGTCGAGGGTCAGTTCCCTGAGGGTATCTGGTACGACTGGTACACATACGAATCCCACGTCTCGACTTCGCCCGAAGAAAAGGTGACCCTTGAGGCCGAAATGGAACATATCCCTGTCCACATCCGTGGTGGTGCCATCTTGCCTCTCAAGACTCCCGCATACTTGGTCAAGGATACCTACGCAAGCCCTTACACTTTGTTGGTTGCTCTTGATCAAGATGGTGAGGCCGAGGGCCGCTTGTACATTGATGACCAGCACTCTGTCCAACAGCCTGCTACCTCCGATATCACCTTCTCTTACAAACGCGGTGTCTTGCGCGCTAAGGGCAAGTTTGACTATGCTGATGCCGAGAAGGTTGGTACCATCAAGATTGTTGGTGCTGATGACCTTACTACCGCCTCCTACAACGGCAAGAAGTTCGATCTTGAGAGCAAGGACGGTGCTATTGTCTTGGAAGGTGCCGATATCGAGTTGACTTGCGGTTTCACTGTCAAGTTCCGCTAGACACATACGTATATGTTGTATCATTACCCCTTCTCCATCAATTTTGTATCAATATTCTCTTTAGATTAACTTAAGTTATTATCAATTCTCTTTATCTCTTTTCTACAATCCTCAACACACAAAGTTTGGGTAGAATAACAACATGGTTGCTGGTGCAACTGTTCTTTATAATAACCAATTTGTTACATCCATGTGGTCTTGAAGTGGTCTTGAAGTGTAATAATCGGGTTGTTGTTTATGAATGGATGCTTATTTTATGTTCTAACAGGCGGTGGAGGAAAATGGATATGCAAGAAGTAGTTGTAGAATGAGAGCTAGAAAGGCGTAAAAACTCTACTTAAAAAAAGAGTACGGAGAGTAAATAGCAAAGAGCGTGATTTCAATGAGGTGTGCAGTAAGTACAAGAAGATACTAGAGGTTGTTGTTTATCGAGGCTTGACATAAATTAGGCATTCTCAGCCTTTTTCATGTAGTCAATGATATCTGAGTTCGCCAATCCCAACGATCGTAGCTCTGATATCAATTGTGCGTGAGCACCCAGTATTTCTGCCGTCGCCTTTCGCTTTTTGATCTCAATTTCTTTGCTTGTTTGATACTCTTGCAAATCCAATTTTCGTTTTTTCATCTCCATCGTATCTTTATGTTTTCTCTCCTTCAATCGTAACCGTTCCAGTGCTACTCGCTCTTTGCTCGCGATTGAATGGTACACCAATTCTGCGTCATTAGGTTGATGATATGACAACGAGCCTGTATGCATACCAATTGGGGAAGTGGCATTGGACGCTTGGGCTGCTGCTGTTGGTGATGATGAAGATAACAGTGGTTGTGATGATATAGTGGTCAGTCTTGGTGTTGTCGATGTACCAGTGCTGTCGCTTAGAGTAAGCGGGGAGTGTTGTGCTATAGTAACCGTTTGGAAACTTGTTTGATAAGTATAAAGTATCACGACAACTAGCTTTCCACCACATTTTTGACCACAATGAATGATCGACTTACTTGATGGATCGGCTTGCGGAGCAGAAGTAAAAGTAGACGAAGTGGATGAAGTCGCTGGAATCGACTGTTGTCGATGTTGTTTCAAAACAGTTTCAAGTTGCGAAGCGAATCTGACCAAATCCACGTTACTGTTTGCTTGCGACGGCATCGCCTGCAAACTCGCCAGCGCTGTTGTTGATGGTGCTGGTGCGGTTGATGCTGACGCTGGTAGTGCTGGTGTTAATGCTGATGTCGGTCGAGTCGACTTGAAACTAGTAGCATTAATAGCCTTTTTCTTTGGCGTTTGCGATCGACGTAAATCCTTTGAAAATCCAAAATAATCTCCAAAAACAGGTTCGATCCGGTAATAGTATTTGCATAATGAAACAACTGCCGCTATAACGTACAAAACAAGACATACTTTAGTAAGTATCGTTGAGGAATACGATACTCATCAAATATATACGAAAAGTTTACCTCGTGTTTCATGATCGTGTAAAGCGCTGTCTTCTTGATCTGGTTTGTTTGTTACGATCCATCCGCGCGCGGATTCGAAATTGCGTTCCAATTCATAGATTTTTGTGTGGATATCTGCAGTTTTACGGTGATCGATTCCAGCTTTAACCAATTCACTGAGAAAATTTTCAGACAAAGCCTTTTTGGTGATAGCTTCACCCGACGGTCCTACACCAGTGCGCCATTTTTTGTAGTGGTCGTCTCTTGAAATCCATTTGATCAAGCGTTCCATGGACGAATCGCCACTGCCGTCTGTTCCTGAGTCGGATTCCCACGGCATTGGTTTTTTGCGAGCTTTTAAAGTAGGGCTTGCTGGGACCACAACGGGCACACGACCTACGCAAAAAAAATAATAATAAGCAAGCCAAGCAGAATTAACGCGTTTAATTGAATCACTTCAAACTAAACCTTTAAAAGGCTTGTTTCAAAAAAAAAAAACGAACCTTGTGCTGGTGGATCGTCTGACGCGGAAGGTGTTGGGGAATTGGATTCAGCCATAACAATCGGTGCTTGCTGTTCAAGGTTGAAATCTTCTTCTGCTGTGTGTTGCGCTTCCTTTGAGAACTCGTTTCCCATTAAGAGAAGAAAAAGGATTTGGGTTAAGTGTCTCTGGATTTTTTATATATTGGTGGCCAGCGAATCAAAATGAAGTATAGTCCAGCTATATGGAATTTCTTTTTCTAAAAAAACAGTCTATCAGTGAAGCGACAGCGAGGGATGTAATTAAGCTATTTGTAAGACAAATGAAAGGCACTGTCAGTGATGTATGTTACTACATATGGTGTATATTATAATCGTGCTTTTAGGGGTTTATGACTAGCATTGTTATATCTGATACAGTATCGATTACATATGTATGATCAAGTTTCTTTTTTTCGGTGAGTAGAAGTAAATCTCGAATGGGGGACAATAGAGCTTTTGAGTGGAAGCGAAAGGTTGAAGCGCGCTTAACAAAAGATCCGCCGTCCACAGGTCCAGCAAAAACAGACGAGAAAGCATCTCTCCGCTACCAGCATGGTTTTTGAGGCTCGAGATGCAAATGGGTCTGCAGGTTATATCCGTTGCTATGCAACGAATACATAGAAACTTCGTTACTAAAGCTGCTGAATGTGGCTCTTGCTCTTGTTTCGATGGTTAGCGTTGAGATCGTGTTGATAAATGTCTTCATCATTGTGAACTCGGTACAGTAATGAAATCGTATCCAATGACTCCTACAATTGGAGATTTACCAAGCTCTTTGAACCAGTCGCCACCAAATTCTACATATCATATCATATCAACTACACATCCTTCTGTAACTTGTGCACAAATACTTAAAGTATGTGTTAATTTATATTAGTGTCGATTTTTTTTTAAGAAAAGTATAACAATAGATGACCATTTTGTGTCTGTGCTAATAAGACTAATATAAATGTGTGCAAAACTGTATAATTGAATTTTAACCAATTTGAATGAAAAGTAGATCATTGATGATTAGCACAAAAAATCCTCCCATCATTATAATTTGGAAGCTATATAATAACAGCTCTAGATAGTGATGTCTGTCTTACGGACACGTCGGTGGAACTGCATACGGACATGGAACATCGGATGGTCGAATACAATTATCTGGGCATTCAGGTGGACTATAGATATAAAGAAACCGGTGCAAAGCATTGGTTAATATAGTAATTTTTCTGGAGACTGGAAGCAATAATATTATGCAGTATAGTATTATACCAGTCGATATTCTATATAATGTTGTGCTGTATCAACATACCACATATATTCGATCATAGGACACACTACAGGGTCTTGGGTTGTCGTCGATGATGGCTGTTCTAGCTCCACTGTCGTCGTAAGTGTTATTGTCTTCACTTCAGTAAGCGTCACCGGAAGTGTTGGGTTAACATTAGTGATTGTGGTGTAATACGTCATGGGCGCAGTAGTAAGAGCGGTAGGTGGCAGTGGGTCAGTAACAGCAACGGGTGCGTTGAAAATTTCGGTTTCGATGCATGTCGTAGAGATGATTGGCTCGGTTGGTGGGCACGCTGGTTTGTATTGATAAGGACAAGGGACGTTTTGAGGATAATTACAATCCTCGGGGCACTCAAGGGGGCTATGTAATTTATTGTACCGTAGCAGCAATAGTAGTAATAATAGACACGCGACTTAAAATTCGAGCACACCGTATATGGATGGATGTAGAGTATGATGGTAGCTTACCAAGGGTAAATATAATCTGCGCAAATAATAGGGTCTTGTTCATCCACTATATTGGCCGGCGTCGCGGTCGATGCTATTTTTGCTATGTCAGTTGCATCAGCGGATTCAGGGACGCCGACACAAGTAATCCGAGGACAGCATTCATGGAGTTCCTGATGCACGGTGCACGTTCCCCATGTCGGTACAGGAATATCACGGCAGGGGAAATCACACCGTTGTTCAATCGTGCCAAAAGGTGGTGTCGGCATGGTTTTATCCATCAGTTCATCATTTGTTTTTGGAGTTGCAGCTGGTTGATGAAACCAATTTTTTGTTGTAGCTAGACTTTGTGATGGTTGATAAAACCAACCTGATGGTTTCGCTTCGTTATTTTCAACATCTACTACACTTTGCAATGGCATCTTCGGCGTTACATATGAAAATTGTGGCTGGGATGATGATACGGCAACATGAGGCTGGCTGAACCACGAGGATGCGGGTTTGCGAGAGCCATTGCTTGGCTGACGGAACCATGCCAAAGTAGCTGTAGCAGACTCTTGCATACCTTGGTTATTGATAGGTTGATAAAACCATGACGAGGCGGCTGATGATGATGGTGAAGGTTGTGCAGCAACGGATGGTGGGTTGTTGGGTGCCGACGACTGCATAACATGACCATTTGTTGGCTGGTAGAACCACTGTGATTCTTGCCACATTGACGACGGTAGATTGAAGTATGCACGTTTTTTGTTTTCATGCATTGTTTCTTGCAGAGTCTGACTATTGGGCGATGGTGTTGCTTCAGCGGCGAACGCGACAGTAGATGATGCTAGCAGTGATGGAGTCATAGTAGTCGAGTTTGCATTGCTCTTGCATATAGGCTCGCCACTCTTTGGACAGCACCAGTCTGCATCCGGATAGAAGCAGTTGTCGGGGCATTCGTCAGGACAAGGTGTTTCATGGCACGGCACGAACGTTTCGCAGGTATAGCATTCAGGTTGACCAATGAAGGGACAGCACTTTGGGCCTGTGTATTCACAAGAGTATGGGCATTCCTCTGAGCTTAAAAAAATGATATGCAACAAACGGTTCAGCATTAGTGGGATCCGTAGTTCAATAACAAAACGAACAATAAAGAAAACTATCTAGATTATTATGCAACATAAATTGTAGTAAAGATACTACTTCTACTATTATCATACCACGGCAAAGCTTTGATTAGACACATTACTCCATGACAGAATTGAGATTGACACACAGGTATACCAGCTCCATCACATCCACCGCTATTGGGGTAAACACATTTAGAACCGATAGGACAGTCTGGGCATTTGTATTGATAGTTGGGACAATCTTTCTTCTCTTGTAATACACTAGATTCTGGTATATTATGTTGTTTGCAAGCGATACATTGAAAGCATAAGTACAGCTACTAGTAGCACATATATCTGCTAATTGTAGTTTTTTTCTTACCATCATCCTGCTGCTGTGCTGCAAAAGTAGAACAAATCACCAGCGATGATATCACGAACAATGGCCAGGTCAACAAACCACAACAGTGGTACATGCTGATATTAACAAGAAAAAGAAGCAATGAGAGAAGAAAAGAACAGTCTAAGAAAAAAAAAAGACGATGAGATACATTTCAAACATAGCTTTAGGACGTCTTTGCACCAGTGACAGCAAGCATTCTCTATGGCAGTGGTATTCAGATGTAGCAATGAACCAACATAGCATTCCAGCAAACAATAGTGAGCTGAATTTAAAAAAACCGAATCCGAATAGCGTCGTGTAGCAATTCCCTTTTTCTCTCTCTGTCTCTCTATTTTGTGTGCGTTACGCCAAGTTGGAATAAATAAACATGGTATGGTAAAGAAGACGTATACGAAGCGTGTGTACGTGTGTGATTTAAACGTGTGGGTGGAATTTGCGTGAACACAACTGCGTGATAGCAGAACGTTCGTGTGAACGTATTGAACCATGGAACAAGAACAACAACAGCCGGGCCACCTTTTCTGAATTCATGATCTAAACTGGTTCATTTCTTCTACGCTTGACAGGCCACGCGGTCCGAACTGGCGCCTCATGCTTTGAAAAGGATTGTAAAAGAATTGCAATCGTTAGAACGTTCACCTCCCGAGGATATTCAAGTACTCAACAATGAACAAGATCTAACAGAGATTCAGGCGTGGATCCGTGGGCCAGGTTAGATTGAAAGGGAGAATCAGAAGAAAAGGCGATCTAGTGTATTGACTAAACCCCCCACCCGACACAATGGTTTTTGTTTAAGACGGTACGCCTTACGAGAATGGATACTTTAAAATACGTTTATTATTAAATGAAGGCTATCCAGAAACTCCACCAAAAGGTAAGATGTTGTTTGTTGTTTTGTTTTAAAGTGGTCCATGGAAATGAATTACGTCCTGTGTACGATGGTTTTAATTTTTTGAAATATTGTTAAGGCTATTTTACCACAAAGATCTTCCATCCCAATGTAGCTTCAAGCGGTGAAATTTGTGTCAACACATTAAAGAAGGACTGGAAAGCAGAATTAGGCATTGCCCATGTGCTACTGGTATGATCAAGCTATGAATGGGTTTCTTGTATGTGTGGCAAAGCCATAAACGAATGCGATGAAGACGCCCTACTAACAACAATGTATATATTGCATCATCTAGACGGTCAAATGTCTTCTTATTGTTCCTAATCCAGAATCGGCATTGAATGAGGAAGCCGGCAAATTATTGTTGGAACAATACGATGACTATGCAAAACGCGCCAAATTGTACACAACGATCCACGCTAAACATGGCAAATCAGAATTTCATAAACTATTCGCAGAGCGAGCCCCATCACTGGCACAATCGTCTTCTTCATTGTCGTCGCAAAAAGAAGGAGAAAAGAATGGCGATAAGGAACAACCCAACAGCACGGCATCAACAACAACTATTACCACGACTACTACCATCACCACGACAGCATCCAAAACATCCACTATTCCAGCACAACAAAATGAAAACCCGAGTGTAATCACGAGTGGGTCGTCTGCAGTAATAGCGTCCGCAAAACAAAAAGAGGAGTCTGCAACGACGATGACGATGATTACGACTGCTTCTGGAACGCCCAATGCGTCTGTGGGTGGCAATGTGCTGACGCCATCAGCAGTTAGCAACAATATCCCGGCACAAACTAGTAGTATGAAGCGACCTGCTGGTGAATTACAGCAAGACGGAAAAGACGAAGTGGAAACCCCATCTAGCAAACAACCACGCGTGGAAACACTGCCTAAAAAAAAGCCAGCTCCAACAGCAGATAGGAAAAAACGTCTTCGACGATTGTAGAAGAAAAATATATGTCTGGTCAAACGTGTAGCAATCTGTTGTTTGTTATTCTTTGCTTCTTTGTTCTTCCTTCCCCTTAACCCCAGAATATCAAACAATCCACATACTCGCCTTTCTCTTTCCCCCGCAGTCATTACATACTTTCAGATACTTTTCGTCTTCTCATATAAATAGCATCTTATCATGTCGGTACTCTACCTCACCTTATCACCGGTTCTTTTGGTATGTTTTGCATCCTACCTACTAGGGAATAGAAAATGAGAACTCTATTGAAAAGACTCTCAAGTAGTGTAGCATATTCGGTGTTGAGCTTAAGCATACAAGTTGCAAATTGACTTTGAATAACGCCGTCTTACTGGAACCCATCACCGATCGAGAAACTGAGGGTCTGACGATATCGCTGGCATGCAAGAATAATCCAGGGACAACCTATTACATTGTTCGGCTTTGTGTAACACCTTAAAAATTATTGTTACGCCAGTGGATAAACTGGTTTCCAACATTGGCTTCTCTTTGCATATCGATACGGATGATACCGGGTATCTAATTCGGCTACTTGATGTAAGCCAGCCGCAGTTACATATAGAGATCTCTTAGTCCACTAATAAGTAGTAAGTCTTAGCAGTTGCTTCAATATAAAATGTAGGGCTGTTCGGCATATGCTTATGTATAACATGTTTTCCGTACCTTTAGGATAAGCTTAGGATGCTGTATACTTAAGTTTTACCGCAACAACTCTTTTTGTTCAGCCAAGTAAAACGACGAAAAGAACCCCTATGTAAACCACCAATATCTTAAAAGTTAGTAGCAAATGACGACAGAGAGTTCCATCATGACAGTAATAATGATCGACGAGCTGCAATGACTTTGGGGTTCCTTTTTGCTGCACGTTCTGCATATTACATAAGAAGAACGTCTTTTTTACTCTCGGAAGCAAAGCATGTGTGCCACAATTCACTTGTTTATCTAGCAACTTTGGTGTCGGTATAGAAATCTTTCGTATGTATGATACTAGTAGTGGTCGCCGTTTCTACTGGAATAAAGAACTACAGGGACGCTACAAGTCGTAATATAAGATAATAAGCTGGATACTGAAAGACAAAATCAAATGTAATGTAAGCAGTTTCTGGTGCTTTAATCAATGCACCTTTCCACAAGCTACAGTATGCACGATTATCTGCTTTTCGATAAATATATGGATATAACTACCTGTTGTTGTGCTCTCAATTTGAAACCTTTAAGCTTCATTTTTTTTCTAGTTGCAGAACTTGGAAAAGACGGAAGCTGTTTCTTAGAAGCAATATTCCCCATACTGAGTAAATGATAGACGCCTTTGGTTACACAGCTCTCTTCCTTTGGATAGGTACAACAGTAGACCACACATGGCATTCTGCAGTGAAAGTCGTTTGTTTTGCAAGTTATCACACTACTTGAACTGTTTCTACTACTGATGAACTAAAGGATGCTAGTAGGTTGCGGTGCTTTTACTCTTTTACTGGTGCGTTACTGATTCCACATTGGTTTTTTTATAGCGAACGTTTAAAAATTACCTGCTTTTTCAAAGTTCGGTGTTTTCTCTTTAGTCCCTGAAGCTTTTCCCTTTCCTCTTCTTAAAAACGAAAAGCAGGATAAAACAACAAACAACACACACACACACATACACATACCACATACAAATAACGAAACAGAAAAAAAGAAACACAATGCAGATCCCGTCAATGCAGCGGCGGAATCTCGTCTTTCTTGCTGCACTGTTAATTCTCTTGTTTACTGTATTCCATTTACATCAATCTTCGGTCGTTGTCCCAGATGAAACTGTCATTAATACAGTACCACCACCAGTACCACAACAACAACAACAACAACAACCAGCACCGCAAGAACAGGATCAACAAACACAACCACCTCTTGATAATGTTGAAGCAGAACAACCACCAGCTGACCCATTAGCACCATCTTTGGATCAGGAACCAGAAAAGCCGATCGAGCCACCTGTTGACAATGCCATTTCTCCTCCTCCTCCTCCTCCCCAGGATCCAGTGAAAACAACTGAACTGTCAGCTTGTGATAATGTTGATTTCGGCTGGCTGTAAGTCTAACCTCTTTTTCTTTCGCCCCCCTCGATTTACTTTCTTGGATTCCGAGATAGTGGCAGTAACAGAAAATGTACCTCAAAAGTACATGAATACTAAGACGATGACTAATTTATAAAGAGCATCGGATCGCAAATACTGGGATGGCTGGGCATCCAAATCACTGTTCATGACGCCCGAAGGAAACTTTACGACCAAAAACATATTTGTCAAACAAGGCAGCTCAACCTGTGTTATTGTCATGGTAAGTTCTACAGAAAAAAATGGAGGGAAAGAGGGAAGAAAAGTGGTGGTGAGGAGGGGGAAATAGGTTAAAAGAAAATCCTTCGTTCCGTTAACAGTTACAAAAAGCTTGGACCGATCCCTGCCAAATCCGCCATTCGACCCGAAGAACATCTTGCACCAGCAGATAGTCTTGTCATGACTGCGGTAGGACAGTGGACGCACTTATCCATCACGTTACAACAACATTCACGCCAAACGAACATTTATTTTGCACCTGTCCAATTTACGCATCAAGACAATTACCAATTAGATACTCGGATCGAGTACCGATCATATTTCTGGGAAACGCCCACCAAACATTACTATCGCCCGTATCGATTCTTGTCATCTAACAAGTTGATTGTCAAGGCATTGTTACAGACAGTGCCACCGGAACTGCCGCCGTGCACGGCAGCGGAAATGGCTGGTGGTCACAGCCAAGGAGGAGTAGGAGATGGGGGAGGCGCATGGATGGCCAAGGCGGAATATCAACGGACGTACCCGTTGGACTTTTATGGCATGTTTGGCGTTGCACAGGAAGATCATGCAGTGAACAATCGACTGTATGTGCCCAACAATTGTCGTCCGCAGTATGTCAGCCTGGGTCAGGCGGCTCAGTGTTTGGAAGGCAAAACTGTGCATGTGTGGGCGGATAACAATGTGCGCAGGTAAATCACATTTCTCCCACGTCATATGACATTATTTGCCTTGTTCTCCCTTCAACGCAGCTGTGTTCAACTCACTGCTTTGCTTGATATTTAGAAACCTCAAGGTATTCAGCAGTGGTAATCGATGGTGCAGTGATCCAACCGACGTGGATTGCATCTGTAACGATGACGACGAAGACCACGCCGAATCTTACCCTTGGGCGCTCGATCCCACCATACCACTAGTGATCAACGAAACCTGGCACGCCGACACGCGATTCTATTTCAATCAAGTGGGGAGCATTCTATCGAAAGACTGGAAACAAGAAATGAAGCGAGTGGCAGCAGCAACAACAACGACTGCTGCAGATCTGGTGATCGTTAGTTTCGGTAACGATGACATTGCGCTGCGACACATGTCACCAGGACGTTTTGCAGATGCATTTACCGATCTGCTATCCTACCTAGTCCACCAAGTATATCCCGTGCAACGCATCATCGTTCGCACACCCCAACCTTTCTGCTGTGGAACAATTTATTCGACCTCATGGAACGCCGGTCGCAGCGAAGCATTTACGAAGGCTGTCAGAGATGCTGTTGCCAAATTCCCAAGCGTCATGCTTTGGGATGTTCATCGGTTGGGTATGCCGTCTCATATGTGTGTGGGTATTGCAGGCACGCCATACACAACGCGTAGTGTTTTGAATGTAGAAAACCTGCAGTTGTGGAACTTAGTGTGTGCGCCATAATATCAACAACAACAATCCCCCAATCATACTACACCTTCTCATCGTTATACATATACTTACTACTATCATCCTTTAACACGCACTCTTCTCAACAATTCAGTCATTCTTTCTGTTCATCATTTCCTCCCAAAGATCCATTTACACATTACAAAGTTCTCTTTTCTTTTTTATCTATATACTGTAGACTCGCACCAATCACAACAACAACTTCGTTTATTATATCTGTACTCTTACCACCAGCAAAACAAAACAGGCTTTATTATTTTGCAGTACGTTTAAAATTTTGGCTATTATTTGACGTCTCATATTGAACACTGCGTCTTGGTGGGACATATTTGCTCGAGACAGATATGGGGAGCTTTGTGAATTGAAAACCCTGCTAGGGGGAGCGGTCGAGTATCTGCTGAATTTATAAGCTGCAGATGTGTAGAGAGGTTTAGCGGAAACTGATTGTAATTGGACAGATCGAGTGCGTGGTGGGTGCTGAATATGCGAAAACGGATGGTGAGGGTACACAAAACACCTTTTCGTACAAAAAATGCATACAAAGACGCACTATCTACAAAAAAAAAGACATCTTCCAGGTTGATTTCGGGGAGGCTGCTCACCTCCTTTGAAAACGGGCCGAAAATGTATCCAACAAAAACATAGTTTCTTCGAGTTTATCAATATATATATACGAAAAAGGATTTGTTCACTCTGGGTGTGTACGTCCCGACCATGCTAGCACTCAATTGGATCTCATTCACTGTTAATGCCGATTCGTTAAGGGCGCGGATGTCAAACTGAGTTTGTCATTCCACAACAAACAATCAAAGCCCTCCGTCGTTTGTGTCCCATGTTTTTTTGCACCGCGTCAACAAAGAAAGAAAGAGAGAGGGAAAACAAAAACGTGGCACACAACGAACACAAACATCATGTCCACACATGTAATACACTTTTTGTAGACGATACGTAAAAGTGCACCCAGATCATGTCGAGTGAGACAGATGCCAACCACTATCCGAGACCCCAGAAGACCTGTTAACACTCAGTAGAGAGACACTCACACACGGTGGTGTGTATTACACAGAGTAGGACAAAAGGTGGGCGGGTGTGATGATGGCTTTCCAGCATAAACAACAAGAAGCTGAATGAAGCAACAAGAACCGGTTGCACGTCATTACTTTTAATGCCGTGCGCGCGCGCATCAAAGTACATGTGTTACCAAATCCCATTCAATAAGTCTTGTCTTGTCGGTACGATAGTGAGCGCACCGAGCATATCATATTACAGATGATGTATCAGCAGAATAGTGACACTGTGATAGTAGTAGTAATAGTAGTTGACACGGTGCCAATTCAAAAGTGTCTTTTTCCACTGCGGGAAAATTGCGAAGTGAATTAAAGACTAGAAACTTGAACAAAACTTTAACCTCATCCTTTAATCAGCCTTGAAAAAACACTTATGTAGAGGTGAGTAAAGGATAAGAAATTAAAGCCTCACAGACCGGAATTAAAGGATGACAATTAAAGGGCCGAGGCCGTGGTGTATGAGGATGTCTACGATTTGTTGTTGCAGTGCTACTGAAAAGCTTCGTTTTATAACAATCAAAAGCTAGCTCAAATCCCAATCAACACGGAAAAACATGATTAAAAAGGATAATACGATAGTAATTATAGCATGATAATAGTTCAAATGAACATTCTTTATTCAAAAAGAGAGAAAGAGAGCACAGAGAGAAGAAAGAGAGAAAGAGAGCACAGAGAGAAGAAAGAGAGCACAGAGAGAAGAAAGAGAGCAAGAGAAGAGAAAGAGAGAGAGAGAAAGAGAGCACAGAGAGAAGAAAGAGAGCAAGAGAAGAGAAAGAGAAAGAGAGAGAGAGACAGAGAGCAAGAGAGAGACAGAGAGAGACAGAGAGACAGAGAGACAGAGAGAGACAGAGAGAGACAGAGAGAGACAGAGAGAGACAGAGAGAGACAGAGAGAGACAGAGAGAGACAGAGAGAGACAGAGAGACAGAGAGACAGAGAGACAGAGAGACAGAGAGACAGAGAGACAGAGAGAGAGAGAGAGAGAGAGAGAGAGAGTCCTACTACAATTCTGCTCGTCTTCTTTTGTACACTCTATTGCATGCCACAGTCAATGGCAATGAAAAAGAAAAGAGATTTGAAGAACTATCAGTTAATTCTTGATACATTAACGTCACCAGCAATAACATATCACTGGTACTGTATATTGCTAGTAGAGAGTACTTACCTGGGACGAGTGTTGTCTTCCTCTTCGATCTCCTCGCCGTCATTACCACCGCTGCTGGATGACTCGTCGTCGGTCTTTTCCAGCTAATAATAATAATAAGTGTGTTGTAATAATGATAAATGAGTATCATTTTGTATAAAATATAAAGCATAGGAGATGTTGTTTTGTAACTTACACTTATGCGTTTGTGGTATTGGTGCTTGTTGCCCCATTTGTACTGCAACAACCACCTCGTTGCCCACGAATTGACGCATTTGTCAAAGTGAACATCAAATGCTTTGCAATTGACCTCTAGCATCAAAGCATACTTTTTTTGTATGCTAGGGTCAATTGAGCTCCATGCCGTTGCAAGAGAAATGCCCTCCTCGGTGATGATCTCTTGTATGATCATCGTCGTTTCGAGCATTACGTTCGTCATGGCGTTGCCGCACAGCTCTTCTTCGTAAACGGCAAAAAAGTGTAAGGCAATGAATTGCCTCAAAACGTCTGTGCTCAAATCTTGAGCCTGGCGACGGTTGTTCACCACAACGAACGGGCGGACAAGTGTTCGTCTTGTGGTATTGACGTCTCTCTAAATAGTAAGAACAAACATATCAGCATTGACAGCAATACACTCTATGGCTCTCTTTGTACGCGATCTTCCTCCCTCTTTACTGTCTACATAGATACCCTTTCTATGTAATTCTATGTTGCTACCAACATAAAGTCGACAATACTACCGTCTCCATATCTCTCTCTCCCTCTCTTTGTTTCTTCTTTACCAATGTTTCCAATCTACTCTTTCATTAACTGACAGCACCACTATTACACCGCCTTCTGTAATGTAAAAACCATCTAAACATACTGCTTCTTGTTCAGTAGGCTCCTGCCTATCTCCTTGCTGAAGGTGTTCAAGGATTCGATCCACTGTTACTTGGATTGTGTCGACTTTCTCTTGCAGCTGGATGGCGACTGTCTTCAGCTCTTGCAGATCAGCGTCGACCTCCTCGTTTACTTCATCAATTCTTGATATGAAGCTCTTGACCGAGGAGATTTCGGCAAACAATGCTTTGGTAGTGATGGCTTTGTTAGACATTGTTGAAGTTCAAGGTACCAAGGCAAAATAAAATAACGCGAGGGAGAAAGGAGGGAAAAAACGAGATACAACAAACAAATATTTTTTTACTATCTTTGAATCAGCGACGTCGCTACCATCTTATTAATCATTTCGCGTCCTCATTTTTTATGATCCAGCACACAACACACTATAATGTCTCACTCTATTATTATTTATTAGTATTGTTATTTCAACCCTGTCATAACAATTTGCTGTCATCATCGGTGTTATTTGAGAGAAGTAAGATGTTTGTTTGTCATACTGTAATACGAATCTATATATACAACAATCATCGATGATACGACAGATGTTTTTCCTTCTTTCTTTTGCGACACGACACTCTTTATCATTATGAAAAAAACAACTGGCAAAACGTTCAAAAACATCAGGAGAAGTGAAAGCGAAAGCAGCGCTCCAAAAAAAGTCTGTGGCTGGTGCAGAAAACCTATCATTATGTCGGTTTATTCGGCGCACACCAGCATTTGTCGTCGAAAATACTTGAAAGGAAAAGGGCGCCATCCCAAAGCTGTCACTGGATCATCGTCTTCATCGGCTGATGTATTGTGTGTTGAAAATTTATATTTTACTACATACGGTACTTGCGCAAATGTCATATGTGTTAATAAGCCTGATACCTTGTAATAGAAATGAACAGCCACCTCAGCCTCTATTACCTTCACTACCGAACGAACCATCATCAGATTTGGTGCCATCGAGTGCAGACAATAGCATGTACACATCTGTTGCATCACTAAATAACACGATATCTTCAAGTGCAACTCGTGATGGCACATCGCCGCCGTCATCCACTTCAGAAGGACGAAGAACTGACGGATCAAATATGGGCGATGATGTTATTCTAGACGATTTCGATTATGGTGAAGATGGTAAAAAATAAGGAGATTCTTATTTTCTGTACAATTCAAAAATAATTACTAATTACTTGTTGTTTTACTGTAATAGTCAACATACCTATTAGTACTACAACATCGGATGGCCCAAAAGTCTACGCATTCCCTACGGATGATTACAGCCAAGATCAAGTGATGATGTGGAGTGTAATGTTGCAACGTATTGTGAATAACAACAATATCACGAGACGAGGCCATGGCGAAATGCTCGGTTTTTGTAACCGCTTGATATCTCATTTCGATCAAGGTAAAAATATCAAAAGATTATACACGCCAACTCTCCTCGTTTTATATATTATACATGATAGATACTTACCTTATTCCCTCTTTAAGATCACGAGCACTTGTTTACTCCATACAAATCAAAAAAAGGAGCGGAAAAGTTCTATCCCGTGGAAACACAACTATTTGATGTTTGTATCAATGGTTGCAAGATGTACGACACTGATGACACGGCTACATATTGCTCCCATTGCAACGAAGTAAGATATGTTGGTGATAACAAGAAAGCACGTGCTATAATGGAAATGCTTCCAATTGGTGAACAACTAGCGTACATGATTCACGATGAAGAGACACGAGAAAAGTTACTGTACAGGAGCCGTTTCCGACATAGGCATGGTGTATACAACGATATATTCGACGGTGGACTGTATCAAGAGCTCGTAATGGGGCGAAATCTTTTTCAAGGTGAATTGGATGTCGCTCTTGCATTATATGTGGATGGCTTCCAACCGTATACCAACATAAAACATACAATGACCATTGTACATGTGGTTGTGTTGAATTTCGATCCTGATACTCGGTAAGCAGCCATACTACAATATCTGAGCAGGACTAAGATTGATTGTTCTATTATGCCTATATTATCCTTAACATCGTCCATGTAGGTATACAAACAAATACATGCTTCAAATATGCTTGATCCCGGGTCCATTGGCTCCAAGAGATATGACGAGTTTTCTTCAGCCTATAATAAGAGAGCTACAGCACTTGGAAAAATACGGGATGGAAGTCAAGGTCGGAAACACCAGTCTGCACGCAAAGGTGCATTTGCTGCTTGCCACCGGTGATATGCAGGCAGTTAAAGTATTAGCATGCCATATGGGACCTACTGCAACATATGGCTGTCGCATATGTCTTGTTGAAGGGGTACACCCGGTTGAAGGAGGAAAAGGCGTGTATTTTCCTGATTTCAGCAACACTGCCAAAAGATGGAGGAAAGCTGATGATTTCAAGACGAAGGGGAAAAAGGTATACTTTCTTTTTGATTATGATGTGTGCTCGTTATCAATCCACGTAAATCATACCCGTGTGCTATAATTAATGTACGCACTTCCATACTTTTGCTAATATAGAAAGGACTAGATGGTCCGAGTCCTTTCACGGTGTTCCAAACTTTCCTCTCTCCAGATTTTTTTGGTCTTGAAGAGCTTCATCTTCTGTCGCATGGCATAGCGCATCAGTTCTTCGATTTGCTGCAAGGAAAATACGATCATGCATCAGCTACAAGACAGAGCCCTTTTGTTATCGATCTTGACGCTGTGATGAAACAAATGGAAAGCTCTCGTATGGATATCCCGACGGCGTTCGACAGCACATGGCATAGTTTGACCGACAAAGGGAGGGTCAAAGCCGTCGACTGGTTAGAGTTCCTTTTGTACGTTGTCCCCACTCTGGTTGTGCCTCAAATCGATGATAGCGTTGCCAAAGACGCTACGATGTGCCTCGTGAGAGCATGTCAGAGAACACTGCAGTTTTCTCACACAAGTGACGATATCGCTGATATAGAAAGGTAATTATCCGTACAAAAACATAACGAAAGATAAATACATAAAGAAGACAACAACACTAATCCAAGGTGTTTTATACGTGTAGTGATATCGAGTTCTGGCATGACTACTTACGCAGTCAACTCAGCACAAAACAAATGAACCTAGAACGTTGTGACGACAGCGAAGACGAAACTAGCGTCAATAGCAGTAGCAACAGTAGCAGCATCAGTGACGATAATGAGTATATAGCACTATCCGTTCGTGTATTCACTGCAAATCAGCATTACCTCACACACATTCCTGATATGCTACGAAGGCTGGCATCATTACGTTACTGTTCATCCCGGTCGTTGGAGAGGATGATTGGTGTGTACTCAAAAATAATAACCACGTACTCGGTCCCTGGTCAGCAAGCTGCGAACATCATGAAAAAATTGGCAATGGCACGTTATCTCGACGCGGCAATTGATAGCAGCATTGATACAGAAGAAGAAAAAAAGGTGCACGACAGTCGACGAAATGGGCTATATTTCACGCCTAATCCAACTGACCCCTTTTCTCCGGAAATCTGGGGAAAGTTACATAATGCCAGTTTCAGGTCATTGAAAACACTTGCAGGACTCAGTTATACCAAAGTCAGGGACGCGCTTGTAGCCTATATGAATCGCAAAGGAATAAGGTACAGCATTTTGAGCGAAGATTTCAAGTACACAACCGGTCGGCTCTGGAGAGACCAGAAAACTTTTGGTAGCGTACTTACCCACCATGGTCGAATGCGTGTTATGTACTATGTGAGATTAAAGCTTGATGATATTGACATGTAAGAAAACTTACGTTTTAATAGAAAAAAAATGATGACTTGTTGTGCTTGTTATGTTGACCCATCCTTTTCCCTTTTCAGAAATGCATCAGCAGGTCGTGGCTCGGTTTTTGCTCGCTGTTCCCAGTTTTACTTCGGGAAGGTGTACTTCTATTTTGTGCATAATCAAGGCAACGAAGACCGAATATTGGCAGCTGTTGGGATCTTCAATCCCACAATCGATAGTGACAGCGGGTCTGTTTACTTGACTCCATCAGCAATGGCCGCTGAACAGCTGTTCGTTGTCGATGCTAACGAGATCTGCAACTACGCAGGTCTTTTGACGGGAACGTTTGGCAGGTCCAAACGCCACTACTGGATTTGGCCGGGTATGGTTTCAATATCGAAAGAGAAAAGTGCTTTTGAACATGGAACCTTGAAGAACATTTTTTAGAATAAATTTTTACAAGTCATGCTACCCTTTGCTTACCCTTTATAAACATGTGTTTATACTTTAATCGCGCTCGCATGCTCATAAACAAAAATCAAAAAATTTTCGGCTTTGATTTAAAGGATCAACCTTTTCTTTCTCCTTTACTGAACCCTTAATTAACGACTGGCCCTTGACTTAACCTTTAGAATCTTTGCTTAGTCTTTGTCGGCCTTTATTTCAAGGATCATTTTTTCCGCAGTGATTCATTTGTGTATTGTCGATTATTTTCTTGGTGGTGGATAAGTAAAAGCTACTCAACTGTATATTGGGTCCGGTCATTATCAACACGCATCAAGTACATTGTTATCCATGTGAGTTACGATACTATCTTTTGAATCTATAGCCAACACGTACACACAGAGAGAGAGAACGACTGCGGTTGCAGCCAGTCAAAAGGAGGATGATGATCGCCGCAAGAAAAAGATGCCATCATGCAGCTCCTCGCTCCTCTCTTTTGGTTTGTAGTACATGTTTTCTTAATTGTCTAAACGAAAAAGGATCACATCTAAATTGTTTCTATTCTTCAATAACATATACTCCACCTCCCCCCCCTGAATAACAAGTATGTGTACAGCTGTATGGCCTGTTATATGCATAAACAATCTGGACATTACCACTTTCTCTCTTTCTTTAATATCATCCTACATTTGCTGGACCTACCGACTCACTACTGTAGTAAAAAATCAAGGGATAAAAAACAACAACAACAGTACAGTGCTTTGCGTTTAAATGTGAGGAACGGAATGGGGATGAGGTTTCATTGTTGGCTGTTGATCAATGCTTTTGCCAATTGGATTTTTTCTTCAATTCATTCATAGCAGCGTTTAATCGTCGTCGTTCTTCTTCTTTCTCTTCCATCTTTTGCACAAGCAAAACCAATCCTTCTTCGAACAGTCTAATTACATATTAAATCAAGTGAGTATCTTTGAAAAAAACAAGTTTGTACAGATAAAAAGGACTAAAGTTCCTTTAGTGTCAAATTTTAGATTTTTACCTTTTTG